TGACACAACTGCACGGGCCATCCGACTCCAGTCCTATGCGTTTAGGTACCGACAGCCGCTAAACCGTTGCGCCAAAAATTTCAGCGGGCGTTTGGAATGGAGCCCCGCCCAAATTTTGCTCCATCAACGACGACGCTTCATCAAACCTCGGCGGGAATACGTGCCTCATTACACGACACCACGTAACATGCCGTCGGCGCCCGCTCCTGTCACGGATCCCGAGAATCCCAAGATCCAAAGATGGGACGACATTGGGCTGCTGCTCATCCACGACTTCATCACGGAGGATGAGGAGGCCGCCATGATCGCCGCCTTCCACGCCGTCGACCCTCGCCTGGACGGCAAGAGACGCATCAGCCAGCATTCTGGCTACCACTTCGACTACACCACCTTTGGCGCCTCCGAGACATGCTTCACGCCTGTGCCTTCGTACATCACCGACTTCCTCCCTCGTCTGCCCGTCCAAGACTACCTCCCCGACCAGTTCACCGCACAGTACTACCCTCCTGGCGCCGGCATCCCTCCGCACGTGGACACGCACTCCATGTTCGGCGAAGCCCTGTACAGCTTGTCGTATGGCACTGCTGTTCCCATGGTGTTCAGAATGTCGGATGCAAACGACGCCCGCAAGATGAGATTGCCTAGAAGGTCTCTCCAGTCGTCAGTATCGGAAAGCAAAATGGAGGGTGCATCTGGTACCAACGCAGAGTCCGCTGCGACTGCTCCCGACAGCCAGGCGACGATGACGGTGAAAAGTAAACTGGAAGAGCCGTCACCAGAACACCCGTCGTGGGAGCTTGTGCTTCCTCCTCGTTCGCTCCTGCTCATGACCGGCCCCGCGCGCTATGGCTACACGCATGGCATCAAGTCTCGCAAGACTGACATCATCAATGGCGAAATGGTACACAGACAGGGGAGGTACTCCATCACCATGAGAACCATCAGGCGCGGAGATGAGATTGGATGCGACTGCATGTTCCCTGGTGTCTGTGATGCCCGCATCCGCGAGGAACAGAGTCGGCCAGCAGCGGCTCAGAGGATGGACGCTCAGGAGAAGTAGCGGTAGGCGGTTACACGTGGGAGCTAATCACGGGGACAACATGGACGGCTCTAATTTGTTCGATGATCGGCAGAATCTCGTGTGACAGGTGTCTAGGGGATCAAAGTCTGCCTGTCAAATTGCCCAGAAAATGGCGTGGAAGATGCAAAATGACACGAAATTGGGTGCTCACTGCTCTGTGGTTGGATCTGGCACTCAGGGCACCCCGACTTTTCCGAGGTCGAATCGGACGCTAAAATCCGGGGCCGCGGGCGGGGCACTGACAGCGGTGGGGGCTGGGCAAGGTTACATCAGTACCTAATTCGGCCCTTGGCAGGTACCCCACGATCGTCCACGAGGTCAATGACATGCCCTGGGGTCGTCAGGTGACGCGCCAGGCCCTCAACCTCCTTTGACACCGGTCAGGCCCTAGGTAAGTCTCTGAAGTATATCTCATCTTTGATGTCCAACGGAAGTTAATCATCTCGTACCAGCACTTCCGCAAGTCGATTTGACCCCAACGCACTTCACAATGGACCGAGACTGCTTTTCGTACCTCCCCCACGAGCTTCACTTGGCCATCTATGAGCATCTCCTGGACATCACCAGTACCGACCGCGAAGACCGCACTTTGACACTTTTATCCCTTGCACAAACTTCTCGGCACATTCGCGCCACCTACGAGCCTATCCTCTTCAAACAAGATGGCAATCCGGATAGGGCCATGCGATGGGGTGCTTACCACGGCTTGATTCCCTTGATGGAAAAAGCTCTAGCGCATGGCGCATCCGTGAAGGCAGACGGCCCTCACCCATTGGGGCCAGAGTACACTTTTCCAACAAAAACTGGCATCTTCACGGGACCGGCCAAGGGCAGCCCTCTTCACTTCGCGGCGATGAATGGACAGAATGGTGCTGTCGACTGGCTTCTTGACCACGGAGCTTCTTTGCACGAGCCCTCCAAGAACCTCTGCAAGTGTGTGGACCCACAAATCCCACAGGGCTTCTTGACAGATCTTGGACGCATTTCCCAGAATCACGGCAGCCTCAACCACGATGCCCTCAGCTTAGCGCTGTGCCACCATCATTCCTCTACGGCTCAACTGCTCATCAACCGCGGGGCCGTGGAAGGAAACGCTGAACCTGTCGCTCTCCACACAGCAGCAGCCACGGGCCAACACGACCTATTTTTCGAGATTCTGCGGCATGCAGGGCGACATGCTTCCTTGGATACTCCTATCCAGTCCCGATTTACATCGCTCCATTACGCAGCTTGTTCTCCCGTCGCCTCTCCTGCGTTCATACAGAAAATGCTCAAGGCTGGAGCCCACGTCATCGAGTCTGCTCCTCGCACTGATTTGCCTGTCTTCTATGCCGCACTCAATGGCTCATGGGCGGTTGCCACGATGTTCCTCGACCTGGACCTTGAGATGACCGAGTCCCAAGCACAGGTCTACCGCACAGCAGGCATCACTCTTGAAGGGGCCCTCGTCCACGCCGCTGTTTTTGCACCAGAACCGCCAAACGACTCGCCGACTAGCAGCGAATGGTTTGACGGGCGGAAGCATTTCCTTGCACGACTAGCGCGTCAAGATCCCGACTGCATCAACTCCATCTACAGAAACCCACATTGGTACACCAACGATACCCCGCTCAAGCGGGCCGCGGCCAAGGGCCACCTCGAACTCGTTCGCATCCTCCTGGACTTGGGTGCCGATCCAAACGTTACAGCCGGCGCGTGCTCCGAAACCGTTCTCCATGCTCTCACTCGGTGTAACCTCCCTGTCTATCCTGATGATAACCCATCTCGCTTGAGTCACCCTAGTTTCGACTTCTATACTTGTCAAATCGAGAATATCGCTTCCCCGATCGAGAAGCGCTTGGCCGCCAGCACTCCCATCATCATTGCCCTGCTAGAACATGGTGCGTCAGTCGATGAAGTCAAAGACAGGGACGGCAAGACTCCGTTGGATTTGGTGATTCGCTACCAGGTGGCTGAGAGGGCGGACACGGCGAAGAAGTACATCGTCCTCTTTGAGGCGGTGAAGTTGTTGAGAGTCCTGCTGAAGCACGCGAAGCCAGGGTGTTTACAGGAAGAGCAGCGGCGCAGGGCCAAGACGGCTGTGAAGAGGATGGAGCTGGAACTGGAGGGGTGGTGGTGTTTCAATCCTAGAGCGAGGGGGATCGGCTGGTCTGGGCATATTCCTAGTTTCACGTCTGGGTATTAGCGAGGTTGTTTTGTCTAAAAGTTTTGTGCTTCGGAGTTTGTCTGGTTCCATAATTGTTTCTTTTTTCCTTCCGTTGTTGGTCATTGTGCATTGCCAGCATCGTGACACAACGAAGTCCTGCGCTGCCTGCACTACATGTCATGTTTGTTGAGACGGATCACCGTGGCATATATCGCTTGCCAATTTGATGTAAAAGCTTGTTTGGATCAATTCGCTGTTTAACATGCAATGAGAGGCAGTGTTGGAATTTATTGGGCAAATCGTGGCTTGCACATCGGCTCCCTTCTTTCCTGTCCACCGCAGTCGGTTTATCATTTCCGTACCGCAAGATCGATTCATTGTTGAGAACGTGGTGTCCTTGTGTGAACCTACCGAGCTCGGAAGGATATCATGGGGGTTGGCTGACACCATCTAACAGACAAGCAGTTCTGGTTGCAGGTCATTTCGACTGCAACGGGCATTGGGTCCAACCTCCATTACCTCTTTGAGACTTTGTTCTCATTTTTCTCGTTTGATCAACCGACCTCCACAGTGGCTATGCATTCTTCGCCCATGGTCAGCCGTTTGCACGAAGAGCAAACTCGTCCGCTTACCAAATCGGCAAGCACCATCAGAAAACTATAGCAAGCAGCAAGACAAAGCGGAAACTTGTTTGCTGGGTGTATGGAAAACAACTTGCGACATCGGTTGGCAGTATTTCAGCCGACTTCAAAATCGCTGTGGTCACCATCCTCGCCATCGAAACCGGCCGCCCGCCTCCCTAGCTGTGCGGCAACATCACCCTCAATGTATTTATCTTGGTGCTCTCTATCATCGGCAACTCAACGCTCTCTAATGCCACCATTTCATCAACTCGCGGCCTGGCCAAATGGGATACGCACACCAACAAAGGGAACAACGAAGATCGAGTCCATTCAGATACTGAGACCTTCGACAATACGAAACGCGTAACGAACACTCGGTATGGCTGGTCAAGCTATCCAAGTTCTACCCGAGTGAGGGCTTTCACTAGGGCACCCGCTTCTAAATTCCATTCACTTTGTGGTTCACATCGTCGAGACGGGTACGTGAATAGCGGGACCATCCGGTGATAAGATATTCCCGCCTTATCTACATTACGTTAGGATGTGGGCTACTTTCACCATTCACTCCCCGGTGGAGCGATAGCAGGTTCGCTTTTCAGGTGCAAGCCACATCACGAAGGGAAACATGAGATGAAAAGAGGCAGCTACTGTGGCGGAGAAATTATCAACCAATAGCACCGCGGCTTGAAGGGGGTGAATGGCCTCGAAGGCTCAGGTCGAACTCAGACGGTGGGGCGGATGCCAGAGCGGCGGGCCAGGTTTGAAGGTTCTCCTCTGGCGCAGTCACTGCGATCTCGCATTCACCACAACCAATGCGCCCACAATATATCCTTCACCAGAAATCCTCTGCTGATCCTTCTGTTCATTATTCCCCTCCTACTCCTATAAACGTACACCTCGACCCAACTTCTTCCTCAATTCATCCTTGCACTCACAACCACCGATCATTTTTGCAAGTACGACCTTCGGAATCCGACCTCGAACAACCACGCAATCCGATTACCACAATACGATCGCAACTCCTCGCAGCCCATCTACCACACCTCATTACTATACCTGACGGCGCATCCCTGTCAGACTTCCTGTAAGTGACGGCCGTCTCCCGACCCAACAATGAAGCTTGATTGGCTTACATGATGAGATAGCCAAGATGCCAGCGAAAAAGACGCGAGCCAAAAAGGCGCAAGCCAAGAAGAAGCCAGCCAGAAAGACTCAAGCCAAAAAGGCGCAAGCCAAGAAGAAGCCAGCCAGAAAGACTCAAGCCAAAGAGATACTGTCACCCGACACACCTCCCGCGGATGGTCGTTCCCCGTTCACTCAATTGCCCCTGGAGATTCACATGGTCATCGGCGACATGTTGAAGGAGGACAAGCGGCTTGATGCGCTGCCTACACTAGCCAGGACATCGCGGCGTCTCTGCTCCTTCTACGAGCAGCAACTCTACAAAGGCAAAGACAACACCCATCGCGTCAAGGCCTTGATGTGGGGAGTGGCACACGATTCTGTTACTGTCATGAAGAGCGCCAGACAATGGGGCGCAGACCTCAACGTTCGGAGTTATCACCTAGACAGAAAGAGAAGCAGGAGAAACAACTACATATCTGGCAAAGGAACGGCACTCCAATTCGCTATCAGGGATGGGCACAATGAATCCATGTGCTGGTTGCTCGACGAGCGCGCGCGTGTGGATATACCTGGGAAGCCGGCCTGGGGCATGTGCCAGTGCGGCAGCTACTCCAGATCCTACGCTTCCAGTCTTCACCTTGCTTTCTGCAATGGAAACCTGCTTGCCGCCACGATTCTGCTCCGACGCGCACCGGAAGCGTCGGTGCAGTATTCACGAAAGGTTGATACAGGATCCATTTTGAAGACGGCAGTCAAGGCGGCTTTCGGTCGGTACTCGGTCAGGTTCTTGGATGTGGCACTCGAAAACCCTGCCATTCGCAAGTCAATCAATGCGTTCCAGGAAGAGGACCTTCATACACCCCTCGCATTAGCTCTGTCTCCTGAGTACGAGGGAGATGATCTCCTAGAGCCAATTCTTGCCGCCCTGGTTAAGGCAGGTGCGAGTTTGGGGCCGTACCCTCAAGGCTCCCATATGGAGGGACATTCACCCCTATTGTTGCTGCTCGACAGAGGTGACAGAGAGTCGGCCACGTATTTGCTGCGGCTCGGCTGCGATCCCAACGGTGACCGACCTCATCCGGTTACTCCAGCTTGGCAGAGCCCGTTGCACTTCTACATCAACCCTGAATCCCATAACAGATGGTCCACTCCGGCTTGGCATCAGCAGGTATTTCATAGGTGGCGCCTCACCCCCCGAGAATTTATTGTCGTCCTGTTGGAGCACGGGGCGTCCCTCGACATTACGAATGCGGAAGGGGTCTCTCCCCTCGATAATGCCATCAGCTTCATGGCCAGGTATGTCGCACCAAGGCGCCGAGTCGCCGGCTTTAAGCTTGTCAAGCTCTTGCTCGCCAATGTCAAGCCCGAGGGCATCTCCACAAAATCTAGGGAAAGAGCCGAGGGCGTCATGACGACACTGGTGCAGGACTTGCGGGCCGAGCATGCCACTCACAACCTGTCCGACGTTCGGGTGCGTCCGCCTCTGGAAGAATGGGAAATGGATGAAGAGGAAAGCCACCCAATCCTCTTAGGATGGCATGTCTGGAGGCGTGAAGGGGGAAGGTTGAGAAGGAAGTGAAGGGTGATTGGAAGTGTGTAAGTTATTTGTACTTCTCATTGTTCTGGAGTTTGGGGGTTTGCTTTTCTTTTTTTCTCAGTTATGGAGTTAATGGGTGATGCAAGCGCACACCCACGGACAGAGGATTTGTTGTAGTGTGCGGAATTTGTATCATCACTTCATTACTATGGAAATGGCAACGAGGATATCAGCTTATCGGCCCTTCTTGACATAAGACTGTAAGCGTTTGTTTCCTTTTTTGATTGGGAATAGCCTCATCCACTGTCTTTTCAGGGAGCGACGCCCTATATTTATAGATGATGAAGCACTGTGTTGGTGTTTCTTACAGCGTTAACATCGGCTATTCAAGCGGTATGGCAGTAAGGATGGCAGTAAGAATTCTGGCCCTCTGATTGGGGTAGTTTGGAGTAGATTGAAGTGTAGCTCATTGCAGCGACTTGCATGAAAGGGCTATTCCTCCAGCTGCTTACGCGACGCGACCTCTACCGCAGCGACAGTCCCAATTACAGGACGACGAAACATAGCGCGCTGTCGATCAAATCAACGACAGGGCCTGCGACCTACATTGCGACGACCATTGCCGACCGAGACAACGGAGCGGAACAGACGCGTCAACTAACTTTATTGGCCATCACGTACGTAAATCTACCAACCCAACGACCAGACAACCATGGACACAAACGTCCCCCGCACCGCACAGGGACGTCCGTACCTGCCTCCCGAAATTCACCTCATGATTTCGGGATTCCTAGAGGACCATGGTCGGTGGGACACACTCGCCGTATTGTCTAGGTCCTCGAATAGGCTGAGGTCGATATACGAGCCACGATTGTACAGAACCACCAAGCATGCAAACAACCCGTATTGGTACCCATATGAGCTTTGGAGAAAAGATCCAGCACGAGACTCAAACAACCTCGTTAAGGCGCTTATGTGGGGTATCACCAATGAGTCGGTGCCTGTGATGGCTCAAGCCAAAGCGTATGGAGCTGACATCAATGCCCGAGTCAAGGGTTGTCACGGCAAAGATAGCTACTATGATTACTATCATGGGTCGTTCCGGCATGGCTTGGGAACGATGCTCCAGCATGCTGTTCAGAACGGCCGTGACCGCTCTGTAGTATACCTAATTAAAGAGGGCGCGGTGATCAACACGCCCGGCGAAGCTGCCGTCGACATGTGCAACTGTACAGCTCGTGCTAGCTACAGAGAGCCGAAGCACAAATGCTCGACATTACATCTGGCCTTATGCAGAGGTCATCTTCCATCCGCAAAGCTCATCATGGACTACCTCGGGCCAGCAGCTTTGGAAGAGTCTAAAATGTTCGACAGGTGCCTAATCCTCCAAACCGCAATGCATACGGCCATTGCCAAGAAGGAGATCGAGTTCCTGACCGCCATGCTGGAATACCCAAGCGATCGCGACCTTGTCAACGTGGTCAGCCCTCACAATCGTCAAACCGTTCTTGAGGAAGCCCTGCTGCGAGCGGCAAGGAGTCCTAGTTTCTTGCGCACAATCATTCCGACGCTTGTCCACCAGGGAGGGGCCAGCCTCGGCCCGTACCCTGCTGGGTCCCGCCACGCAGGAAAGTCACCCCTCCTTCACGTAATCCGTCTTGGAGGCTATGTAACGGCCCAACATCTTCTCCGTCTGGGCTGCAACCCGGACGGGAAGCCTCCCATCCCTGTGGATCAGAATTGGTTGACCCCGCTGCACCGTCTCATACCCAACAAAGAGGCTTACAGAGGAGAAACCCCTGAATGGATGGATGGAGGGGTCGGTTATCGCCGAGGTGATCAGCGCCGCAGGAAGAGGGTAAATGAAACTATCGAGGCACTCGTCCGCTCCGGAGCCTCATTGATGATCAAAGCCACCCAGTTCAACTCCACGCCCCTAGAGAACGCCATATCACACGGCGCTCCATTTCTCTCCCTCCCGCGCCGAGTTGCCGCCTACAAGCTGTTGAAGCTCTTGCTGAAGCACGTCAAGGAGGGTAAGATTACCGAAGCCGCCCGGGAAGAGGCGGAAAAATGCATGGAACAGATTAAGGAGGATCTCAGGGCTGAGCATGCCTTGTATGATCTGTCGGATGAGCGGGTAAGAGTTGGGCCGGGACCGAGACGGGGTGATGATGATGAAGATGACGGAAGAGCCCAACCTATTCGTCTGGGGTGGAAATCTTGGTCTCGTGGAGCGAATGGAGGACGGTTGGTGAGGAGCCGTGACTGAGGGATGTCATCTCTGATCTCGGTTGGAACGGCTGTCGAGTGCCAGGATCGAAGTGAGTATCTCCCTCTTTGCTAACATACCAAAACCTTGCTTGATGCTTCATGAGGCTGCTTTGCTAACAGTACACACGTGGTGGTGCTTGGCCTAGTAGACAACTAGCCTCACAGGCTCTCCTCCCTGCCTTCTTTGCACCATGCACGATGGATATCAGTGGGCAGTAGGCTCTTCGAGACATGCAAACATCGACGACATGGTTGGCCAACATCATGAGTCGGAATACAAGCCGAACGCTATAGGCACAGCGTACAGGTACCGGTAGCCGGTGAGCTACCCCGTGTGTTGTAATAGGCTGTCACTACAGGGGAAGAGATCTCGGCCAGCAAATAGCGGCCACGAATCGACCAAGCGATGTAGCCAGGAGTCTCTGGTGCCTAAAATCACCCAGTCACTTTCTTTGTCATCGGATTCCGTCTTTTACAGTTTCTCCTCTGGATTCATCTATCATCAGACTCCCTTCTGACCGCTCTCCCACCACAGACTCATCTCATAGTCGACCAAGATGCACAGCTCGTTGTTCTTGCGCCTTCCGGAGGAGCTACACCTTCTTATCGGCAACAGCCTGAAGCAAGATGGTCGGCTTGACACGGTGGCCGTAGTTGCCAGGACGTCGAAGCGTCTGCGCTCGATCTACGAGCTACAGCTGTATCGGAGTGCCGACAACACGAACTGTCAAGATGCTTTGCTATAAGGAGCTAACCACAACTCTATTACAGTCCTGGCCAAGGCAAAGTCCTGCGGGGCGGACCTGGATAAACAAGTCCAATATCGAAATGGCCGAGATTTTCCATGGTTTGGCATGCCCGTTGGTCCCATTATCTATGGCTGGGCCACGGCACTACAGCTCGCCGTTTCGCACGGACATGACGAAGCTGTTCGATGGCTTCTCGACCGAGGCGCGGAGCTAAACGACTTCGATAGCCCTTCTAACAATGCGTGTCCTGACTGCAACCGACATCGAACCAGGGAAACTAATGATGGACGGCGGCGGTCGCTTCTGCATCTGGCAATTTGTGAGACACAACACGTCCTAACCCTTCGGCTTCTGGTGAAACGCGGAGCCTCTCTTGAAGCAGCGGCTCAGATCGACGGCGAACATCCCGTCCACGCCACCATACGCGCCGAGCTGCCCGAGCGCGAGAGGCATGATCCTTTGGCACCAATAAGTCGCCGGCGTCATCTACCGTTGGGCGACGACCAGTGGTCTCCCTGGCATGAGCCTTTGGCCCTATTGAAAGTCGTCCTCGAGCACATGGGTACCGACGAGAGCGCCATATCCGCGCTCAACTCCATCAGCTGGTACCAGAGCACCCGTCTCAAGACCGCCATCTACATCAACGACGCCCCCATCATGCAACAATCCATCACCCTCCTCGTCCGTGCCGGCGCCAGCCTCACCCGCCCCGTGCCACCCTTCCCTTGGCGGCAAAGCATGCCCCCCCTTCTGGTGGATGTTGCATGAACGCAGCTGCAGAGCCGAACACGTCACGGCACTCCTCGATCTAGGCGTGGACGTCAACGGCGAGTGACCCGATGACCTCCCTCCCGGCCCTCCGTTTGGCCGTAAAAGCCCGCTGCATTTCCTGATCAGGCACAGAGACCAAGGCGAAGGCGGACCAGTACATGTAGCGAGCAGGGCCCAGCAATCGCTTAACTACATCTACGTCAAGGACAACGGTAGGGCGCACAGGAGGTTGGTAACCGAACTAATCCGGCGAGGCGCGCGTCTAGATATCACGGATGCGGAAGGCCGCACGCCGTTGGGGAACGCGATGTCGAATAGAACTGAGGATCTGCCTCTAAAGAGGAGGGCGGTAGCGCTAAGGATGGTGAAGCTCATGTTGAGGTGCGTGCAGAGACCGGAAGGAATATCGGAGGAGGCGGAAACAAAGGCGAGGGAGTGGATGGAGGTAGTGGTGAGAGGATTGAGAGTAGAGAAGGCGACGGTGGAGGAGATCGAGTACGCGCCGTTATACCGTGGGATTTGTTCCTAGTCGGAGACGGCCGAAAAAAAAGATGATCTTTTTGGGGTGGCCGGGGTGGGATAGGATTGGAGCGGGAGCGGGGGGCGGTTGTTGAGGGCTAGCTGGAGGTGAGCGGCTGAGCGGGAGGGGTGGGGCCGTGAGGATTGTTTGGCCAAAGGTTAAGTTCAAGGCATTTCTCGAGGCGAACTGTCGCGAACGCCTTCAATAGTTTGGTTTATTTCGGCAGCGTCCACGCTCCGATCTCCCTTGCGATGCCTTGATGTGGTTCTGGAGACGGGTGTCACTAGTCTCCCACCGACCATCGTCCTCTAGAAATCCCGAAATCAGGTAGAGGTAGGTAGGTAGTAAATTGTACCGAGGACGGGATCGGAGCTAGGGCGCGGATTCGGTCAACATGTGCAGTAGAAATCAACGAAGCCCGGAGTCCCGGTAAGTCCGGCAACGCAGTGTTGAAGTCGCGCTATTTATCTTGATAGCCACGTAGTCGTACATATGTATATAGATTCTTAGTCTAGCGTTAAACTTTGACCCTCGGGTCTAGGAAAGCTGCAACGTGAAAGCTGCAGATGTAGTGGAGGTGCAGGGTGGCGAGCCCTATATGTACCCGCAGGTGCTTTTTCCTTCTTTCACTCCCACCCGTTTACGTCACCAGATAAGTCGGAACCCCGACGGAACCCCGAAACTGCCCGTAGAGTACCGCATTACCTTAGAGATATAAGAAAAAGTCAGGTAGGAGGGGCACAGCAATAAGGCTATTCCTGTATGAATCTGTAGATGGAATCAAAGAGTATCAAAAGAGGTGGTGATGATTCATCAATCTAGTAGTCTCCGTGTGTGTGGTGTTCTCGGTAAGAATCTAGATACAGATGTGGGGTGCCAGAAGCCAGATTGCGAGGACCCTTCCAGGTCACGTGCTCTCCAATATGCGCAGCCTCAACGCACACCGGACATTGAAAGATGTACGTGTATTGGATCACGCAAAAGAACAGAGCTAATACATGCCGGTTTGCTCTTATTGAGTCATGTGGCGACACCTTCTGACTAAGCACCTTTACCCACCTCGAGGTTTTAATGACCATTCTCTCTTCTTTTTCACTTCTCTCTTGTTCCTCCTTTCATTATCACCTCCAAAGTTCCTGTAACACTCATACCCAGACGTATCATACAGCCGGGCAGCGAGCATACCCCGCGGAGAAACATACTCTACGACGACCGAAAGCACTCCTACGTCTTCCATTCCACTTCCTTGAATTCATCCTAGAATTATCCCCAAAGCGATCAATCTTCACCCACTGCGAGGATCAGTAGGTATTATAATAAATCTCCAGCACTCAACGATCAAGCTAACAATCATTCCAGCGTCAGACCATACACCCTAGCACATTGCCACACACTTTCTCCCACAGAGTTTCACGAATCAGTCCAAAATATTGCAACGATGTCGTTTCCGGCGAACACAGAAATCACTGCACGCATCTCCCGCGATCAGACTGCCGTGGCATCTAAGAAATTGCTTACGGACTCCGAGTTAGCATTAATGGCCATGAAGAAAGCAAGGCATACGATCAAATACTCGACCATTTACGATCGTGGGGCATGGATGACAGCTGCCGAGTTCGCGACCAAGAAAATCAAGGCCCTCGAAGCGGAGGCCAAGTACCTCCGACATCTGGCCAATCTGAACGAGGACGAGGATGCCGATGAGCCTGAGGAAGTAAGGGATGCTGCCCTCTTGATTGAGAAGACAAAGGCGGCTACGCTCGAGAAGCATCTTTACCAGAGGCAAGTCGACAGGATCACACGCGGAGAAGCTGCTCCGAGATCCCTTGCCTCCTTGACGGCGTGTTACCTCGGAATCGGTATCGAAAAGGAGGGCACGGGCAAAATCACCCGAGTCGAGCGGTCCCAGTACAGAAGGACGCTACTCAAGGAATACGACGCATGAATGAGCAGGCCAAAACTGCCGGGGATAATCGATTTTGTTTTCGATTCAGCCACCGGCACCCTTAAAGGCGCTTTGTCCATGGTTGCAGCACCCGTTGTACCCTATCAATTCGGCCCCGAAATGATGGCCGCGCTTTTCGGAGAGGGCGCCCAAGCAGAGCTACTTTCCGCACGCAACAACCTCCTCCTCTTACACCAGGTCGAGCGCGCCCTCGACCATGGGGCCATAGCGATTGTACCAAACATCGAAGATAATGAGTTGGCAAGCGATAAGGCGTTGGCCGAATGGGAAGCGCGTCACCCACGAGAATACAAGTGGAAGGTGATTGATCCGAAGGCGGAGGACTTTCTGGATGTTCACTTCTATCACACATTGCCGGCCACGATCGAACATCCAGGGATGGCAGTTAAGGAATTAGACGGGAAGCAACTCCACTTCCGACCGGCATGTACATTCCGTCCAAGGGTGGAATATCTGTACTTTCTGTTTGTGCTTTCCATCCTCAAAATGGCGTGGCGGCACGATATTGATAACCGCGCTAAGCCTGAGGATATCGGCATGCTCAAGCGACTGATTGGAAAGAAGGCATGGACTACAGAGAGTCAATACCTGCATCGGGCAATGGTAGTGGCCCTGGGACTAGAAGTGGAGATAAGCGGCCTTAACGACGAGGAAGCCCAAGACAAGGAAGAGATTGCACTTTTGGCACTTATTAGAGCGTTTGATGTTCCGAAGACAAGATTTGAAGAGGAATGCGAGTTGAATTGGGGAGAAGATGAAGCGGATGAGGACGATGATGATAGATGTGGTTATTGGGACGTCGTTGAAGAGGACGATTGAAAGCCGAAGCAGCTGGAATGGGAGGAAGATGATGAAGATGGTGAAGATAATGAAGATGATGAGTAGTTTTATTGGGACCTGGACGATCATGATTAGTTGGCCTTTTTGATTAATTAGGGGCCTTCCTTAGCTAATAATACTAGATTTAATATTAAGGCTAGGCAATCTTACAAGGCGGGGCCAGTTATCTGCTCTAAATTTTGAGACTAGCCTTGTGCCCCCCCATCAAGCCTTAACACTCTCCCCATACTCCCGCTGTGGTAGTCTTCATGAGCTTTCAAAGTGTTTTGGCTTATGGATGAACCGGGCGCCTGATAATGATACAATCGCCACGAAATATCTGATTCCTTAGTCAAGGCTTCTTCGTGTCCGGCGTCTGATTTCTCAGACTCCCACTGTCGTTCCGCCGTGAAGGAATTGTTGGATTCACCCTCAGATTCAGGCCCCCCTTCCTCGTTCTCTTGGAGGTAGCCAAGTCCAGGACCTTTGGAAGATTCCTCGTTCTGGGCAACTGAAAGGGATTCCTCGTCCAGTCCACGGTCCGGCAACACAAACAAAGCTACGTCTTCTTGGTGGCGTCCAACGTGACGGGAGTATGATTTGAACGAGTCCAGCTCTTCGTTGCACAACTCACAATTTTTGGGCGCATCAAGCGGTCTATCGTGTTCGGCCAGTCGAACGAGGCTCTCTGGGCTCAGAGTCTCCGCATGTTCCTTATGGAACGTTGCAAGATGGGATTCAAGCGCGGGTATGTCTTCGATGTGTGTGTTTTTGCATCCTAGGGGACACAGCCATGTTTTCCAGTGGGCTTGTTGAACGTGCTGCATCCACTGATGACGTCGTTGGAAGTCTTGCCCTGTGACGTAGCAGTCCGGATGTAGGCAGATATAGGGCCGTAAGTCTCCGAGAACATGTTTTCTGTTAGACGGGTCAGTCAGCATGGACAATGACCGGAAGAGGGCTTTAGGCCGTGATAAGATTCTCACCTCCATGCTTTCGTTGTCTCAACTGATATCATCCGGTAACAGAAAGGGCACTCAACTGGCCCATTCTCTGCTTCGTCTGGAATCGAGGGTACTCTTGATGCTCTTCCATCAGGAGCAGAGCTAGGAGCAAAGGAGGTCTCGATTCGACCAGCCTCAGAGCGGCTGTCGCAGTCCTCGAAACCAGAACCGTCCGAGCTAGATGCTTTCAGATGTTGCGGGAGAGAAGAGGCCACAGTGGTGTCTCCTATTGTCTTTGTGTCATCGCATCCTGTCGGCTCCATGTCCTCGTTTGGCAGTCCTTGCGCAAGTTTCTGATGATGCTCCTCCCGGTACCGAAAAAATTGGCGCCTAAAGGAGTTGGCTTTCCCAAGCTGTTTGACAATTCCTTGATCTGCGGAAGGAAACTTATTCCGGATATGGGCTGTGTCGAACATTTCAAAATGGGAGGTGTCGGTCATTGTTGCCCGCCTGAAGCGACCGTGAGGGGCGGGATTGTGGATCGAGACTGATAGCCTGAAGAGGCAGTTGATGATCTCAGAGGCTTCAGAAACAATCTGCGATAGTTCGGTAAGATCTGTAGGACCATAAGGTTCAGAGCCATCACTGTCCGAGTCCTCGCCGTCTGAAGTGGATTCGATGTTGTCCCAAGGTTCGACTGTTCCGTTGGCTATTGAAGCCGCCGAACAAGAAGGTTCCCAAATTCACACATTAGCCTTGTACCAGCTGTGGATCTCTCAAGGCTCAAACTCACCATCCTGAAGACATTCCAGCAGGTCGTCCAACAAATTGATCACCTGGGCCCGGATGTGCGATGCATCCCGTAGCCGGTAATCCAGCGAAGACCTCCCCGCGCGATGTGCCCCCAGGTTCGTCACCCATACTCGGAATCTTCCCAACTCATTCTTGATCAAAGGACGAAGACCTTCCGGGACATCGGCATCAACCCGGCCAGACTCTGGAGGAAGACTGTCATTCAGTGACCTGAACCCGTTAAGGCATGAAGGTACCAACGCCGAGATATTCGCCATGGCTTCAGATTGCCGATGAAGGGCTTCTTCACCTTTCAGAGAATTTTGGAGCCGTAGGTTGAGTTGACAATGTGACCGTAAAGGGAACCCATGACGAGCAGTGAGATGGGAGCAGTGAAGTCGTGGAAAGTGGCACACTTGAGCCGCCTTACGTAAACAGGTAGGACAGGCTCAATAACAGGTCCCAAAGGCGGGGTCAGGCAGCGCGGGGAAAGAATGGACTGCGCCACTGTGCGACGGTGGTTATTGTTGGCGGGCGCCAACCTCAATGTTGGCGATTTGTGCCTCTCGACCCCAATGATGGCCGCCTGGAATGTACCCATCTACCCCTATTCCTTTCACCACGTACACGTCTACCGCTGATCAGGCCCGGTTCTGACAGTTCTTCAGTTCATCCACCGGCCTATCTCACCTCTGAGTATCCAGCTATGTCAGGATTTGAGGTCGCGGGCCTTGTCCTTGGGGCGTTGCCTCTCATTATCTCTGCCTTGGAGGGCTATGCCAAAGGTGCCGGGGCCATACAACAATGGCGATTCTACACACGGGAGCTCAGGATCCTGAAGAGAGGATTGGAAACAGAGCACGTGAAGCTTCAAAACGTCTGTGAGAAGCTTCTTATGGGTATAGCGCAACCACCCATCATCGAAAAGATGATCGAGAATACGTTCGGGCCCCTTTGGAAGGAAGCAGAGAATCCAGAGATCTACCACAAGATCCGGCAGAGGCTATGGAGAGCAGCACGTATCTTTGAGGAGAATGTCAAAGACATGAATCGTGCCCTTCAAGAGCTGCAAGAGAAGTTGAACGTAGGTCCGGATGGTCAGGTAAGAGAGCTCCTAGCACTTTAGGTGTTGAGAAAAGAAGGCAAAGATGATCAATTGCTAGAGGTACCAAGGATCCTGCTAACAACAACCGTACGTTAGCCTCGGTTAGATACGCAAGGAGTCAGTTTCAGAAAGGAGCTGAAGAGGCTATCATTCGCCCTCAACAAGTCGGTGTATCTGGAACTGCTGACTCGCATACGAGATGGAGTTTCAAGCCTAGAGGCATTGACCTCCCAGAACTCAGACCTGGAGCCTGAGCGGAACAAACGATCTAACGGGAGGTTATATCGTATCATGCATTCCCTATCCGGTGGTATCTATCAGGCCCTATGTACAGCAATGACTGCCTGTCAGTGCCCTACTTCTCATCTTTTGGGCCTGAAACTATCCTCACCTCCCCACACCAGCGTCATACCGGACGATGAGGATGAAGATGTGGTCAGGAACTTGTCTGTAAAGCTCGCGGTATCTGATCAGAACATCGCACACGGAAAGCTCGATCGATTATGGTGCTCTCTTGTGGTCAAACCCTCCAGTCGACCTCGTCAATCTCAAATTTACCAGCAACCGACTGCTCCTGTGGAGTCTGAACGTCCAACGAAGCGGGCCCGGAAAACCGTTATGTTTTCCTTCTCAGAAAATCCAGCAGCAAGGAGACCTGGACTGTTGTCGCGTTATTCGTCCCAGTCATCTGGAGAGGTGGAGGTAACATCAAGGTCTTCCACCCAGACCCTGACCTTGGATGTAACCAAGACAAAGCCGGAAGCTTCAAATGAGGACATCATCATGGATCTTTGTGAAACTGTACGACAGCTCCCCAGCCTACAAGCAAGCGGTTGTTGCGGCCATATCACCGGACCAGCGGCAGTCGACGCATCGGCAACAGAAAGATACGGTCTCTATGCACTAGGTCATCTCCTTCCCTCGGACAGCTTTGGCCAATGCTCATTCATATCTCTCCACGAAGTATTGACCGAGCAGCTCACTGCTCCTGCTCCTTTCTACGACGAGGACAGGCTAAGACTTGCCTACATCCTGGCATCCAGCGTTCTTCAACTGGCAGGAACCCCCTGGCTCACAACCAAGGTGACAACGAAGGACATCTTTCTCATCCGATGCAACGGCACAACGCATTTACAAGAAGCCATCGTCGTCAGACAACTTCCCGCACCATCGGATCTCATGCAACTTGATGCGCAGCCGCCACAAGACTATTCCTGGGCATCATCCTCATCGAGATCATGCTCGGCACACCATTTGATAGCTTCCGCGAGTCCCATACCAAACAGCATGGTCCTTCAACGCTGGGATCGTTCTTCTCCGACTACGAGACAGCAACAACGCTGCTTGGCAGGCTCGAGACCAAAGGCGGCCCAAACTACAAGCGCGCTGTTGAACGATGCATCAAGTGCAAGTTTCCCCCGCCGAAGCCAAACCTCGACGGTGATGAATTCAGGAGACTTGTGTATGGTCATGTGGTAGCACCGTTGGAAGAGGATCTGAAGGAATATTGTTGAGCTACACTCCACGCACGCCCAAAAACTCCCCAGGTACGCCCTTCAAGTACACCCTCTTATGACACTCAAGAACAAGGATTCCTTACTTCTATCTGCATTGGCTTTTGTGTTTGATATATACTATTCCATCTATTCCAAGTCGATTTAACATCATTCCACTTCCTCTACCGTCGTTGAGGAAGTGTATTGTCTAGTAGACGTCGTGTTCTGTACTTAAGGTAGGTACCCATCCTCTTTTTAGTCCGACCGTAAAATGCAACCATATACGACTGTTTTGAAGGAAATAAAAGTAATAGGAGTTGAGGAGCAGACTAGAGTCCATATAGCATTGCATTACTGGTTGTGTTAGAGGTAAAAGTATAAATATGGTGACTTACCTTCTGGCACCTCGGAAAATGGGCGTACCTGGGGAGTTTTTGGGCGTGCGTTGGAGTGTAGCTCATATTGTTTGCCCAAATTTCTGTGATGACACATGACGGTTGGAGCTTCACGAAGCACTTGGTGATTTAGACTGAAGTCACAAGCTTGCAACAAGTGACGGTGCCAAAGGATCAAGCAAGCGTCGACGTGCATTCTGCCAAACAGGGAGGTCCGGACTCGGAACTCAGGATAGAATCCGGACACAGATCTTCCGCGGATATATCTGCAGTACCCCTTACCCTTGACTTCAAAAATCCCCCATTCGACCTCTCCTACTCTGTTCCCTATCAGTGTGCTGGAAAAGGAGAAGTTACAAAACCCACGCTTTGCCAGAACCTCCAGTCCAAACCAAAAATGTGCACCATCTGGCTCGAAGGAGAAGTCACCTACCCGTGCGGACACGTCGTCAAGCACTCGTACCGCACCTTGGTCCAGCTCAAAGGGTGCAAGTTAAGTCCCTGCACCTCGGTATCAACCTACACGCCTGGTAGGACGGTTTCCTTCCCTTGCTCGGCTTGTCAGTCTGATGGCTCGTACTATTGGGAGGAAGGGTGGAACGCGTGGGTCAGGAGACAGGTGAGGTTTGCGAATACTGGTTAAGGGGCAGAGAAAGGACGACAATACATGTTACAGGAAGAGTGCCAGACTGGGAACGATGTATGTACCCTTAGGAAGGATGTGTTGAGTTACAAACGACAGTGTTAATGACATCCCCTTTTCCCCGCCAAGTCCCAGCTACCATGGGTTCATGACACTGCCACCAGACACTCTCCCACAACACCCCTAGCCCCCCTTCCAGCACCTCAAGTCTTGCCCTGCCTCATCTTCCAGCCTCTCATCTTCCCTCCAAACCCACTTAAAACCAACAAAGTCCACACCAGGCCCCAAATCTCGACCTCCTTCAACACCTCTCCCTAACCCCTAAACCCCCCAACAGCCTCCGTCCAAGCCGCATACTCCTCCCCGCCCAAATACCCCTCCCCCCTCAACTCCTCCACAACCCCCAACACAAAAGTCTGGTCATTAAACCCCTTATCCGTCGGCGGGAAAGTGATATACCGATCCACTCTCTCCAGAAACGCATCCCTCATGTTCTCGTCCGCCACACAAAGCGGGATGAACGTCCCTTGCATGTCGAGGAGTTGTTGCGTGGTGAGGTCGGCGGAGGGGAGGTAGCTAAAGATTGGTTGCTGCTGGATTTGGGACTGGGACTGGGAAAGAGAGGAAGAGGTGATGATGGGTTGAGGCGCCACTTCGTAGATCTCCCAGGGGGAAGAGGGAGAGGTGATGGAGTGCGAGGGGTGGCCGACGCCGGAGAAGGGAGCGGAGATGGCGAGGAGCCAGCGGTAGAGGTGGTTGCCGTAGGCTGGGCGGAGAGAGGGGGGGAGAGGGAGGATGATGGTTTGGATGGAGCGTTGGCCTTTGAGGAGTGACATTGTTGGTGTTTGTTGGTCAAGATTGAACTTCGTGAAACTGAGGTGAGTTTCCTGTTGATCTGTTCGACGAGTGGTTTGGCTCCCTGACCTTATGTCTTTAATGAGTCTCGAACAATGAATGCCCTGGCGAGATGTGTTTGCGGCTCGATTACTGATTATGCGGCTCGTGCCGGTGTTTGCTGTCTGTTGGGCCGACTTCTTTGTTGCGATAGCGGGACAGAGATTGACCGTTGAGATGTAATCAAGATCACGCTGGAATGTTTGTCCCTTGTTTGTTTCGAGCCCAACTGTTAGGCGTCCTGCTTTTATACCACAGTGACCGTTCAGAACTCCAGACATCGTCAACCTCGGGCGTCTCGATACCTCCATCCTCTGACACAAATGTCATTTCTGCACTCTCGTTGGTTCCCAACAGGACGGAAACTCCAAGGGAAGAGTGACAGGCAACACGTGGAATGCGGCACGGACGGGTACCATTTGCAATGAAACAACCGCACCGTCTGATAAGGATCACAAGCGCTTACGTTCACCTCCGTCTTCGGCCGCCATGGCTGTTGAAGACGGCGGGGTCTTACTAACAATAGCCCCGAGGTCACCAACTCCCCTCATGCTAATGCCTCTTCAGTAATATTACCGACACTGTTGGCAGAAGGTTTGCTCCCAGGTAGTCGGACAGTGGATGCTGTCAGGGCTCGCTTATTCTGATATGTGCCCCATTGTCGAGGCTGAGTCAACAAACGGTGCACCATGAGTGGTGCAGTAGCCGGTAGACGAGCGGGAGGAATGCGGCGGGCAGCACAAAAGAGTGCTGATTGACGGAGTTTGCGATCGGCGTCGGGAATTATGGGACGAATAGGTCAGGCTCAAAAGTGGAAGCCTAGTAGAGTTTCACACAAAAGGATCGTTGCCCCCATATGTTGTGGAGTGATGTGTCACACTTTGTCAGAGCATAATACCTGTCGCGGGTTTTGTCATCAAAGACGTTGGGATCGCCAAAGGATGGAATGTGTTGCTTCAATGTTTTGTTGGCATTGTCCATCAAGGATCGAAGTTGGAAAGAACCATGGCCCGGGGACCAGGATCCCACCTCCCGATCCTCTTCCTTCCACTGATGGATTTCTTGCCATCACACTCGCAACTCCGGGTCGAGCCCAGCCAGGAACGTTGCACTCACCACCTGCTTGATGCACAGGACAAGGTTGATGAGAAGAGAAGCAGCTGCAACCACCACCAACACGCAAGTGACGACGCCAAAGAAGGATGAGTTCAACTCTGACCTGAACTGCACCGTGGAAAGCGCAAACGCCGCCACCGGGATGACGGTATCATTGCATTGTCCCTTCCATGACAGTCTTCTGCGGATGGCATAGCTCACGAATGCCATCAGGGAGAAAATAAGCCAGAGAACGGCCAAGCCAAGGAGGAGCAAGGCCAGAAGGATGCACACCACGTGAGTAGCTTGCGCCGTAGCAGGCGTGAACAAGTTGCCACTTGAAGCTCTTTGGGTGTCGTCGTCACCGAGAATAGCACTGACGTTCTCCGCTGCTCTCCCGAGTATCTGTACCGCCGCGGCACAAACACTCGCTGATCCCATCACCCACAAGGAAAGCTTGACCAAGTGGGCGGACGCCGTTCTTTCCACCTGGATCATCTCCTGCTGCAGCACCGCATACAGTAACAGCGTCGTGAAGAGCGCCACTCCCTCCACACAAAACGACAACACCAACACCGTCGCCGCCATGCCCACTGATATTGTCCCCAACCTCACCAACACCGACACCAACAGCCCCCCAACCAACGCCAGCAACCCCATCCCAAAAGCCGAAGACAGCAAGCATCCCGGCAACGCCACCCTCACCTCATTTTCTTCCTCTTCTCCATGCCCAGCTCCAACTCCCTTCCTCAACATCCACCTCTCACTCGGCCTTCCCACCGCCCCCGTCAAAATCCCCATCACAAACACCATCGTCCCCGTCATCCACGCCACTCCAATCCACCACATCACATAAGCAATCATCGCCAACACGCGTCTCCTCAACTCTTTTCCTCCCCCGTCAGCGTCAGCATTGACATCAGCAGCCTCATTTCCATTCCCATTCCCATTCCTATCCTCAGCCTGAGCCTGGTTGTCATCGTCATAGCTAGCAAGAAATACAGCAAAAGCGACCAACGTCAGCCAAGCAACCGGCCAACAAGCGAGAGAGCCGAGCTTGGTGGCGTTGGAAGTCAGCTCGTGGCATAACTGGCGCGGTTTGTTGCAGCACTTGGAGTGGAGGACGGAGCAGTAAAGCATGAGCAGGGAGAAGAGGATGAAGAGGACGACGTCGGTGATGAAGAGGGTGGTGATGAGGGTGGTGAGGCCGCGGAAGTGGTAAGGGGGAGGGAGGAGGAAGAGGACCAGGGAGAGGAGACCGAGGTTTGTGGGCCAGGTGAACCTTCGTTTCTGTCAGCTTTGATGAGGTGAGGAAGGGGTGCTGGTGGCGTACCATGATAGCCCGTAACTTTGGATGAGAATGTCCCATGGGCTTCTTGGACGCAAGTCCTTCCGTTGATGCTGGTACGGGCGCTCACGATAACCGAGTTTGCCGGCCCCAATGGCGGATCGAGGCAGCGTGAACGGTCCTACGTTTGCGTGATGTGGCCGCCGGCGTCGCTTGCTGAAGATCTTTCGTAGCTCCGGACTCGTTGACACGTTTGTGAGAGTGTCCCCGAAGAACTCGGAGATCTTGGAGCTGGGCCTCGCGGCCGTCTCGATCATGATTGGAATGATGCCCTCTCGCTTTTCCACGCTGTACATGATGCTCGCTGTGCAACCGAAGGTGATGATGCGGAAGAAAAGCAGGGCGGAGGTTGTGCATGCGTCCTGCATGCCTACAAGTACGGAACTGTTGACCGTCCAACGTCATGATGAGTGGCTTGGCCGTAATACCCACATCAAGCTTGAGCGGCCTGTCTGTGCCCCTTCCAGTGTTCAACAGCTTGATCTAATCCTTGAACCATGCAAATATCGCAATGAAGGGACTCACGATGGTGGCTCGAAAGTAAACAATATCCAAAAGTTGCAATCTCATGTAAGTGATACAGTATCCAAGAGGTATCCAACACGTCCATGTATCCAAGAACGAAAATCCAGAAAGCGAAGGCCATCCAGCAAAAGGGTATCCAAAACAAACAATCCATCATAAAACACAAAGACACTCCGCCGGACTCCAAACCTGCCGCACCCTTTAAGAGCTCTCGTTCTTCATCTCATCAAGCAGATGTACAGTGCCTAGATAAGGGCCAAGTCCACACCGGACGCCACCGATACCTCGTACGTCTCGCTCTCGTTCGTCTCCATGGCGCTGAGGATCTTGCGTTGGATTTTGGCAACTATAGCGTCCGTGCTTTCATCCATGATTTCGCTGCTGGTGGCGAGGAAGTGGCCTTTCGTCTAGAGGATGGTGGTCTCGCCTGTGGTGGGGTTGGTGATGGTTGCTGTGGCTTTGGCGGCGAGGGCTGGGAGGGGGAGGGGGTGTTAGTGCTCACACGGATGAAGTAGGGGAGCGAAAGGAATAAGTGAAAAAGGGGGTGAGAAAGGCCAAGGACCAGAAAACAAGGGTGAAACTTACGAGTAAACAACCCACTCTGCACCTCCATCACCGTCGCCCCATTCGCGTCCTTAAGCGAGTACGTCGTGTGCAAGTGCATGTACTCCCTCCCCAGTGTCCAGAGGTGCTGGTTGGTTTCGCTGTCCGTCGCCGTCTTCTTCGAGCCGATCAGCTTGCCTTGCACCTTGACGATGGGTTGGCCAGTTCCCTTCATCCGGATGTCGAAGCTGTCACCGGACAACGACATCACCTTTTCTTTGAGAACAAGAGTGTTGAAGCCGGGCTGGGCGAAGTAATTGCCGAAGACGCCGATCTTTTGGCGGACGGGAGGGAGGACGGTTTTGGTTCAAGGAATGGGGCCGGGTTTTGACGTGTAATACACCTGGGTGAATGAGCGTAATGCTACAAATACATAAGGATCCGTTCTCATCCCGACAAAACATTTTATCCCGGCGGACCGATCTGGTAGACAAACTTCCAGTTAGTCATATAGAAGGGACGTAGCGCAGTTGAAGACGTACAAGATGCGTTCTTGGATGAACAAGGAGAGAGCAAGACGTGCGTTCCAAGTGTCAGGCTAAAAGGTTTGTGTAGTCAATTGAATTGATTGAAAAGGTGATGAAGATGAGGAGAAGAAGAAGACTCAAAGGCCGGGGAAGCCCAGCTTAAATGCAGGAAGATTCGTGGCCGGCCGTGGTTCCTGTCGGCCACTCTGGCTCTGGCTTCCTTCCCATACTTGGCTGTCTTCCTGTCCTCCTTCCATTGTGAATAGCTTCCTCTTTCCCACAAGGAGGGCTTCCTTCCCGACGAGTGTGTCACTATTCCCATTGACTGCCCCTGGCAGCAGCCGCCTCCCGAAGCTTCTCACACTCCAGCCTAGCATCATCTCGCGCCTTCCCATCGACCTCCTCGCCTTCCTTTGTCCGATCAAGCACAAGCTCATCCACTTCAACGAAGGCAAGAACTTTCCATCCCCAAACGCCTCAATCCACCCTTCCAAGAACGGCGCCAGCCCAACCGGCCCCCTGAAATGCAACTCCTCCAACTTCCGCGGCAAAAACCGCCACAACATCCTCAACAGCGCAACCTCCAACCCATCCAGAGATGATAATAACCGCTCCCCAACACTCAACCTCAACACCTTCAACTTCTCCAGCACCAGCAAGAACGTCGCAAAGAATACTTCCTCCGGCGCATCATCGTTTGCCCACTCTCCCATGTCGTTATAGTCCGCGGACTGAAGCGTCACCTTCTCCAAACCCGCTGCTGCGGGGAAGCATTGGAGGCAGAACCCAATGAACATGATGATCGCATTATCCCCAATGATCTCAAGCGTCTTGGTCTTAGTGGGGTTTAACTCCCTTCCGACTCCGGCCTGGCCTGGACATAATGCTTTAACATTCTGTTCTGTAGTTTATGTTTTCGAGGTGTTCAGTTCTCCATTGCCAAGACCCTTCTCTCCTCGGTCTCACCGATGTCAACGAAGGGTAAAAAATCCTCTAGCGACTCCCAATTTTCGAGACTGTACCATTTCAGGTTATGGCAGAAGCCATATGCTCAATTCGACCTTCGATGATGGCGGGGGTGGTGACTTCTACCGTTGCTGGACAGGAGAGGACGAGAAGGTCGAGTGGCCAGGAGAGAGGGAAGGTACCGTCGATTCAGTTCTCCGGGAAGCCTGTACATACATGGAGTTTTTGAACTTTGGCGAAGTGGGAACCGATGATATGCCAGTCTTCGTTGCAAGGAGTGTTGTTGTCGATGTAGAGGATGGGGGAGTTGGGGTCTAGATGGAATAGGGATTTGACATCAACCAAGGGGGTGGCCAGCATGTCCAAGTGGGGGATGCCGCGAGAGGAAGCATTTTGGGCGGTGGTTGAGGCGAGGTGGGTTGCCTAGTTTGAGGGTGGTGAGTCTGCTTTCTTGTCGATTCCTTTGGAGGTCTTCTGGCGAGAAGCCTTGGGGCTCTTTACTGTGTTCGGTGTTGTTGCGATCTCTCCCGTCTCGTTGACGCTCTGGGAAAAATGGAAGACTCCGCGTATTTGGTGTTTTGGACTACCAACTCAGAAAGCACACGACATCGTCGTCTGGATGTGTCGTTCGATATCATGGCATCGCTTTCCCTTCAATCCTCCAAGTTCCAGTCAAACAGGTGGCTGGGCTGACTTGATGGCTGTACGGGCTGTGCCGAAAACGGGCATGCATCGTAGCATGCAGTGCGGATCCGGGGTTCAGGGGTTAAGGCATGGCCTAGGCGCTTACTGATGTCAGATGTCGCTGTTTACCGACGGGATTCCAGCGTCATGGAGTAAGACGCTTAGAATTTGTCCTGGCAACGCTTTTCAGGCTGGTAAATTGCTTGTCTGCGATAGGTCTGAAGGATTTTATTGTCTTGTGGTGGTATTACATCCGAGTGTCCATGGAGTGTTTTTGTTGTTTTGGTGTTGACATCGCCAAGTTCAGGGGCGGGGTGGATGCCTCCATGCGCCAAGCCACAACCGCCGCCACGATGACACACATTTCAGCCCTGTGTGCCCAGAGCTATACGCTGTTAGTACAGCGCCCCACTCCCTATAAAGCACTAACAACATTGCACTGAATCCCACCACAGCGAATCCATGAGAGCACCACCACAAAGCACCCGCCTCAAAATAACACTTTCCCCTCACGATGACCACCCACTCGTTATATGACCCGGAGGCGAGGCACTATTGCCGAACCTGACTGGCAAGAGGTGCCTCATGTCAGATTTACTGGTGATTGATTGATTCTGTGTGTATCTAACTCGAGCGCTCTCTTCAGAAGGTATAGGGGTTCTGGGGGTAACCTATATTTGCCAAGACCTATTAAATCAAGTAGCTGGGACTCTAGCATTTAGTCTACATCTGGTTAGAATACTACCCTAGAATTTGATATACCCCCTCACTTACAAACCTCTTTTTCCTCTTTGAAGTTAAAAATAAAACTATTTACATATTACTCTCGTTATTTCATATTTCCAATCCTAATATTTTATTTAAATTATCGAAATCTACTTCTCCCAGTACCGGATTATTTCCTCCTCCGCTACTTTTTCGTAGTAGCACTTTAGCTATACTTAATAAATTCCTAAATCTCCTATACTCTAGAATTTTTAGTGTCTTCGTTAATCTATTTGCTAGTATTAACTTTATTTCTAAATATTCGATATTAAGCGTCTTTGTCTCGAGAATCTCTTCCCTTAATTAATATCTATAGATATCTACGTGCCTTATCTTTATACTGAAGGTAGGAGTCCCTTTTATAAGTACCTTAATTATTTGCTAATTATTATAATATAGAGTGGGAATAGGATTTTCTAATAACTTTATCCCTAATACTGATATTAGTTAGTTTATAAAGAGGGTTTCTTTAATTACCTTCTTAATTGCATATAATTTTGCTTTTATTATTAATATAGTAATTATGATTTATTTAGTTGCTCTCTAGTAAATTAAATTACTATATAGTTTAATTATAAATCTTTAAGAGCTTTTATGGTTACTTTTATTATTAGTAAACGAAGTATTAGAGGCAATTTCGAATTTATTATTCACGTTAAAGTAAAGTTCCTATATTTTTATTATTTTTAAATATTGTATAACCTTTTCGCTCGCCGCTCAGTGAGTAGGATTTGGATTATAATTATATTTAGTTAATTTACTTAACAAGAATATAATATCTAATCGAATATTATTTATTATATATAATAAAGAATTTATATTAATTTAGTACGTTCGTATTTCTATGTAGCTAGTAATACCTTTATATAAAATTAATTCCTTATGCCCTATAGATACTAAGGTTGGGCGGTAATTGGATTTAAGTAGTTTAGTAATTTTATTAATATATGCCTTTTGAAATAATTAGATTTTCCCTTAGTTTCGATTACGTATAACTTTAATACTTAGAAATTATTAGAGTTTATTTCCTCCTATTAAGTAATATTGTGATTATAATTCTATTGTATATTTCTTAACCTCTTCTATCTTACTTTTATCGAACGTAAAGACGATATTATCTATGTAGTATAGTATAAGAATACTATTTTTTCTTTATAATATACAGGTTTTTAAGGATTATTTTAAATCCTATCGATTTAAATACCCCGCTTAGTTTTCGTTCCTATAGTAAGGAAGCTTGTCGGAGATTATATAAAGCCTTAATAAATTTAAGAACCTTCCTAAGTATTCGATACCCTAGCAGTATATGTATATAAATTTTCTTATTGAAGTAAGTATTTATAAAAGCGTTAATTACGTTGTATTAAATAAATTCGAAGTTAAAATGGGTAGTAAGAGCGATAATAGTACGAAACAATCGATTAGTTAGGGTAGATGCGTACGTATTTATTTTTATTTTCTTCTATTAATTACCCTTTACAACGAACTTCGTTTTTACTTTATTAAATGTCCTATTCTTACTGAATTTATAATTATAAACCTATATATAATCGAGGATTTATTTACGTTTAAAGTAGGGAGTGTTTTTATTGATTTTAATTTACGTTTTTATATCTTCATAATTTTTAAAGTAAATTTCCTTTACTTCCTTAAATTATTAACCGAATATATAATTATTAAGATTATAGTGCTTCTTAGGTATTAGGGGGAGATTACGTTAGTATACTTTATTAAAACGATTATATTTTGTAATTAATATTTTAACTTCCGCTTTAGTAATTATCTTTTCATTTATTTTAATTATTAATTAGGTTAATTTACTAGCGTTAAAAACAATTTCTTATGGGTCTTAATAATGGGAAGATTAATTTATAATTTAGTTAATAAAATAACCAGTATAGAGTGCGGTCAGCGGAGTAAATAGAGGCGACGGGTATAAATTTATAATATATTCGATAGATATTTTATTATGAATAGCTGTTAAATTAGTATTTCCTATAATTAATTACTCTTATTTTAGGAAACGTTTTAATTCCTTTATTAATCCTCCTAATTTTAATTATGGAAATTTGATAAGAAAGGTTTAATATTACTATTATTAATATTGTTTAATAGCGTATAGCTTTTAATATAAGATAGTCCGGATACCCCCGAAGGTTGGTTAGTGGGTTTATTTATCCTATTAAATAAGTCAGCAAATTCCACGTTAATAGTTTTGAAGTCGTCTTTAAATTTTTTAACGTTTAGATAGTAAATAATATTCTTATTAAATATTATTTTTTTATTTTAAACGATCCGATTTATATAGGAATTTTATATACGATAAATAGAAGTCGTTGAATAGCCAATGAAGTACCCGATTTAGGCCTTTGGGTTATACTATTGAAATTTTTATTCCTTCCTTTAGGCGGCGCTTATTATAGTAAATATTTTATACTTATAAATTCGAAAGTGGCTTAGATTTAATTTACGTAATTTTTATTAACCGTATTAGTTTATAATATAGGTATAGAATCGTTCGAAGGGAGATTTTTAATTATATAAGTAACGAGGGGAACAATTAATAAAGTAAACGGCCGCGTAAATAATTTTTAACTATAAACTTTCTAATATTTTTGAATTTAATAATATTGTATAATATTTCTCTTTAATTATACTTTTTAAATATTTTTCCCTTCTATTTTATATTTAAGTATCAGGAATAGAAGGTTTAAGAATTATATTATATTAAGCGAGTGTACCTTTAATTTCGATGCTTATAAAATTTTCATTATATTCGATAATTTTAATATTAATAGTATATTAATATTTAAATATTCAGGTATAGTTAGCTAAGGTATTAGTTATTATAATAACTTTTTTTAGTTCGATAAGTAGTAATTTTAAATGAATTTTAATTATTGATAGGTAATTAGAAGAAGATAATATAATTTTCTAAATCTTAATTTGAAATCGAAGAAGTCAACAGCGAATTTTTCTCTTGGGCTATAGCCTCGGTTTTTCGAAACGCGGTTAATTTATCATTTTATTTTTACTATCCTATACGCGTTGCATTTAATTAAAGGTATACTGCGTAATTATATTCCGTTAACATTTTGTAAATAATCGAATACTTAAGGATTTAGGTAGCCGAACTATTAATACTATATTTCCACTAGTTATTTCGAAGGTCGTTTCGTATATAAATTAATTTAATAATAGCGCGCTATAAACGAGGCTTTAATAAATAAATGAAAAATAGTTTTAATAATTATTTAACTATAGATAGTATTTAAATAGTAAAAGAATAAACTGTGAGTTTTCTTTAAATAATTATTTAGTAGTTAATAGTCCTAATAGAAATCCTACCTTCGCAATTAGAATAGGAAACGAAATTAATAGTAAAATTAAAATAAAAGGCGACCTCCTTTAACCGTAATTTTAAGGGACCGATTTTACCCTTAATAATAATATCGACCTCTTTAAAGCCTTTAATTTCTATTTAAATATTATTAGCCTATAAAGAATTATCCGGATTAATATAATAAAAGTAAAGAAAACGAATAATTTTATTAAATATATAAAGCGAGCTATTTAAATTGAATATTATTGAGTTCTTAAAAAGGTAAATTTCGTTTTTAATTTTAAATATCCCATTAATTTAGAATGTCACTTTATAAATCCGATTTAATAGTTACGCTAATTCTTCCTTTTCGACTTTCTCCTCCTTTTTAAAGAATTTAATTACTACTTTAGCGAATTTTAAATTTCTTATAAAATTGGCTTTAATAACGCGTTTAACAGAAGGATACAATTTAAAATATAAAAGCTTTACGTTAGGGTTAATATATTAATAATTTTAAGGAAGTAATAACTTTTTTTATATATTTTATATAGCATAGCGTTACTCCTTTTACGTAATTAAATTTCGGATGTATCCAATAAGAACTTTTTTTTCTTAATATTAAAACCTTTTGGCTTTTTATTCTTACCTTCGTAATACACGTCCTTATTTTTAATAGTATAAATTTCGCGATTATATTTTTTAATTATTATATTCAATATTAATTTCGCTAGTACCAAAAATATTACAATAAATTCCTTCTCTTTTAGTAGTAACCCCGCAACGAACGCTATCGATACTATACTATTTAAAGTCCTTATAAACTTCTATATATTTAAGGGTATTAGCGGCTATTTCTTTATTGAATTTCTAGGCGCTATTATATTACCCCGGGTATATAATTTTAATTGCGTTAATAAAGTTAAAATACTATAAGTTAGCAACGAAAATTTCCCCGATTCCTTTACTTTAACCATTACTTATAATAATAAATTAAATTTATAATTAATTAATTTAATTCTTAAATTCTTTTATAAGGATAGCAACGGCTTTATAGTATATTTTTCTTACTTTAATTTAATTATCGACCGTTTTATAGTTCGTTATTTACTTAAAATTTTAATACAATTCGTCGGTATTATATTCCTCCCTCATAATTCTATTTTATAGTCCGTAGCTAATTAACAATCTTATTTAGGTACGTAAAGCTTTATTACTAACTATAAACTCCTTCTAATCATTCTTATTATCGGGATAAAATTGAATTTTAATTTATAAAGTTACTTATTAATAAGGTCGTCTTCGGTAATAAAGGTATCGATTATAATTTCGTTTCGGTCGCAGTATTTAATAGGTTCTTTATAGTTAATCCCGTTTTAGTAGACGATGGTTTAGGAATTAATACCGCTATTAAAACGTACGAACTCCGCCTCAATATTATTAATACGGATTTTAACTTCCTTTATTATAGGGTAGTAATTAGGATAAGGCTATTTCGGGGCGGATAGCTTCTTAGTCTTTCTTTAAAACTAATCCGTAAAGGTATTAGAGATATATTTTAATTAGAATATAGGTTCCTATCGCGATTAATCGTCGCTGTCTTTAAAGTAAACGACGTTTTCTTTCATCTCAGTAGGCTTTGAGAGGGACATCGTAATCTGGTTATTGTTTATTATTCGTACGTGCTAATCGTTGTATTAATAGGGTGTATATTAGACTATTAATTATCAGATTTACTAGTAATTGATTGATTCTATGTGTATCTAATTCGAGCGCTCTCTTCAGAAGGTATGGGGGTTCTAGGGGTAACCCATATTTGCCAAGACCTATTAAATCAAGTAGCTGGGACTCTAGCATTTAGTCCATATCTGGCCAGAATGCCACCCTAGAATCTGACACCTCAGAGTTGTTCGTTACACGGCAGCATAAACCAGTGGACTACCGATTACCCACCATGGCCCCGTCGCGCCGGCGCTTACGGGCAGCGATCGGTTGGCTGTAACGGTGAGCGGCTCCAAGCCTCCAATGAAGATCTCCAGCTCTAGCTAACGCGTCAAAGCTACAGTCGGATTGGCTCTCCGGCAGCATGGCCTATGATGATGGTTCTCTGGTCCGCTGTACAGGGGCAATCCCTGCTGGTTGCAATGAGAATATAGGTGGGCTGGGCCTCCATGGTGTACGACTTCATCTTCCTTCAACCCAAACAAAAGGGAAACCATCTACCGTTCTTTGTGAGAAAGTTACAATTGATGTTGGTAAGAATCACTGAGAGGCTCCCTCTGTTCTTCAGCTAACATCGATGTAGGCGGCGTATTTGTTTGGAGTATTGACAAGCCCCTGAAAGTTCGGGCTGCCATTCTCACCGTCAACATCCATTGCTCCTTTTGACCACAGCCTTGATAGCCAGTCTTACGATGACCTGGATCCGGCACTTACGCTCGGAGGAGCTCAAAGTCTTGGATCAGGAAGTTCTGGAAATCCCGGATTCATCCTTCTCCAGCACGAAAGCCAGCAAAGTGAGGTTGGAGTCCCGGTCATGGAAGCGCTTTACCGCAGCAGCTCGAGCAGCGAATTGTTTGAGGAACGCATTCAGAACCCGACAACAGAAGGCCGAGGATCTAGGCTTATGCCGTGAATGCCAACAGATCAAACTCCACAGCATCTTCGAGCCGAACAAAGGTATCAAAGCACAGTCATGGCGCACCCTCAACCTTCTAGCATACCTGGACTTCCACACCTTACGGCCGTGTTGGGAACCAAAAAAGACGTGGCGGGTGAGCATGAAGAACCGCGATACGTGCCCGCTGTGCGCCTTCTTCGCAGTCTGTGCCTCAAGGATGGGCTTTCCGGTCGAGATGTTTTCCAACAATGGGTATATCGAGCCGGGAATTCGAAGGATAACCGGTGTCACTAACTTTGCGTGCGGCGACCCCAATGCTGATTCAGGGTTTTTTGATGTCAAAGTCCTGGAACTTAGAGTGTGTCCAGACGGCCACGAGCGAAGTCCCTGGATCAGCAAGCTGCACCGAAATTGGTCCGAGACTCATTACATTCTACCCTTTCTGGACCGCGACGACGATGAAGGGCCGTCAGATAGGGTCGACTATGAGGTTATCAAGCAGTGGTTGAGCTTTTGCGAGACGGAGCACTCAACCTGTATCGACATACCATCCTTTCCTCTCTCCGACACCATCGCGGGGCTATGCCTCATCGACTGCCACACCAGAAAGATCGTGCCAGCGGTAGGACTAGGAAAACCTCAATACGTCACCCTCAGTTACGTATGGGGCACCTCGGGCGCCACTTCAATGACAACGCCCACGCTCCCCGAGGGTGATGAACTCCCAAAGATTGTTAGCGACGCCATGATAGTCACCCTTAACCTCGGGTATAAGTACCTCTGGGTGGACCGATACTGCATCCCCCAGGACGACCCATACGCAAAGCAGATCCAGATCCATAACATGGGCAGCATTTACTCCCTGTCCATCCTCACTATCATCGGCGCCGCTGGAGAAGACGCAGAATACGGCCTTCCGGGCGTTAGCTCCCCTCCACGTGTTCCACAGCTTTGGACAACCATCCCCTGTGACGGTGGCAACAACAAGATGCCACTCATCTACTTCAACCCACCGGATACGGAGATTCGCACGGCAAAGTGGCACTCCCGGGGTTGGACGTACCAGGAGGGCTTGCTTTCCAAGCGCAGACTCGTCTTTTCCGATCGACATGTCTACTTCCAGTGCCAGGAGATGCACACCACCGGTGAACTAAACTTCGATGGACGGAAATGGGGGTACCAGAAGCCGCGATGGAAGCGGCATCATCTCGCACGGCGGTACGAAGTAGGGAAATTCATCAGCAAGAAGGAAGCCGTGTTTCCCTACCCGTGGGACTGGGACTGGGAGTCATCACTTTGGGAACGGGTGGGAGAGTTCATGAACAGGACTCTGTCGCATGATATGGACGGCTTGGACGCCATGAAGGGGATCATACAGACTTATCGGGAGCAATCACCTTTGAGATTCGTGTGGGGCCTGCCGTATCGTGGGCTGGAACATCCACGGGTGCCGGAGAGTCATAAGGAAGTCGAGTATCGACCGTCTCCCCCGGCGGGGATCTTCTTTGAGATTGATACCCATCCGGCGGTAAGCATTTGCGAGGTTTTGGGCAGTCTCTTCTGGAAGGATGAATGGCTGGCGAAGGCTGGCCATGCCGCGCGGAGCAGTACCGAGGTTTCACCACGCAGAACAGTCCTCCCAAGCTGGACCTGGGCCGGCTGGAAGAGTCTTCCAAGCCACGAGGTGAGCGTCACTCCCGGTCGCTTGATGGCTGATCAAGGTTTCGGAACAAGCCAAATACCCGTCAGCATCAAGTTTTCCTTCAAAGACAAGGAGCTAGACTGGATCGCCAACCACTCCGAAATCCTCAAGCGCTCCGAAACCATCGGCAAGTTCCCAGACTATCTCAGCATCACTGCCTCAGTCTTCGAAGCAGACCTCGTACGCATCGAGGTCCAAGACCGAAAAGGCAACATCTCCCTTGCTTGGAAGTACGTCTCCCCTCCCTTTCTGGTAGGCAAGGAACAGGACCTACCGCCGGGTTTGTTCGAGGAAGTTAAAGGGAGCTGTGTATCTTTGCTGGGTCTGTACTTCTACTCGAGAAGCTTCCCTCGGTCGACAAAATTCCTCGATTTTCACTTTCTACTTCTTCAAACGGTTGGGGAGGATGACCATGGACCACTGTATGAACGCGTCACGAGCGTTTTCCTTGTTGAACTGAATCATCTCCATGAGAGGAGGGTGGAGTTGCCGGCTGGTCCTTGGCCGCCGGTGTTGGATAAGGAGGTGAGGGAGGTGAGGATACGATGATTGTAGCTTTTGGCTTTTCTTGTTGCATCGGGACAAATGTGATGGAACGATGGCAGGTTGTTCCGGCGCGGGTTCTAATAGCTCTCAGTATTTGGTACTTGGTGTCGGGACCGACGGGCGCATGCACAGGCTCCTACCCCGACTGTACCCCGCTACGGAATCTGCAATGCAGTCAGTGGGAATAGCGACACACTCGTCGGGAAGGAAGCCCCCCTTCTGGGAAGGTGCGAGATGATGCTAGACTGGCGAGTGAAAGGCTTAGGGAGGTGGCGGCTGCTAGGGGCGTTGTTGTGGAGGACTGAGGATCCTTGGGAGCGTTGACGGACTGTATTTATGACTTCATGGTGTATGGGTGATGGCCTAGGGGCGTGAGGTGGAAATTACAACTTGGTGTTACATTAGGGTAAACATACGGCCTTCAAACACCTTCTTTCTACTTCTTCTTCGTTCTTCGCCCCGCCCTCACGGTCTCACCGCCCGTCATTTCTTTCCTTTAACAGCCTTCCACCGCGTCAAGGCTCCCCTCAACTCCTGCCTTCGTCGTGAACGGTCATCGCGAACGCAACTCAAGCCTTCCTTTTGCTGGACACTTCCTGGGTCCTTGACTCCTTCGTGAGACCTTTGGTCTTTGGTTGCTGTCGCCGCATTCCGTAAGTACGCGCCTCCATCTTCGCGGCAGTGAATCTACTGACAAATGAAAGTGAAAAGGAAGCCAGTCTTCGCGGCGATCACCGCACCTTTTACAGCCGTTTATCCCTCACTCCCTCGCTTGTATCTCGTCTCGCCCAAGATGGACAACCAGGGGTCTAGCGCCGAGGCCCTCAAGCTCGTCCCCATTCCACAACTAAAGGAAGACTTCGCGAATTTCGACGAATGGGACCACGCCGTGTTCTTTCACCTTTCGTACTATCACCTGACCGGTTTTGCTCGGGATCACATTACGCCGCCACACGATTACGATGAGATCAATCGCTTGAACGCGGGCCTGAGTTCATGTGGCGCCGCCGCTATCATGCGTATGCCATCATTTTCAGCGGCGTTCGGAATACCATGGCGAAGTTGACTGCGGACACAAAGTGGCATATGCCGGATATGTTCAGAGGATACAATGCCCGCGATTATGACCCTGCTGCTCTTTACCGACACATTTTGAGCTACAAAAACAGGTATCTGAAGGGTCGGCTCACCGAAAACTGATTGCTTGGAACGGGGAGTCAAGTTGGGCTAGCGGGTGGGACTGACGGATAACCGGGCTAGGTAGCAACGGATGTGTTCGAGCGCTGCCGGGGAAACATCCGCAGTACTTGTACATAGTCCGCAGCTGCAAGCCCTCCGCAATGTAATGCAGCAGTAAAGCAGTACGCTTAATGCCACCATGACCAGGCGTCCGCTATTGGACTACTGCGGAAATAAATGCGCCTTTACGGTAAAGGAACGTCCTTGAACATGTCCTCCTCTCTTTTCGCCTCCCTCCACCCTTCCGTCCTATCTCTCCTTTCGGAACTTCTCAACGCGCCAAAAGAGTGGAAAGAGATCCGTCATCCATGCCTTGGCGCCCATTCACTTGATCTCCTTCACCGCGTTTCCCCGCACAAGCTTTGGCGCGACATTCTTGAGTTCCGGCGCCGCACCCGTTGTTCCCATGCTTAGCTCGCAAGAATGGCCAACCCAAGGAGCAGCAGGAGTTCAGCATCTCGCATGCACAAAAGCTTCCCCACGCAATCAAGAACCTATGAAGAGGCTACCAGCACTTCTGATGCTCGACCTCGACAATGACTTGGTGGCTCCTAGTGGTGGGAATCTTAGCTGGGCGAGTTATGCTCATCAGCTCCAGAACAGCTGTTGCAGCTAGTGGTAGCGACGATGACTGATCTGAGCCAGGTTTAATGACCGCAAAGGAAGTTGGGAGGAACAAATGTGGTCCTGTAGCAGGTTGGGTCTGGGATCCGCAACGCGATCTACCATCACGATGGAGATGCTTCCAAATACTCCGTTACAGCTACCGTAGCTTCAACTTGATGGAATCCACTTGACTTTCCAACCAACATCTTCTCTCCAGATCAACGATATCTCGTGACAAAACGCCATTCTTGTCTGTGGGCGGACACTTGTTTGCCTCTATGTAAAGCTGTGATTTGTCCTCTTGTCCTTGCGTCTGTTGTGAGCTCTTAAGAAGCTACTGGTACTCTCAAGGGATCAAGATGGGACTGGCCGGGCTGTTCCCGGAACGCGCTGGACACAACGGGCATAAACCATGGGGTGGTTAGTTCATCTCCATTGCTTTTCTGCTTTCGTCACCGCTTTCATGCCTCTTTGACTTGGCTCACTCCCTCCAAGTCAACACTTCAAGCATATTGTCAGGTATTTAACTCTTCATCACCAGAGCCCCAGGCATTCAGTCTCAATCATTGCATCTCACAACCGCCTCGAACATCATGAACTCACAGCCAGAGCCTTCAGCTGTCCCTATCGTAAGTATCCTCTCTCCCCTCTCATAGTCCCAGCAGCCATCAAACGCCCATCGCTAACCCCTCAATCCACCCAGAGCCTTCTTCCCAGAACTCCATCACCACCAGGCCTCACAGACACGTCTTGGGCGCCAGGAAAGCACGACCCAGAAGACAAAGCCCTCACCCTGATTCCCATCCCCCATCTCACCCGGGACCTCTCCAACTACAACCAATGGCTACACGCTCTCTGGTTCCACATCGTCTACCACCGACTGGTCGGTTTTATCCTGCCGAGAAACGAAGGGCCAGTAAGATACCGAGAGTGTCCGGAAGCGGAAGACCAACATAATTGGGATCGTAGACATCTGCATACGTATGCGATTGTGTTTTCTAGCATTGGAAGAGAGGTCCTGGAAGATATGGCGCTGGATCGAGGCCTGAGGTTCGATCCGTTTGATGATCGCGACTATTGGGCGCATGAGCTTATGCACAAGGTGGAGGTGTATAAGGAGTTGCTGGAGGAGAGGATGAGGGAGAGTTCGGACGAGTCGGACGAGTCGCAGAGGGATGTGGTGCCGCCTGTTGAGGACGAGTTTCTTGCCGAATTGAGGATATGGGCGTCGATTAATGGGGTATTTAACTGAGAGCTTGACTTGCCGCACCACCACACCCCTTTTGTCTACGCGCACCATTTTTTTCTTGCTGCACCATATAACAGCTATCATAATTACAAGCCGTTTTCCCATAGAAATTTTAGTATTTTCAATATTTTGAGCATCATAGTACACCAAATCACAACATAGTGCGCCAAATCAAAGGTAGTACGCTAAATTAAAGGTAGTACGCTAAATTATCTAATAATATTTTCTAATATTAAATATAAGAAAGTAATAATTTTATAATATTTACATAGTATTGAAGCTCTATTTGAGGCTCTACTAAGGCTTTATACAGCTCTATATAGCTCTATAAGGCTTAATTAAACCTCTTATTCGTCGTCTACAACTGTAGGGTTTAACCTATTGCCCGGTTATATTCAATGTAGATTAGGGTCCTTTATATAGTCGTCTAATAAGTACGTCTAACGCTCCTCTTTATTTATAGCCTCCTTCTCCTTCCTTCTAATTATAGCCCGCTTCCTCTACTCTATTATAATGTAATCTAGAATAATAAAGTATTCCTTCTTAATATTATTAACATCGATAATAGAATTTAATAGTAAACTTAATAGAAAACTCAGTTTTAGAGAGCCCGGTTTTAGCTTTAGAGTAGGGTATTTATAGGAAGAGGCGGCTAAAACCCTCTTCGCTTTACTTAATCCCTTTAATTTACCCTTCTTATATTATAATAATTAATTTAATTATTAAGTATTATTACTAATAATAATATAGTTTTACTCGCTAATTTCCTTATTAACTTCCTCGTTAACTATATTTATCGTTTTTAAATTGAATTTAGAAACTTCAATATAAGAATAAATATATTTTATACCGCTAAAAATACATTTATTTCTCTTAGTTCAAACTACTCCGCAGGGGCTTCGAATTATTTCGCTAAAGACGACGGCCTTATTACTAAAGGGATTATACTAATTCTTTAACTTTCCTTTAAATATTATTTTAATTATAGAAACGACGCGGAAGTATTAATTTTATACGTTTTATATTAGAATTAGTATAATAATAATATTTAGAAGAGAAATAAGGAGGTACTATTTACTAATATTTCCTGCAAATATTAAATAGGGTAGTAATTATCCTTATTAATTAACGCCTTTTTAGGGTTTTTTTTATTATATCGCTACAATAATTTATGAATATAAATTAACCCCTACTAAATTCTAAAAGTACCTCCATACGAAAGGAGGTTTTAAAAATAAGGGTTATTACTTAACCGTATAATATATAAAACCTTCCTATACTACTTTATAAATAAATTTAACCCTTAATTAATAATTTAAAATTCATAATTACTTAACTAATTACCTACTTATAAATATTTACGGCGGACTTAGGTATTAGAAATAGCAATACCCTTCTTAAATAAGTTATATTATTTATCGACAACTACTTTAGTAATATAAAATACCTCATCGAGCCCCGTACATACTAACAATCCTTCTACCTTAATACTAACGTTAATCGATTCGTTTAGTAAAGTTATCCTATAGCTAAAGTTAGGGAGCCAATTAATATAGCAACTAACCTACTCTCTTTTATAAGGTATAAATTCGTCGTCGATATATCGAAATAGTTTTAGCTAGGTTTCTTTAAAACTAGTATCTATAAATCGCTTAACCTTAATAAAGTCAGTTGGATCGTTATTAAATATTATATATTACTAGTACGTAAAGAAAGCGGTCCTTATTTATACTATTTAAGCGGGTAGAGAATTTATTTTAAGTTTTATCCTAATAACGGTATATACCTTCTAATACTTTCGTTAGAACGCTTCGAAATTTGTAGTGTCTTCGTCGTCGACGACGTATAGTTTATTATTCCATTATTATTAGAATCGTTATTATTACTTTATTAGGACTAAGTAAATTAGGGGGGTTAAAAGGAAGAAGGCTAGGAGGGTTATAATTAAGAACCGCCGAGCCTTCGCTATCTTTAAAAGCCGCGCCCTCTTTAGGAGCCGCACCCTCTCTAGGAGCCGCGCTCTCTCTAGGAGCCGCGCCCTCGCTAAGTACTCTTCGCTACCTTCTTCGCCGCCTTATTTATTTTCTAATACTCCTTAATAATAGTAATAACGTTATTATTAAAATATTATATATACTATTACCGCCGTTTACCCTTAAAGGCGGCATTTAACATAATAATAAATTAAGGGTTACTATTTATAATAAGGACGTTAAGGAATAGAACCTTTATTTTGAATAATACGTCGTATAATTATTCGAAATATTATTTAAAGCCCCCTTCCTCCTACTTATTATTAATTAAATATTAAAAGACGGGAATAATAATATATATAAACGTAAAGATAACCCCTATAACTAGCAGCTTATAAAATCGGTTAGTTTTATAAATCGTATTAATTATTAGAACGTAGGGGAATTATTTCCAAAGCTTCTATTACTTTTTAAGGATTTAGAAAGCAGTATAGAATATTTTATAATTATTACTTTTAAAATCGATTTTAATATAGGCTGTTATCCTCTTATTTTAATTAGTATAACTTTTCGTTTAATATTTATACGAAGTTTTAAATATTGGTATAGCCAGCCTTCTATTCTTTGTAAGCATAGAAATATAGTAGAATAATCCTTCGAAATAAATATGAATTTTAAATACTTTCGCTTTACAAATTACTTTATACTACGGATTGCTAACTATCTCTACGCAAATAAATTATAAATATACTCCTTTTACGCATTTATAATACTTAGGCAATATTCAATAAAGGCGGCTATTAAAATGGCGGGGGGGTAATTACAATATTCGAAATTAATAGGAGTAATCGTAAATATATTATTACTAACGTACTTAAAGGATAAGCGGAAGGGGTAATACCGTACAATTTTTTTAAAACTATAGTAATAACGGCGACGCTCTTTAAATATAGAATAAGCACGGCGTTTAATATATTCGTATTATATTTTAATACTCGCAAAGATATTAATATTATTAACGAAGCGAAAATACTATTTAATTAATTTTATCCAGTAACGAATATTAAAATTATAAAGGGCCGCCTACATTATCGAACCTACTATAGCGCCTATAGAAAAGAATTGGTCGCTTAAATCTATAGATTAAATTAATTCGTCGATAGGAGTAGCGGCAGCAATCTCTTCTTCCTCCTCTTTATTACTAGAGGCATTACTTTCGTTATTATTAACAGCGGGATCGCTAGAGGCATTACTATCGCTAAAGGTATTACTAGAGGAGGGAGGAATTAGGGGAGTAGTCGCTATCGCTAGCAGTATAGTAATTAGTTATAAAGAAGGCTCGAAATAATTACAATACTATAGAAATATAAATAATTAAATACAATTAAGTACAAAGTACGAGGGTCTTACTATTAACTATTTAATTGAGCGCGATTGATTTAGGGGGTATAATACGGTTATATAGCGATATAGCTATATAGAAATGTAGCCTTAATTATACGGGAATTATTGTGTGTTAAAATCGCTAAGTTTTTTTAGTATACGGTTAAATGTTTAAAACATTTTACGGGCGGGTTTTACTATATAAAACGTGGTATTTTCGTAGGTTGCAGCTGGTCTCGGATTCAACTCCAGGCTTGGGCAGCCGAGTTTTTTGCTCCTCTTTTTTTTTTTTTTTTCACCTTTTCGGCATTCAGTTTACCTGCTTTGTTTCCAAACAAACCCCGCTTTAAGCTCTGTATTGTTCCATTCTTCCTCGCTGCGTACACCTCGTCCTTTGCACCTCCAACCGCGTCATGTCATGAAAGGGCTTTACCGGTTCAGCCTGTGAGGCTTTTATTCCCGTAAGTTCGTTGTTTAAGTTCTGATGTAAAGCATTTGCTGAAATGACGAATGGGTAGGATGAAAGGATGGAAGGTGTTGGAAGTCTGTGCTCTGGCGTTCATGTCCTTTCACTGGTCTTCCCACCCATTCACCGACACTCCCCTCCTGGGAGTATTTCAAGGCCACCCGGGCTGGTTTTCGTCTTTCCTCTTCCGTTACCGCTTCAAAGTCAAGCCCAATTTCTGTCGTCGCTTTCCACCTCCGTGGTCAGAAGGACACAGTCGACTCTCAACTTCAGCTCAACTTCACTTTCAAGCCGTAACATCATTGTTTGCGAAGTTCTTGTCCCCGTAAGTCAGAATCACCTCCCCCCTCCCCTCGTCATTTTGGTTCCCTTCCGCTAACATGAAGGCAAAGTGACCGAACCTTCACCCGTCACCCATCACCAACATGGACAACGACATCCACGACCCCGGCGACGATGCCATAAGCCGCATTCCCATCCCACACCTCCAAGAGGACCTCAGCAACTACGACGCCTGGCAACACGCGTTATACTTCCACCTCCGCTACCACGGACTCTTCTACTTCCTTCTCGGCCACGAACAAAGCCGCTGGGAGTTGCGCATGAACGACGACGACAATGCGGCCCCCACCAACCACGACAGAGTCAACTACCGCCGCCGAAGCATGCATGCGTACTCGATCCTGTTCTCCAGAATCGGTAACATCGTCCCAAGACTCTTCGCGGCAGGCTGGGACGGCGAGCGCGATTCGTTTGCGTTCCGTACCGATCTGCTTTGGATCAAGATCCAGGAGCTGAGGAGGGACATTCGGCATGACGTGCACATGGAGCAGGACCATCTAGAGGTACCTGAACCTCCTCATCTACGTAATCAGAGGCATCGATCGCGCGCGATTGATCTTACTGATGCTGAGTGAAAAGTTGTTTTCGCAGGCAGCAGGGTGCTGGCAGGATTGGCACTACAAGCGAGTCGCATAGGAGATGGATGCACCTTGCACAGGACTGGACGGCATCTAGCTACATTGTCGTCATCCGGAAGAAGGGACTGTCACTCACGGACGACTTCAAGCTGGGGAAATATTGCCTGGAATTATCAACAGAGTAAGATAGCTGTTTTTTTAGCACAGCAGAACCAAGCTTTGCTGACTGTCCACTCCCCATGACTCTTCTTTTCCAACGTGATCTTGGTTCGTTCGTTGTTGTTTTGCTCCCTCTGACTGCTTCATGCTTTGCGGTCATTCTCAAAGACCTCTCCAACCTTCGTTATCTGCCGACACGCAATCGGATATGCGAAGGAACGGATATATAACATTGGGACATAATGAAGTGGGAAATGGATGAAGGCAGATGGGAGGCAGAGATGGCGAGTGTCTGGTGGTGTTGTCAAGAGTGCGGGCACAGAGCACAGAAATGCCCGTGACAGAATCAGCGCTGCACCGGAAGGTGGCTTCAGTGGTTTAGCGCTGTTAGCAGGAGCTCTGTGTTGAGAATTAGAGTACTTCGCTGGTCAAGGACACTCACCTGAAGACAATTACTTTTGCATTTAACAAATCTCACAGCCTGACCACCCTCTCATATAATTACAAAGGCGTATTTATGGAGATTACTATCATTGTGCAGGCAAGCTTCAAATGCGAATTGTGCTGAGTGTCCCGTCCTCTTCACGTACCTCAGTCGTCAACATCAGCGGGGTCCTAACAATGTGCAGTGCACTAACGACGAGCGCTACTTCGCTATCAAACCAATATTAAAAGTTGCAGTGGCCGAGATAGCGTGTCATCACTTGTTCGTCCGTTTGCCACGGTACATGAAAAGAACAACCTGAAAAACCTCCACGATTTCTTGTAACCATCATCACTTGACGTTATATGATTCCTGGTTTAAGCTGACCATCATTAATTATCTAGTTTGCGTATGGAACGATGTATTATCCATAGAGGTATCCATTATGTGAATCATCGGTAATCCTCCATGTTGTCCACGCATCCTCTTGTTCCTTTCTGGTCAGTTGTCCCGTGCTGGAATGTCGTGGCTGGAGATGCACACGAAACTCAGGAGTGGGTTTAACTGGATGACTACTATTGTACATGGACTGATGCATCTGCTTCCACCTAACCGATCCTTATGACATTCGGGTCCTCGGGATCAAACATGAACTCCTCGTGGTTAGCATGACTCCCAATATTCCAGTTCCGATGACCCTCGTCAGTTATGAATTGCCCTTTCAAGCCACCATTCTTCCAATCATAGCCCCTCACCATATCCTCGTCGAGTATTTGGCTGTCATTTACGTGCACCCGGTGCATGACCTCCGGATGCACGTGAATTCCAAACTCGTCACGAAGTTTTCGGCGCAGATAAAGGTAGTCCGCTGCGTCGTAGTCTTCGTAGAGGAAATCAACATGGAACAAGAAGAGAAGCATCCTGTCCTTCAGCGTGTCCTCGCGCTTGGGCATGCGGATGTACTGAGTGATGTAGTTCCACAGCTGTTGGGGGTCGAAGGTATAGTCATCCTCAAATGCCTTGAGGCCAGCGGTGAGCAGCATTGGGAGGACGTCATCAATTCTACTCCGAATGATGGTATAGGCGTGGGCGCGTCGTCGCCGCCAAGAGTCGGGTGTCTCGACGTCGATGTTGGCTTGTCCGTTCTCATGAGTGCCGTCGATAAACTCCAGCAGACCATGATGGTTCAAGTAGAGCCGCATGTCATACTTCCACTCGTCGACATTCTCAAGGCCCCAAAGGTACGGAAGTCGAGGGAGAAATTCGGCATAGGGCTGCGTCTCACCAGGGACTGATGTTGGCAACGAAGGACTGGCTGTAAATGTGGTCAGAGATGCTTCGTCGCTGTCAGTAGCTGGGATAGAGTTACCAGACGGAGGAGGGTTTGGGCTCTCGGACATGGTCGCGAGAGTTGATGAGTCGATGACTCGGTGGATAGAATGAAGACACCGCTGCTGATATTTCTGGGTAGCCGATGCCCGTACGCGACGTGGTCACCAGGAAAGGACGGCCGAGTCTGCACTCGTGTGACGATGAAAGTTGAAAGGGCAGATGGTTTTGGGTGTGGAGGGGGAAAGAAGAAAGGAAAAGCAGACGCGAGAGAAGCAGTAGGAAATATTGTGGCCCCGTGAAAAATGTGGGAAAGGGCGGCAGAAAAAAATGAAAGGAGCGGTTCCTTGAAATGTTGGGAAGGAACGTTTGCTTGGCCACTGGCCAGATTGGGGGAAGGAGGGGTCGTGAGGTGTCGATGTTGAGAACTGGGTGAGGTAAGGCACCCACTTTCTCACAACTCTCAAGCTGGTATCCCACGTCGAGAAACTCAGCGACCCAAGTTCATGGCTCATGCCGTTGTGCCAACGAACACCATCAAAGATCGATCCTCATATACCGATCAGTCGGTAAATGTCCTCCCACATAAACCGAACGCGCCTTCGGCGGTGCTCCCAGTTCAGACAAATTATGTGCGAGTACCGCCCGGTAATTTCTGAGATCCCGCACAGCCGGATACACGGCCGCTCTGGCGCGTGGGTATCGATCACGGTATTGCTGGCGAGTGTAGACGAACATGTCTGACAGCTTCAAATATCTCAACTCCTTCAGGTGCGGAAGACACGACAGTTTCTGTCCTTGCCCGAACATCTTGATCCAGGCTGCCTCGTCGGTTTTCAAGGGAACCATCATTTGATACCATTCAAAGTGCTGCAATGTCTCTCGGTGCGTGAGCAGAATAGTGTTGATGTTGTGATTGAGGCTGTACGGGCTTATTCCCGGGCCCATTCGGAGTGTCATGGTCAGCCCATCGACGTCTAGTCCGCTGTAGAGTCGGAGTTTCCGAAGACGCTTGGTAGGCTTGAGCCATGTGTAGAGTTGATGTGGCTCAATTCCTCGACAGCGCACATCGTCTGGGAGATTATCGTCTGGGAGATAGGTCGGGCCATCATCGACCAGTGTCAACTCTTCGAGGGTTGCAGGACAGGGAGGTATATTGCTCGCTGTTCGATTGGTGGAGAAATGTCTCATTGAAGATACGTCCATATCAAGTGTCGTTAGGAACTTGGCCACGTCTTGTTTGTACTCCACGGTATAAGTCCCTAGATTCTCGCTTGCGACGGGGATGAGTCCCATTGCGTAACGGAAAAGAAATGACGGGGATTCAGTTCCACGTGCTGTGAGCCGAAGTGTCTGTAAGTTCGGAGAAAAGAAGATAGCAATCTTGAGAGCAATATTGCATATCTGTTCAAAAACTCGGTCGTCCATGAAGTACCACAGATTCCCTTCCGAATATTGCATGAGCCTTACCAAATGCAACAGTTGGCCCATATCAGGAAAACACTTCATGTCTGGCACTTTCAGGACTTCCTCAAAGGTCCACATGAACGGTTCTTCCAGCCCTAGTCTTTCCGTGTCCCATATTCTATGGTAAAGCTCACGCTCCCCACAGGATTCGCCATCGCACATGCATGCGTTTAATCCTTCCCCTTCAGCGAGAAACTGGCACCGGGAGACAAATTGAGAGTCGATTCCCAGCCACTTGACATGCGGGCGGGTTTCGGGATATAGGGCCAAGCATTTGGCTAAGTCGAGAAGGCATTCTGGATCGTTGATCAAAATCTTTCGGAGGAGCTGCTTGCGCGCCACTGGAGATATGCGTGCTTTGGACACCAGGGATAGATTGTATAATGCTTGGCGGGATTCCAGGTACGACTGCGAGTCGATGGGATCTGATGGGTAAAAGACCTCAACAGGTTGGCTCCGGTCAAAAGGAATCTCGGTGTGGGTTCTCTGAAGGTACTTCTCGGTTGGCTGGGGTTCGAGAGCTTTGCATATTTTTTCTACGATCTCTGTAGGTAGCCTCTCGAGGTATGACTGGCCGATGGGCCATGATGCTTCCATGGTTGTCTCTGACATGGCGATGCGTTCCACTTTATGACGAAAGAAAAGAGGAGGTAGCGTTCGGCAGCGCGCGAGTCGAGGAAGATGCGGGAATTGCAGGAAACGAGATTTTGTTCAATTTACTGGGCACGGGGCACTGGGATAAACGCCTGTTAATGCAGAAGATCGTGCGCAGCGAGGCTGGCTGAACCCAAGGGCGCACTTAAGAGATCGTCCTTTGTACCTAGGTTGAAGGATTAGATGATTGATTGGGATAGAGGCAGGGGAAAAGACTGTACTGACTGTGGTGCTAGAAGAAGTGGGTGCTTGAGTCGGTGATCGATTGGCTCGTGAAAGAAGAGGATGAAGCCCAGAAGGCCCACAGAAATACCCTGAAGAACTGTTAACGCCGTGGGCAACACAAAGGAAAGGCAAAGCAAGCTGTGGGTGCAAATATGTAATGTATTCTGCAGAGTGTAATGTACAGCCAGGGTGCGTGAGGCACTAGCTACATATAGTCGGTCTACAGGATAAAGGGTGCGCCTGCCGTAAGCTCTAACAAGAATGGAAAACCTGGTGAGGTGCAATTCAGAGTGGGGACGGAAAGAAAGAAAGCGCGAGGTCTGGACTCTGGAGGGCTGAAATGGTAGGCACGACGGGAGACGGGAGGGCTGGTGAATAGCCCTGCACAGTGAACCTGGAAGGGAGTGGTGGGAAAGGGAATCACCAGTGCGAGGCACGGACCTCTCAATACCAACACCGATCAGATCCGTGGGGCACCCGGCACAGAGATTCACCATCTTGCATACACGTTCGGGTTGGCACATCTGCCGCCCTATAAGGAAGGCATGCTGAAACTTGTGCCTATACATGGCCTTCCCTCAAGTCAATTTCCCCATTCTCTACCGTACCTTAGTGGAGGATTGGCTAGAACTGCGAGGACGATGGCATCTCAGGAGTCAGATGACCTGATAAACTAAGCCAAATATCGCCGAATGCATTTGGTGACAAAAACGCCAGGCGGAAACACGAGGATGACGCGTGGTTTGAGCAATTTCGTGGCTTCAGCAGGGAGTGGCATCCCATGGTTACCTGTACCTACCGGTACTCACTACTCAAGCCTTCAAATACTTTGACATGGATATCAGCTGGTAGTCCCAGATATCTGACTTTTACCGTTGGCCTTATCTTGCTTACACTGTTTTGCTTCCCTTTGCCTATTTATATGTTTCGAAGAACACGTTCTTACGGTTACGTCATCTCTCTTTCTCTGGGTGTTCCTTCTCGGAGGACATGGCATCTGGTCGGCGTTAGGATGATACCTCTGGGGAAGCTCGAATCACTCAAAGTTGAGGTTGACGAGGGTGAGGATTGAAATTTACTGGGCAGGGCGGACGTATTCGATGAATCTTTAGATCTTCTACATTATCGAGTTTCCCTGTCTTCCCTCGGAGTCTCGTAGCATTTTCCTCACCATCTGCGTATTAATACTTATTAATACAAAACCACTCACCTCCGGGTTCTCTGGTCCGTATCACACCTCAAGAAATCCCATGGGCATGTCCCCAGGCCATCGTTTGATGGCAGAGAACACCACACCATCAAAGCTCAATCGTTATACACCTGTCCGTCGGCAGATTTCCCACTACGTCAACCGACGTCAACTTGGGCGGCGCTCCCAGCTCTGAAAGATTGTGTGTGAGTACACTCCGGATGTTGATCTCCACAAGACTCGGATCAATAATGGATTCAGGCACAGGAGGTGTTTGTGTTGGAATAGGTGCGGGTATCCCCAAAAGGAGTGGCATAACCGGTGGCTGAGGGGGTCTAACAGGTACGCCCAAAATTCCTCGATTAATATACTGCTGACGGGTATAAACGAACACGTGCGAAAGCTTCAGGTACTCCAACTCCTTCAGCTGCGGAAGACATGATAGCTTTTGTTCTTCCCCGAACATTTTCTTCCATGCTGTTTCGTTGGTTGTTCTAGGGTTGACCATCTGACACCACTCAAAATGCTGGAGTGTTTCCCGGTGACAAAGCAGGATTGTGTTGATGTTGTGCCCCAAATGGTGTGCCCACCGAGCAAGCCCTTCGAGATCGAAGCTGGTGTAAAGTCGAAATTTCCTAAGCCGCTTCGCGGGTTCGAGCCATACTTGGAGAAAGTCCGGTTCGATCCCTCTACATTCGTGTTCGTCTTCGGGTCCTAAGCTCACCTCGCTATCGTCCACCAGCGTGAGGTCCTCGATCGACTCAAGGCAACGAGATGCGCGACCGTCGCGAAGGTCATGGTGGGGACCGTAACAGACTCTCAGCGAAGATAAGTCAATATTAAGCACGGTGAGAAACTCGGCGCAGTTGTTTCCATGAAGGATAGAGAATGCGCCTAGATTGGTGGTCGGGAGAGGGATGAGACCGAGTGCGTAACGGAAGATATAGGGCGACGTGGCCGTCCCCAGTGTTGCTGTGAGCCGGAGAGAGCGTAGGCGTGGGGAAAAGAAGATGATAAGTTTGAGCGCGAGATTGCACACTCGCTCGAAAGCGGCATCGCTCATCCAATGCCATCCGTCAGTCCACCTCACTTCCAACTCTTGCTGCATCTCGAGAATTTGACGCACATCTGGGAAAGTATGTATCTCGGGGTCCTTCAGAGCCTCGTTAAAGGCTTCCCAGCACATGGGCTCGGGAGTCCCTGCGGCGGTTACCCAGTTTATATGGTACCTGTTCCGCTCGAAACAACCATTGCCGCCGCAATTGCAATTCTGCTCGGAGCAATTGTCGAAGAACACTTCGTCAATACCCAGCCACTTGATGCGCTGGCGATTGTGGGGGTATGAGGCCAAGCTCTTGACAAGTCCAACCAGCGTGTAGAAGTCTGTGATCCATATTTCGTCAAAAAGCATGCGATGTGTGACTTCACTGATCTTCTTGGACACCAGACACTGTGCATGTAATGCTCGACGTGCTTGGAGGTATGATACGGTGTCAACTGGGCTAGTCCCGTAGTTATAACGGTCGAATTCCTCCGGGTGCCCATCTCTGACCAGATAGTTCGCGGCTGGTTTGGCTCTGAAAGATTCAAAGACATTTTCCAGGAGCTCTACAGGCAGCCTGTCAATGTATGACCGGCCGATGGGCCACGGTGTTGTCCTGATTGTGTCTGGCATTGTGATAAATTGGTTTTGGGTTCCGTACTGCTTAAAAGGACGAGCACTGGAGAACGGCGAGTCGACAAATCTTGAAGGAGTAGTGGACGATGGGCGGGAATAAGGGGTCATGATGGCGTCTTATATGGTGTGATACTCTGAGCAAACAGATCGTCCAAGCCATCAAGCATGGAAACACCCCGGATAGCAAGAGAATAATGTGGTATGAACGCACAATAATTGCCTGGCGTGAAAGGATTATTCTAGTGTCTTCGTCGCTTGACGTGGCCGCTTGGCTGGCCAAACCCAAAAGATGTATGGCTGATGGATTGTTAACAAAGCTGGGGCAAACGTTGCACCGCCGGTAATAGTAGGGTAGCTTCACCACACTGCTAAATCTTAGTAGTCTCGACCATGCCGCTGGGTCCTTCGACATACCACGAAACGAGTGTGGAAAGAAGAGGTCCAAACACGATCAGGCATGTGAAGAGATGGTTGAAGCTTAGATGAAGTAAAAGATTTGAACTGACAGGGTTTCTACTCGAGATGAGCGACGACTCTTTGATTCGGGAAACGACTGGTGTCGTTGTCGCTTGGCCAAAACCCCAAAGCTGAATGAGTGATGCCACCGGCCACCCCGCGTTCTAGCACCGCCCACGAGCTGAAGTTACTTGGGGGTTGTGGTGCGGTTCGGTGGTGGGACCTTTCCTCAACCCCCTCTCATTAAAGAGGGGGAAATTTTATTCTGGGACAGCAAAAAACTCATGGGACAATCTGAACCAGTACCAAAATACTAAAAAACGTGTTAGCGTAGCCCAGATCGCAAACCACTTAATCGCACTACTATTTTCTAAAATTCTGAAAAAAATCAGGAAGGTAGAAAAAGCTTTCGGAAAGGTACCTTCAAAGTTGAATCAATTTTGGTCGGGTGTGGAAGGAGAGAAAGGAAAAAAGGAGGGTTCAAAGTACACCTTTGGCTGCAGACTTCGAGATTCGTTTCGCGGATGCACTCATTCGACTTTGGTAACGAAATGACACCTCTTGATCTACCACTTTTTCTCCAATTGGAATGCGAGCCCCAAAATTTGGAATCTCTTTTCGAATGAAGAGAAGAATCTACTGGATTTTTAGTAGAATTTTAGAAAATTGTGGCGTGGTTGGGATGTATTCCTGTTATGCTGCACTATCAGATTTCTTAGTGTTTTCCTAGTTATTCAGATGTCCCATAAATATTTTGCTGTCCCAGAATTTTTTTCCCCCCTCTTTAATGAGAGGGGGTTGACAAAAGGTTCCCAAGCCGCTATCTTTGTCACCGCAAACTTTGTTGCGGCTTTGTTAGGGTGCTTGTCGCCAACTCGGCATGGAACAAGAAAGTGGGTGAGGAACTGGATGTCTTGAAGGGGAAAAAGTGAAGAAACTTGGACGAGGGGAATTGTAAGAGAAGGAAAGTGAAAATGGAAAGGAGGGGAGGAAATCGATGGATGTGGGATTTTGTGAGAGCTGAAGCAACATGTTGAGGCAGGTGCAACCCACGGCCCCGGTTTGTGCAGCAGCGTCGTTGGCCACTAACAGAACCCCGCACAGAATACTAACAAGCGTGTTAGGTATCTGTTATCTGCATCCCGTCATGCAACACCACCGAGCTTCCGCCAATTCTAATCCAAGCATTCAACCGCGACGAAAGAATATGAATCTACGAATTTAGCTTCCGAGCCGTCCTTTGGTTGATTACTCTCTTCACGACGGAACCTCCCACCCTATGCCCAAGCGTGCAAATTGGAGTTGGCTTCCAAGTTGCACACCAACCGCACCAATGATCAAGCAACCAGGAATGGATTTGTCTATTCCAACCTGCCATGTTTTATATGCAAGCCATCATCCTTTTTCATGCATGTAGCTTAGCCTCCCAACTCTATACAACGCTGAGGATTACAGTACTCAGCTCAGGACGATCCAGATATCCAGCACCGGGATCATCCAACCGGTCCATCTATCCCAAGCTTAACCCACTCATCATTCCATTAAATCCATCACCTCATTTCTTAGCACTCGAAGCCCCTTCAGTTGGCCTTCTTCCCAAACTTCTCCTTAATCTCCTCCTCGCTAAACCGCCTTGTATGCCTCCTCAAATACGCCGCCCTCTCCTCCAGCGTCATGTTCATCTGGAACTCGCCAATCGGCACCATACACTTGGCCAGCGTCATGTAATCCTTCATCATCAACCTGACGGTAATCATGATGTAATCGATATTATGGAACACCAGCGCGTTGTTGGCCGCGTAGGTCTCCTTGCCCTTGAGGAAGGCAACGGGGTGTTCGCGCCAGTGGCGAAGGGGGTTGAGGTGGTGAGAGGTGTGGTAGCCGTCGTTGTAGCAGTGGCGGTTGGACTGTTTCGCTATCTGTTAGTATCTGTCCAGCGACAAAAAGAGGACAGGGGAGGAAAAACATACAGCAACATCCACCAGCGTCACCGAACTCCTATAATCGCTCTCCGGCTCCTCATCATCAACAAACGCATGCTGTCCCCAATTCCCCACCATCAACCCGACCCTCAGCACCATCAACGGCAACACCAGCGTCCAGAAAACCGCTTTGCCACCACCAGGCGCAAACTTCCACATAGTAGCCAACATCGCATAGCTACCATACTCCCAAAACGCCGCCTTAGCCGCTTGCTCGTACCGTCCCTTGCGGACAAAATACAGCGGCAAATCCAGCCACACTAGGAAATAGAACCGGCCGACGTACTTCGCAAACTCGCTCAGCTCGTCCCGCTGGTACCGAATCGTAGAAGATAAATCATCCGGCCCGTTTCCTTCGACGTGGTGGTGCTTGACATGATGATAGTAGTACGAGTTCCAGGTATGTCCCATCAGCGGATCCAAGACATACGGAAACACGGCATCGAAAACCCTCGTCCACCATTTATCTTTCGTCAAGATCCCCCGCATGTGAATGTGCTGGTGCATCATCAGCGTGTAAGTACCCACGTACCAGCCGTTTAGAACGGCGTGGAGGATGGCGTGCGGCCAGGAGAAGCGGACGAAGAGGAGATAAAAGGCGGAGGGGACGGTGGTGGAAAAGTAGATTAAGAGGTGGGTGATCATTAGGATGTCGGTTGGCGTGCGGATGAGGGAGGAAGCCCATTGCCTGTAGGCGGAGAGGAGGGAGGGAGGGAGCCATTTGAAGGATTGCAGGTCGGCGAGGTCGAAGAAGTTGGTTATGGAGGGTTCGAAGGAGGGGGATTTGGGGTCGTTGAGGGAGGAGAGGTGGGAGATGGCTTCTGAAGTGCGGGTGGCTGAGGGGTCGTGTTAGCTATTAGTTCTTGTGAGGGAGGATAGTGAGGTAGTGAGGTTCGTGGTGGTGAGGTGAGTTGGTCAGGCGGGTGGAATAGTGGTTGGTCAACCACACCATCCACCATCAACCGTGCACTGGAGCGGGAACTGCCGGCCGCCAGCGGTCCAGAACTCTGACCCTGCCGTCTTGGCAGCGATATGATGTCACAACCGAGACACAAAATCGGATTCGATAACGATAAGATCAGGGGTTCATCTGAATCAATTCGTTGACCGTTGGGAACCGCGATACGATGCGACGGATGACAGACATGTTCGCCGCAAATGCGACTGCGACTGCGACTGCGACTTCGACTGCGACTTCAAGCAACAGCGCAATGGAAAATGGACCACCACATACCTGAACTGTCCTTGTTTTTGTCCTTGTTTACACCGCCCTTTGTGCCATCTGTATTCGTCCCTGTTGTCCGTGTAGTCTCCCCATCCGACGCCGACGCATACGCTGAATCCGGGACGTCCTTCTCTTTCGCCTTCAAATGGTCGCTGTAGTCGGTCGCCAACGTCTCCAAGACCACGCGATCGGCCTTGGTGAGGTCGTGGGCGAAGACGATGTGTTCCATGATCGGTCGCGATCGCTCGTTCTGGTTCTCGTCTCGGTTCGGGCCCGGCATTGGTGATGATTATCGGGAAGAGGATGATGGGTTGCGGTTTCGGTTGAGCGCGCAAAGCGCAAAGGGAAGAAAGGCGGCGCGCGGCGCGTTGTTGGTTGCTCGTTCAACAGTTGGGATCGCTCATGCGGCGCAGATGCAGGTGGGATGTTGGTGCGCAGGTCGAAAGGTCAAAAGCCTCGAAAGCGTCAAACAGAGGACGATGTAGCGATCAAGCAGACCGAGCTTGGCTGGGATGCTGAAGAGAAAAGGGGGAGGGGCAGAAGGGTGTAGGTAAACAAATGTACCCTGAAGAAGAACCCTGCAAAAACGTCCCTGGAGAAAAGGGGCCCCGGAAAAAAAACTGAAAAGGCGGGCAGTGGTCTGATGTTTGAACGGTCAAAACGTAAAGCGTCCGGCTACAAGCGTCCGGGTACAACGAAGCGACGAAATAACGGACAACGACGCGAAGATACATTCATTGGATATCAGCCCCCCGTTCGTTGTTCGCCAGTTCGCCAAAAGGCCCAAAATTTGTGGTTCATGTGGAGCCAGATTCATTATTGCGTCGGATAGCGCGGACTGCTACGGCTACTCGTCGGTTAGGTATAGAGTCCACCCTCTTGGGGTCTCGCTTACAATTAGCCAACCGACTCTCATCGTCCCTTTGAGAGTCGGGATTTTTATATGTAACGTGCAAGGCCTGTAACGGTCAGAATCTTCAATAATCCGTTTCTCTACTAAAATACAAGTAAAAAAGATACCAAGGATTCGGATTATTCGTCTTAATTGCGTGCATTCAACAATATAAGCAAATTATTTTTAAAATGTCATAATATATTATTATAGTATCGTAAAAGTCTTGTAGCCCGTATGCCAAACCTTCATAATACAATATCCAGCTCCTCCTCTATAATGAGTCTGTATGAGTTAAGCACAACGAATAGTCATAAGGTTGAAATACTATATTTGATAAGGAAAGAAAGGGAGGAAAGATTGTACTAGAAGGGTGTAATCGAAATAAAGTTTTAAAGTGCGGCGCACGGGCTAGGTAAGCCAGGCAGTCGGGTGGGTCTAGCTAATTAGAGAGGGTATATTAGCCTTAGCGCCGGTTAGCTGTATATAATTGGCTTGGTAATAGCCAAGCTTAACCCCTAGGCTCTAGCCCCATAACATCTTCTTCCTCCTTTTATAAATTCCTATCGCCCTTATCGTCGTAAGAATCGTTATTTATAATAATTATTACCCTTGCATGGCTAGTAGGGACCTCTAGCTTCCTACCCGCTAAGTTATTATAATAACTTACTTCTCGTTAGAATTAATATTAATAGCCTTCTCCTTCCCCTTTTTAAACCTCTTTCGAAGGTATGGTATTGATACAAACGGTCTAAACGATAGCCTAACTAGTATTTGTACCTATGCTCGTACTTTTTTCTCTATTAAGTAAAGGTATATAATAGGGAATTCGCTAGAGATATTTATACCCTCGTTATTTAGTATAAATTTAATCAACGAGGTACTTCCTTTACGAACTTTTTAGTCCGCTTCCTATTATATATTTTAACAGGTACGAAGTCTTTATCATAATTAGGGAGGGTAACTTTCCCCGTAGCTTCGTAGAGTTCATCTTCTTCGTCTTTAATATTAGCTAAGAAAGTGTTAAAGTCCTATTTAGGTTAGAAAGCCTTTTACTACCGTATCTTTAGTATATGATATGAATAATTAGGACTTTATTATTTAATTAGAAAAGTACGACGGGTATTATTAATAATAGCTTTGTCCTACCTCTCTTTAAATTTTAATATTATATTATACTTTAGGTCGTCCTTAGTAATATAAATAAGGCTATTATCATTAAGAATATTAGCCTTATTAACTAAATTAGGCCCAACGTTCTTCTTAGCCTTAAATTTATATAGTAGCTATTATTTAAGACTAGGGTTTTTTTCCAGGGCGACCTTTTTAATAAACGTAAAGTTTGTTCGCTATATCTCTTTCAATCCCTCCTCTATATTAATTACCCTTTTTACTATAACCTTGGTATTAAGAACCTCCTTCGTACAGGTTCTATTACTAATGGCTACGTACTTACGAGGGTTCTACTTCTAGGCTTCTGCCTCAATATAGCGTTTGTAGTGTTTTTACTAATTAAATACTAGCTTCTAGGTATTGATAAATACCTTGAAGGCAATTTTAACCTCATTATAAACCTTTCTAATAGGCGAATTATACTTATCAATACGTTGTTGAATTATTAGTAATTCTAAAGTACGTAGTACTTTACAAGGAGTTATAACTTTAAATCGGTTAAGGAATAAGGGTTCTTATTGTACCCTAATAAATTCACGTAGTTTATTGAGAGGGACGTCGGGTTTAAGAGGCTAAAGACCAATCTTCTCCCATCCCTTATAAATATTACTTCGAATGAAGCCTACCTCCTTAACCTTCTTCTAGTTATTTAGAAAGACCGTACGTTTGATATTAATAACCCTACTAATAATCTCGTCTACTAGAGCCTTTTAGTAAACCTTCTTAATTATTTAATAAACTACTATATTAAGTAGTTGAAATATATAGTTAATATATAAAGGTAGAGTATAAAGTATAATATCGAAGGCTTTATAGTACTATAGGATGTGTAAGTCTTTATAGGCTTCAAACTCGTCTATAAATAATACTTTGTATACCTTCGGTTTTGTTATTAATAAGAAGTTAATAGTTATTTTATCCCTTTTAGAAAGTTTTAGTCTTTTAAAAGACAGCAGGCAGTTAAGTAATAGGCCGAACTAATCGTCGATAGTATAGCTATCGAAGGAGGGAAATAATTTAAAGGAGTACTTATTAAAGTACTTAATCTATTATAGAATTCAATAGGCATTATTATATCCAATTAATATATTCGTAATAACTATATCTGGATTAACCTTATAGCTAGCTTATACGTTCCCTTGTACCTATACGTAAATTAGTAAGATCAATATTAATTATAGATAAAATAGCTTGATTATATTCACTATAATCTGTACCTTAAATATTAGGAATAAAGGGATACTCTTTGCTACAGCTGATATAATATCGATAGTAGTCAAACTTTATTACTAGGGTTGAATATAACCCTCCTCGTACAAATTCTATTCTTCATAAATAATACTTATTACTACGTAAATTAGTATAGGAAGTAATACTAATAAAGAAGGTTTTATACCTTTATAATTCCCTTAATTTCCCCTACTTGAAAGGGAAATTTATCCATATTCTAAACGTTGTCCTCTTTAATATTGAAACTATTATAGATAGCCTTCACCTCTTTGAACCAGTCTTTAAGGGAGTTTAATTGAGCCTTAGCACTTATCCTTTTTACGTCTTTAAAGCTAGCTGCTTTGAATTCGAATTTTAGATACTTTTTACGCTACTCTATAGGCTACCTTCTATAGAGGTTAATAGAGGGGGAGTATGGCCGTTGAGTTCGCAATTAGTTAACTAGCTTGATAAGGGAGGTATTGTTTAAGGGGAAGTAGCTACGGTTAGTAATTTAGACTATAATATTGAGAGTCTTGTCCTCGTCTACAATTAGGGCTAGTGGTCGATAGGCTTCTATACCAATCGGTAGAGCTTTACCCTCCTTAATAAATATTATATATTTTTTGACGATAGCTTTACTAACGTTAAATAGCTCCCTTGCATTTTTATACGTAACCTTCCATTCGTTTCTGGCTTTAGTATTCACTTTAGATTATAAGGTAGTAGATCGGGTTATAGTTACGGTTTAATTTATAATAAAATATTGGGCAGCCTTTTTTGTACAGGATGTAACGTTAGGGTTAAATATAGGTATGTTGAAAGTATATGCAAAAGATAGAGTATGACGAGACGAGCAAAATGAAATTATTTATAATACGATATAATAAAGATTCATAATATTATTATTGAGTGTAGATTCTATACCGTTATGAAGCTTGGACGTTATATATAAAAATCCCGACTTTTAAAAGGACGATAAGAATCGGTTGGCTAGCTGTAAGCGGGCCCCCAAAGGGTGGCCTCATATGGCTGTGGCCAGTGCGTGCACCTAACCGACGAGTATTGAGGGAGAGATAGGGGACGGTCATCGTATTTACAATGTGAGAAACGACAAAAGGTATGGAGGTTCTTTGCATGAGCTATCAAATGTTAAGAGCTTGTAGCTTGAAAAAAATAAGCTTTCGAGGGAAGATTTCCGTGCCGGGGTCGCCTTTCTTCTGTCTCAGGGACCTCATCCGAGATCCGGGCCCTGAAGAAGCTGTCATGGGTGTGAGCCCTAACCCTGTAATCCGTTTGGCATGCAGCCGCACAGACCACTTCAGTGCAGCACTCCATTCGTCTCCGTCCCCTTTCACAATTCCAGCTTTCCTTCAACATTCATCACTCGACACTCAATGACGGAGCGTTCTCAGAGGGTCCTTATGGCCTCCGTATCTACTCATTTTCGTTTTCGTTGCTCTTGGCTTCTTTTTGATTCACGCTTCTCTTTTACCATGCCACAATTTTCCTTCTTTTCCCTCGCTGCCGTGGTCACTCCCCAGGACGGGAGCTGCATGGACGGAGTAAAACTGGAATTTACAGGGGATAATGCTATTGCACTATCGTATCTACAGCTAATCCTAGCTCGCTTGAGTTAGGATCGCATCACTTACTCGGCACCTCACCCGCTTGACAAGTCAAGCGACAACGTCGACCAACTACATCAATCATTTCCCTATGTAATAACGAGCGTTATTACACAAATACTGAGATAAAGGCTGGCGATTTATGAAAGGAGAAAATTGGCTTTTAACAGAGATCTCTTTCGAGTTGTAGAAGATCTAAACCTTCATCTGACATGTCCGCCCTGCCCGGTAACTCCATTCCCGCCCTCATCAACCTCAACTTTAAGGTGACTGAGCTTCCATGTCCTCCTAACGCCAATCCGATGCCATGATATCCTCCGAGAAAGACCTAAAGAAAGAGAAATTACGAACCGTAAAGCAGATTCGAAGAAGGAAACATACAAAAAGCAAAGTGAAGCAAGATAAGGCCAACGCTGAACATAACGCCTGGAACTACCAGTGGAATTTGTAAAAGCGTTCGAAGGAGAGTAGAGCTAATCATGGGGTGCCACGCCCTGCTGAATGCTGAATCCTGAGTGCTGGGATTCAGTAGAGGTACCGAGAAGTCACCCTGCCAAGTTGACGAGCTCAATCCTTGTTGGATGTAGAGGTTCAAGGCCAAGGTAGGAGCAGATGATTGAATCCGTGGGACGCCACCCCCTATTATGTCTCTGGTTCTGCTGCAAGTAGAGCCAGAAGAGACACCACCGTGCCAAAGATGATGCTCAGTCCTTGTAAACAAGGAACGCCACGCTCAACAGGGATGCCACTCCCTAGATATCCCCCTCGAAGTTCTAGACAAGCCAGCAGAATTGCCAAAGTATGCTCAGCAAACTAGCCGTCATGAATATTGACAAAGTACTCCTGGAGCACCTCGTTGCCAATTGTGATCGCCTCGTCGCGATCGTACGTGTGCTTCACCAGGATATGGCCCAGATAAGTCCTGGCACCATCCGTGAACTTGATAACCTTGTCGCCATCCTTGTAGTAGTCGACGGCCAGAACAATATGTTCCGCAAGATCTGGACGGCGCAACTTGAGATCTTCAGACGGGCTGATCAAGCCAAGTTCCTCATGCTCTTTCCACTTGACAATGCCATCTTTTGGGACGGGGATGTAAACCAGTCTAGACCAGTATTGTGCGCCGGGGGTGCGGTAGCTCGGGCTCTCGACGTGGCCGAAGGGCTTGGCTACTTCACGCAGGCGCTCCTTGTCGTCAACAGCGGCCAGCATGCGCACGGCAAAGTAGTCGACACCGTATGTATGGCGTGAGGGGACCGAGACGCGGTAGCCGGGCGGACGAGCGTTGATCTCAATGAGCTTGCACTCCGCCTTCTCCGTCGGCATACGGTCTTTGTGCTTGAGAGTCAACATCTCGAAACCGGGACCAATGCAGTACTCAGCCTTCGAGTTCACCACCCTGGCCTCAAGGTGGAAAATTCCCGTTGTGAAGCCTATCTTCAGCAGGATTTTGTGCAGCGTGTCGCGGACCATCTCCTGTTCGTCTTCAGGCAAGGAAGAAGGAAGGGTGAGAGCAACAGGGGAGAAGGTGTCGCTGACTTTGGCCTTGGCAGAATCGGCCTCGCAGGGGGGCTCGTCGGCTATCTCGCAGAAGAGGATCTCACCGTCCAAAAGCACAAAGTTGACGTCAATTTCGGGGCCGTCAAAGAAGGGCTCAATGACTGCGGCGGAGCCATGACGGGCGGTCGCTTTCTCGACGGCCCGGGCCAGGTGTCTCGGTTTCCTGACCTTGGAGACGCACTCTGATGACCAACCCTTGGTGGGCTTGACGATGACGGGGAATTTTGGTGTGAAGAAAGGGATGGAGCCGTCTTTGGGGGCGGCGAGGAGGGCCTCGAGTTCAGCAACGCTGGTGACGCGGGCGGTGTGTCCCGGTGAGTCTTGCAGCATGCGAGACTTGTATTTGTCGACGGCTGTCTCGAAGGCGGAGACAGGGCCACAAGGAAGACCAAGGGTTTCGGCTACTTTGGCGACTGCGACAAAGAAGTTATCGGACAGGGTAAAGATGCCGTGAATGGGATGATCGTAGCTCTTGATCGAGGCGATGATACGATCAACCACGGTGTCGTCTTCGGTCATGTCGGTTGTGAGAAAGGCCTCGCGGATGTTGCGGTTCTCCTCAGTGTCGGCCTCGAGCCAGTGACCGGGTTCGTCTATGATGACCAGCTTCAAACCAAGCGCCTTGGCAGCAGCGTAAACGGGCCCGCCGGTCATAAGGTTGGGACGGCCACGGATGAGGGCCACGGTCTTGGACTCGATGGGTGTGGGCGATAGCATAGACACGCCGTTGAATCTGTAAATGAGCTCCTGAGTAATTTTGGCGCGGTATCTCTGGAGTTGAGAGATGGCACTGTAGCTGGATACCTCTCCCCACTGGATAATGCCACCGGCATTCTTGACCAAGGAACCTATGCATTGATCGGCGTTGAAGTCGGCTTCCCTGATACCATTGTGATAATGGAGGACGCGCAAACGATGATAGATCCGGATGACCGGAATGGGGCTGTCCTGAAGGCGGAGCTGAAGGAAGTCGTCGCGGATTACATGGCCAGAGGTCTTGGGGAAGATCAAGGTGAAGACTGAAATATTTGTATCGGATAACTTGGGCGACCCGAAGCCTATCTCGTCGAGTCCTCTGAGGAAGATGTCGAACTGGGTGGGAGTACGGGGACGTCTGTTCTCGTCCTCTCCATGACCGTTGATTCCGTTTGGAGTATCCTTGGAGACACCATTTGTGATACTGGTGTGAGAAGGGGGTGAAAACCGAGGGACTGGCGGAAAGATAACCACATTCACGGCAATGTAGAGCCTGCCGATGTCGACCGTGTCCAGAAACAAGGAACGGTTTTGGCCATCTGGGGGGGTCCGAGTCAGTATTATATATTGCGCGATGCTCGAGACTTGGACAGGAAGGTGGGGCAAGTGCGAGTGATGGATGTTCAGGAAGGTAGGATTCAAACGAACCATTCTGGGTTCCCAAAAGTGAGGACGCGAAAGCTGTAGAGGGGCTGAAGGGCGGAAGTCCCGCAAATCCGCCAACCTGAGCCATTGCGCCGTCGTTATTGATGCGTCAAGGGCGCGCGCGCACTGAAGATGGTGTTAACTCGACGAGAGCTCTTGAACAGAAAGGCCGACTAGATTTGTGGCTGTTTGTCTGTTGGTTGTTGGCGGTGAGCTACCTTTCTGATTGCGCGGTGGCGATTTTGTGAGTTGTGCTTGAGAAGGGAGTCTGAAAACAGCGACAGTTGAGGGACGGGAAGAAGTGGTTGCGCGTTAGAGCGGTGGGTATTTGATTGGCAGAAAAACAGGAAAAAACGAAGGCAAATGAGTGTGCAGAACAAAATGGATAGGTCTGGTATTTGGCCAAGTGAAGGGAGTTGATAAGACTTGAAGTTCGGACGAAAACCGCCTCAACAAAAAAAGACGGGACAGGAGAAGCGGGAAGGAGATTAGCCGGTGACGCAAGACACTGATAACAGTTTCCAGTGAGCAGTATTGAGAACCCTGAGGGCCAAGGGGAACCATCCTTTCCCTCTGACTGTTTTTATCAACATGGTCCCTGGATTCTTCCCGGGTGATCATGGTCACTGTCGAGGCTTGAGATTGACCTCATCCCCTTCCAGGTCCTGCGGGTGTCGCGGGTCTCGATCTCGGTTCGGGTAGTGGAATACAATGAGCTGTCGTGCAATGGACATCAGCTAGATCAACTACTTTGAGAGCCAATAATGGCTGTCCACTTTGACATCTTGGTGACTCTTGTCTTTCAGTGAATGAACATGATTCGATACCAGGAGAGGCGGCCAAGGCAGCCCCGAGTAGCACAGGTAACCCTCAAGACACAAAAGCAGCAGGTGTAACCGTGGAAAAGAACAAGTGTCGGTCAACATGTCTCGCTTATGGCGAATTGTGAAATGTCTCGTGTTGCCGTACTCAAAGTGTCGCAGAGTGATGGCCAAGGAGAGAAGAGAGAAGGAGAGGACAAACAGCGGCAAACGAGAACCTTGATGGTCGAGCAGTGGCCTCAAATTGCGACAATCTGATAAGATGGCTTGGCAGGCGCTAACCCACGAAAACCCCACAGACCAATCAGCTTGGCCAATTTGGGAAAGGAAGGAGCGGAGGTGGGGCCCTTGCGTCTTCCGTCACCATGAGGACCTTGATGGCCAACTTTCTCCTCGCTCCTTCTTCCTCCCGCAACAAACTAATTCTTCCACGTCGTGACTTGTTCGCATCCCGTCAATCTCGAGATGACTGTCCACTTTTCCAATGTCAATTAATCCGCGGCAACTCCATGCTATATACTTCTTTAACTATGATTGTAATGCCCTCAATCCCACACGCGCGCGATGCGGATGCGACGTGGAGAGGATGCTGCAACAATTCCACTTTGACGGGTGCTGAATACTGATCTGACTCTTGAAAGTGGCTCAACGTCAGCACAATGGAAAAACCCAAGTCTTCAATAGGAATGATGAATTGGTCAGGCACCAATTCCAAAGTCAAACCTTGGAGTCGTGAGCGACGGAAGGCTGAAGGCTACTGGCAGGTTGGGTAACATTTCCGCTGCCATCAAGGTTCTCGCGGCCTCGACATTGGCGGCTGTCGATGTGCGCCCTTGTCAGAATGTCCACTCTCTTTCATCGCTTCCGAGTTTAAGCTGTGGGCAACCGCAAAGTAAGTATCCAGAGTATCCTCTTCCTGCAATCAAGGTGCCATTTTCCATCGTCGTGCTAACCCAATGATTTGCAGATGATTTCCACTTGGTCAATCTGTCCGACCGTCTGGTCCCCTACTTTACTGAGCTGCATCCCCTCGCTGGGCTGGACGGGACCCTGACGACTGTTCGATACCCTTCACGCTTCGATCTAATCCCAGCCAGCCCTACGACCGCTCAATCATCCCTTCTCAGACTACGAGGCGGTGTCAACAGAACGGCTCGAACTCAGCCTTGCGCATCGTCCCATAGCAATCGTCCCAGTCCAACACCGAACGAGAACCTCGCTGGCCGTGGTCCATCAACCTTTTCGAGCGCGTCACCATTCACTGCTTCTAGCCAGACGTCACTAGTACGGCCTTCGGCTCCTTTAAAATGCCTGCACTTCTCTCAGTTCTCGGGCTTGGTTCTCCAAAAAACCAGTCCGTTCACTACCTCGCCGACACAAACCCGCAAAATCTCGATACCCTCGTCGAACAAGTAGACATCATGGCCAACGCAAAGATCACCAAGGCTCAAATGGTTGCCTTGACCATTCTCGATACGCACGAACAGCTGAAGAAGCTATCAAACTACCGACCAGGAAAGGAGATCAACCGGCTGTTGGGAAACCTCGTCCACACATGCGTTCAAATCCATCCCCCAAGCGTTATCCAGCAGGTATGGTTTCTCAAGAACCCCCAAGCGAGTTCCCCACTAACATCTCCAGATCCTCAACTTCCCCGGCCTCCAACAAATGCTCCCCTCCCTACGCACCATCTGCTCCGAAGCCGAATGCTGTCTCGAGAACCACTGGGCTGAGCATGCCTTGTCCTTCGCCAACCAAGGCTCCGACGCAGTCCTCAAAGCTCTCCAAATCGACTTTCCCTACTTCCATAACTACGTCGATCTAGCGCGCCTCGAACTCTCCGCCATCCGCGCCGCCATGCCCACCACTGAACTCAAGAAAATCACCTTCATCGGTTCCGGCCCCCTCCCTCTCACCTCCTGGTGTCTCCTCGATGAAATCCGGCAGACCTCCGACAACACCCCCACAATCACCAACATCGACATGTCCCCCAGCGCCATCGCCACCTCCTTGCACCTCAACGCCGTCCTCGGACCCTGGGGCGAGGAAATGGAGTTCTTCTGCGGCGAAGCCGGCTCTTCGTCCATCAGCCTCGCTGATTCAGACGTGGTGTACGTCGCTGCGCTGGTCGGGCTTTCGCAGGAGGATAAGGAGGAGATCTTTCTCAATGTAGTTAGGACCATGAGGCCTGGTGCTCTGCTGGTGATCAGGAGCGCGTGGGGCCTGAGGACGTGTTTGTACCCGGAGGTGAGCGTGAATACGGAGAGGCTACTGGAGGTGCTGGAGCCGTGCGCGGTGGTGCATCCGTATACGGATGTGGTTAATAGTGTGGTTGTTGCTAGGGTTAGAGAGTAGTCCTAGGCGAGGATGACAAGGCATGAGTGACGAGCAAAAGGCAAAACTGCCTGTCGGGATCAAAAAGCATATAATGGCTGGAAAATGGGAGGCGGACGATTTGTCTTTAATGAAAAGTGAAGAGCAAAATAGATTAGCCAGCTATAATGAGATTCGTGCTACAGTGTGTGAGTTTCCCTTGCTTGCGTCTCCTCTCTCCCCTTATCTCGTCTCTCTCGTCCATGCATTAACTAACTGAGGGAATCTAGAAAACAGTCCCAAGTAATTGAACCCCGGAGGTTATAATCGGCTTACTGTGCAAGAACACAATCACTCCTAGTTTTGCATGGACCACTGCGGTCTTCGATGTCGTCGTCATTAGCCTTGTTCTACCCAACACAGTTCCTCAATCATACGCCACTCATGCATCCCATCAACACCCGTCAAAAGTTGCTTCCAACAGCGTATTCTTATCGCGATATGCCTTTTCTGGTGATATTTGTCTTGGGCTTAAAAGGACTGACCAGGACTTGGAGGGAACATGCAACATCACGCCATCGTCGCTCCCGCTGACCCGCCACGCCTTGTGAAACGTGAGAGCGCCAAGTGACTGACTATAAGTCCGAGCCTTTGCGGGATGCTTAGAAATCACGGACTTTAGAACTGTCCGTATCTGTGAATACCTTACCAACCCCTCCCAAGCCTCCCAAGCCTCCCAAGCCCACTCCCTCACCAACGGCCGTGGCGTAGACGTGGTAATCAGCAACACCGGCCCCTCCAGCATCCCCTCCGACATCGCCAGGCTCAAGTTCGGTGACGGCCGGATCGCACTGGTCGGCTTCCTCGAAGGTTTGGAGGCAGACTGGAACCCGGCGGTGCTGATGGGACTTGATGGGAAGAGGGCGAGTCTGGAAGGGATTTTGTGCGGGAATAAAAGTGAGATGTTGGCGTTGAATGAGTTTTTGGAGGAGAGGAAGGTGGATTTGGGGCCGGTTGTTGATAGGGTTTTTGGGTTTGGGGGTGGGGGAGGAGGTTAAAGAGGCGTTGGGGTATCTGTGGGAGGGGAGGCATGTTGGGAAGGTTGTGGTGAGGGTTGCGAAGGAGGAGGAGTGAGGGGTGTGGTTAATGATGTGGGAGAAGTGCTGGTATCTTTGTGGGCGAGGAGGGACTTGGATTCGACTGCGTAGAGGTGAGTGACAGTAGGACGTCGCTATGTGTAAATGAGCCATGACTATCGTGCTTAACAATAACCAGGCGTAACACGAACGTGAAGTTTTTCGGTCCAGTTAGTGGGTGGTATTGACAAAGAAAATACGTTTATGTTCGCAACAAGTCTATCTGTATCTGTGATATGCCCGACAAACACAAACTCCGTCAGCAAAGAGGACGTGCCATTGATTGATGCAAATATGAATATACCTTTGAACTCCGTCTATAGTCTACCAGGGGTACCGTATCCAAGGCCCCCATTCTAATCCGTCTATCCCAATGTTCTATCCATCTATCCCCGTCTATGGGTATCCTCCAGTCTAAACTTCCCTTCTCCCCCCTGCCCTCTCCCCATGCGTTCCCCCTCTTCCAACCAAGTCCTCCTTCCTCTCCCCCCTCCTCGTCTAAAGATTACTCTTCAACATAACAAACATACTCTCGCACCTCGCCAGTTCCTCCCCCTCCTCGCTCAACATCACCGCCTGAATCCAATGCTTGCGTCCCTCGACCTTGGTAATCTTGGCCCTAACCATGATCGTGCACGGCGTCCTAACAGGCTTAAGAAACGTCTGATTCAGATAGGCCGTCATGAGCGGGACATCCTTCATCAACTTCTGCTTCTTGTTCTGCGTAAACAGCTGCCCCTGCGCGTCATCCAAAATCATCATGACGATGCCGCCGTGGCAGACGCCGGGCCAGCCGTTGAGTTGGGAGCCGAGGGTGAGGAAGGAGAGCATTTCTGTTACGAGTCTTTCTCCCGACTGGGGCTGGGGCTGCTGGATGATGGTGATGTAGGCGGATATGGCATCTTGGCTGTTGAGGGTGTGCGAAAGCAGAGTGTCGCCGTGTCCGGGCTTGGGACGGCGGGAGTCGGCTTGGCTGATGATTAGGTGTGGTTGCGACAGGTGCTTGGCGACCCAGGGGATGGAGCGGAAGTGGTCGATTTCCATTTGTTCTGTTTTGGCGGTGGTCGAGAAGGACTCGTTTGATTTTTGAGTAGAGGAAGAAGTCATTGTGGCGGTGGTGGACGACTCGGTTTGAGGTCTCATGGTGTTGACGTTAACGGCAGCAGTGTGTTGGGCCCGGATCCAGTTCGTGTTTGTGGCTGGGATGAAGCTAGAAAGTGACGGAATGGGGAATCCAGAGTCAGCGATGGTGTTTGCGATTCAGTCGTTTGCATATAGTTTTCGTTGTCATGAGTGAGTGTTGTTGTCGACAGTGTTATCAATGACCACAGGCCGGCTGTTGTTGTCATTGCGGTGGGTATTTGATTCCACATGCCGAGGTTCCTCTGAGATTGGATAATTGCATTTGATGGCGATCCATGACGGCGTGCCAGGCGTGCCATAATGTGACATTTTCATTTGCTCGTCGCAATGCTGAAAAACATACCTCGAGGACTTGGTGATGGTGTTGTTCCTGGCGGGAAAAGCACATGCGCCACTTGTCATGCACCGTCTGATGGTTTGCATCCGTCCCATGTTGACAGTCTGCAGTCTGAGCGCAGCGGTCATTGCTGAAGACATCTGCAGTGGCAGTGGGTTAGCGCTGTTAATTGAGGCTCTTATTCAAGGCCCTTTTAGCGAGCAGCACTATCAGGGTCTCTCACCGTGAACAGAGTAAAGGGTCTAATGACGTCGTATCGCCTAACAAATCGTCTCAAAATACCAGACGGAATCTACAGAACAAAAGACGCATTTCTCAAAACCCCGTCCAGGAACTGAATTCTTTAGTATTCTCCGACACGGCGGTTCGGCCTAGTTGATCTCCCGATGCTCTTCGGACGCACCCTGTCGCTTGGCTTCGGCTCTCGCATCGCTCGCTGGCAGCGATATCCTCGCTTCGGTCAGGTACCCGCTTTGTGCATTGAGACGGCATCCGGTTGGTTGGACCGTGTGCTATATTGGAGCATTCAGATGATCCATTTGTTCTTTGGTACTTGAAGAGTCAGTGAGTTCTCGGGCGGTCCGGATAGATATTAAGACGATTTATGTCACAACCCCCGAGCGCTCTCGGAATCCAACTTTGTATAGTCCGAGTAAGCTCGGATGGTCGCTTCCAATTTGTAAATAGCGAAAAGGGGCCAATGGATGGAATTGGCGAATTGGCGAGTTTTCAAAGGTACACTGACGTTAACACTGGCCCGCCGATGCCGCCGGCAATCCACAACCCGCGGCCGATAAGATAAGCCAACCCCTGAAACATTCTAGCCTTCCAACTCGCCCAGCATCCCCTGCCCTTCCCTCAAACACTAAACCAACAAAAAAAAGTTACCTCGGCATCTTCGACATTTTCCAAGGGGATCTCGAAATCGAAAAAATTCCCCCAACGCTGCCACGCAAGCGTCCGCCGCGCAATTGTAACTCGCCAATCATACATAACGCTACCGACCATTTCGCGAATCGAATCAAACCCGCGTTTGTCAAACTTTCCGAGTTCCGACAACAAGCAAACGACGGAAGACCTGAAAACCAATCGATCGTCTCAACAAAAAAAAAAAAAAAAAAAAAAAAGACTTCGAGAACGCGTCGAGACCTGAACCGCTGCGGAACGAGAACCTGAAAAGACCCACCCACCGAACAACACTTCAATGGTAAACTGGGTCCCGCCCCGTCGCCCCGTCCAGATCGGAGATAACCAATACCCAATACCGCGCGATACGCTAGATATGTAGTTTACTGTAGTATCCTAGAGAAAGAGAAGAATAAATAGAAATGATGTCCACCGCCGTCGCCTTTGCCCCTGGTGTCGCCGCAAAGTGTGGAAGTGCTCTCTTTTGCTTCCTTCGGTCCTCCGCTCTTTGGATCGTCGTCCTTGTTGTCCTTGTGTTTGGTGGTTTGCGCCGACGGCTTTTCGTTGCCCGTCCTCCATCCCCTCGGCCCGGTCGTCCCGCCTATCGACCTCCACGGCGTCGATCCCCTCCACCGACCGGTCCTCCCTCCGAGTCCTCCCCGACCGTTCATCCTTCTCCTCCGGTCACCACCAACCCGGTCCTTAACCTCAGCCCCGGCTGACCGCACCCTTCTCCCCCGACGACGACCCCCGAACACGCGCAAAAATGGCAGTCGGAACCCTCTCCCTCTTCTACCCCGTCATCCTCCCGCTCTCGACCGCCGGCCTCCTCTATGGCGTCCACCGGCTGATGTACGTCGACTGGGCCGTCTGGGCCACCGATTTCTTTACGGGCCCGGGCAGCGTCAGTCGCATTTTGTTGGTGGTTTATATGGGGCTGAGCTGGAAGAATTTCCCGTTCATGTGGCATGTGAGTACCTTACATATTACCCGTCTCGTCTCCCCTGGTTGTTGGTTGGTTGGTGTCTGTCTATATGGTTTGTAGCTGGGAGTGGTGGTTGGATGGGAGGGTGGGAGGGCAAAGAGGAGAAGGGTAGGAGAGGAGAGGAGAGCACTGGGCAGAGAGAGGCAGCTGGGGCGGATGGATAGCTGCCCTGGTCGGGGTGGCTTTGCGAGACTGGTGGGTGGTATGGCTTGGGGTCGCGTGCGGTAGCGTGCGGTGCTTTGCGGCGCTGTGCGGCGCTGTGCTGCTTCTCTTTGCTTATACCACCATTCCTTTGTGGCCTCGCCTTGTTCCGCGCCGTCTGGTCTGGTCTGGCCTGGCCTGGCCTGACTTGGTCCGATGATCCATCCGATCCGGGGCTGGGCTGCTTTGGCGCTGTCTCTGCCTCTGCCTCCTCTTCTTCTCCCATCTCCCGCTCCCGCTCCCGCTCCCGGTCCGGTGTCTGTCTGCCCTGGGCCCCCCCCTCCCTCTCTGCTTCCGCTGCCACGGCCGTCGTCTTCCTTCCTCTTCACCCCTTCACCCCCCCGCCGTTCCAGCTCCCTCCTGTTTTCATCCAAATACTGACAACCCCCCTTAATCCAGATCCGCGTCTTCCACGCCTTCCTCCTGCACCTCCTCCGCCGCCCCCCCACCCCCCTCGGCCCCAACTCCCTCTTCCACCCCTCCATAACCTCCTCCTACACCTCCCCGCTCGAAACCGATTACAACCTGCACAAGTCCAACTCGACTTACTTCGCCGACCTGGACGTCTCCCGTTCTCACTTGGTCACCCACTTATTGGGTCCCGCCATGTCCGTGGTCGGTGACAATGCCAAGAACAAGCTCGTTCTTGATCCCCAGGGCAACCTTGTTAAGGGAGGGTTTGGTATCGGTCTTGGTGCCGTGTTCTGTTCGTTTAGACGGGAGATCCCGCCTATGAAGGGGTATGAGATGTGGAGTCGGATTTTGTCTTGGGATCGTAAGTGGTTGTATATCGTTACCCATTACATCGTCAAGGGCAAGGTGAAGCCTACCAGCTGGGATGGCAGGAAGTTTGGTCCTACGCGCCCCAAGATCGTCAGGACTGAGGATGGAAAGGAGGTCGAGGAGAAGGATTTCTCAAAGTACGTCTACGCTACCGCCATCAGCAAGTACGTCTTCAAGCTCGGCCGCTTCACTATCCACCCCTCCATCGTCATCGAGGCCAACGGCTTGCTTCCTGAGCGTCCTGCTGATGGATGGCGCGGCGGCGAGACGGGCACCGGTACCCCCGAGCACCTTGGCGAGATTGATGAGAACAGCGAGTGGGACTGGAAGCGCGTCGAGTACGAGCGCAGAAAGGGCATGGAGTATGCCCAGCACTTTGCTGCCTTGGATGGCGTCAACTCCTTGTTCGACGGTGGCGAGGATGGTGCCATTGGCAAGTTCCATCTGGGTTAAACCAAGGACAGAAAGAAAGAAAGCAAGTCAGCATGGAGAGAACAATGCATGGATACTATAGACACAGGGGCAATGCATGTCACGGATAGACGGCAAAAACAGCATTTGGAGCGAATTATGTTGAATTACTACTACTACTAGACTCTTTAGGGACGGCTCCGGGTCGCCTTTAGATATGTTGATACCCCCGGATATAGGAAGTTGGTGCTGTGTGTACAATCATGCGCGCACAATCGCAAAAGTGCAACCGGTTGTCTCAAGTCCACCGAGTAGACGGGAACCTGTCATCCAGATCCTTATCATCCACTCTGCTGCTGCCAACCACATCCTCACCCTCAAAACATCATGAAGCACGCGGCCAACGCACCGACACCTGCCATGACAATGACACCAGCCCCTGATCGCGCTGTTGAAGCACCGCTGCTCTTCCCGGTGGAAGCTGGTGTTTGAGTGGGGTTGGATTGAGGGACGTAATAAGCAACGGGCCTGGTAACTGTACTGATGGGTGTGTTTCTGGGCTCCCACACGGAGGACCAAACAGTCTCAGTCGTATAGCCTGATGAGTACGAGTCTGACGGAGCACTGATGACGACAACTGGAGCCGCTGACTGCATGGGGACCTGAACTGTGTTCATGCCAGGCGTGAGGTTCGAGATTGTGGTCATTGGAGTGCCAGTTGGGGCTGAAGTGGTGGTCGTGATGGGCGTGGTAGATGTTGTGCTGGGCATGGCGGCAGAGGTCTCAGTGGTGGCGGTAATTTCAATGACAGTCGCGACTACCACCTCCGAGGTGGTGGTAGTGGCAAACGTCATTGTCGTTGTCCCTGTCCCCGCCATCGTCATTGTCTGTGTCCCCACCATCGTTGACATCGAAACTTGGCGAGGATCAATCTCATGAATGGCCGTCTCAGGCCTCTCAGTGCGGAACATCACCGGGCCAAGGTCGTCTATGTCGGCAATGTCAGATTGGCATGGTCATGGATGAGAGTGGGAATGGTTGTACCTACCCCATGGGTTGGGAGTTGCCAGGGCACGCGCTTTGAGCGACACAGGAATAACAACGGCCTTGGCTGAAGAAGCTGGGACACATGTCGCTGGTCAGAGAGACATTGAGTGAGAGCGCCATTCGTGCACTTACCTTTGATGACTGTAGGTGTGGTGTCAAAGATCTCGTTCAAGTCGGGCTCTATGGCACACTCTTCGAGGCTGTAGTAGACATCCTCCAGCTTCCCGGTTCTGAAACAAGCCGCATTGTTTGAAGGGCAAGCCTCGATGTCGCGAGTGCGCTTCCAAGTGCATTTGTAGTCGTCGCCCGCTGGACACATGTCGCTGGTCAGAAAGCCATTGAGTGAGAGCGCCATTCTTGCACTTACCTTTGATGACTGTAGGTGTGGTGTCAGAGATCTCGCTGAAGTCGGGATCTTTATCACACTCTTCGCGGGTGTGCCAGGAATAGTTCATCTCCTCGAGAGTGAAACAAGCCGTATTGTCTGAAGGGCAACTCTCGGTTTTGTAAGTGACATTCCAGGCGCACTTGTAGTCGTTATTCACCGAACGAACAGCCAACTTCATCTGGTCGTCGGGAACTGGAGTTGCCATGGCACGAGCTGTGAGCCTCACAGGAATAGCATCGGCCTTGCCCGTGGTTGGAAGAGCTCGAAAGCAAGTCGCTTGTCAGAATGCCTTCGAGTAAGAAGAGCCATGCTTGTACTCACCTGGGGTGTGTGTGGAGGACCATGCTTTGCCGGCCAGGACCAAGGCCAAGGGTGCAAAGACTGTGGTGGGATGCATGGTGACTCGGAACAAGTAAAGATGATGTTCAAAGAATGAGGGAATGAATGAATGGTTGGGTTGACAGCAAGAGAGTGTTGGGCGGACAAGAGAAGCAAAAGTGAAGAATACTAATGATGAGTGATGGAGGAGAACAAATGGATGAAGTGTCTGGGGGACAGACCTCTATTTGAACTCCAAGGATGCTCTCAGTTCTTGTCTCCTACCTGTCTATCTGTTCGCTCCTTGGTTCAGCACCTGCATGGTTTAGTGGTGTTGTGACTTCCATGTCGTGAATGCGAAGACAGTTGCGGGTCAGTTCATGTCTTGTGTATGGCAGTTGCGGTCATGATATTGGTCGACCGATCACGGACAGCAGCCCGAGGAGGTCATCCAACGAAGCAACCTGGCCAGCTCTGAGTATGGGAAGAACAAGCCCATCCAGATGTTATCTTCGAGGTGTAGTTCAGTCGCTCCTTGTCCCATTCAATGTTAGAGTCTTTGCTTGGAAAGGTGCAGAGCGGTTCTGGCGCCCTGTCCTCGGCCGAATGAGCTCATCGGAAGGGCTTTTCCGGTCCCGTCGGACATCTGTTCTCCGGAGTGAGAGCATGATTACCGATGTGGAAGTTGCGCTGTCTCGGGTGTTGATACCTGAAAAAAAGGATCGGAGTGGCAGGCGTGGCTGCTCCTACCAGCGACTTTGTTCGCTTCGTCCACCGAGCTAATGACGGAGTGAACTCAACAAGTGTGTCGGAAGCACCTGCTATATCTGACGGAAGGTCCTGTTATCATCTCACGATAGGCATGCTGGCAGAAAATGGAAGGAGCGAGACTCACGCATGGCGCTTCGCCTCTGGCAGCCGATACAAGAGATAACGCTTGGCTCAGATCCGACGATTTCACCAACAGAAGCAAGAACACCACGAGTGTCGCAAAGGTCTTGTTCCGCTTGAAAATCTACCACGCATGAAGGAGGCATCGGACGAGACTGGCCGAAACCTGAACATCGACCGTAACTCTTGTTCGTCAGTCTACAGCAATCCACAACCTTCAAGTAACATGAACCTTCGGCCATGAACCTTCGCCAATGTGTCAAGTAACAGGTTCTTCCTTCCTCTTCCGACTGTCAAATTTCTCCCGTCCGGTCCAAAGCACTCGCTAGATGTGCAGGCAGAGAAAGGAGCTCCAGAAGAACTGTACCTGGAGTCCTGTACAAGGAAAGAGCACTCAAGTTTCTCCAGCCACTGCCCTTTTCTCACCGCAGCCGCAGCTCGTAAGTTCGCGTTCTGGTTTGATGTTTCAGTTCCGTCCCCTGAGTTTGGTTTCCCAACTTGAACCTCGAATCCAGGCACATAGGCAATGACAGCTCGGTGAATGTGACTCAGCTCATCCCACCTCGCGCTAATCGGGTCTGTCCTTCCATCGTATCCAAGATCTAGGTCTGCCTGCCCGGACACTCCGAGACCACGGAGCTCGGTACATGATTGCCCTTGCAAGTGTCAGTCGAAGCTCAGCCACAAAGCTGGCCATTAGTTTCTTCTTTTCCATCGTGTTGCCGCCGGGACCTGAACGGACGGAATGCACATCCAGTAGAAAGGCAGAAAGCAGCCCGTCAAAGTCCGACCAGGTGGCAGTGACATCAGCCGCCCAGCGTACCTCTAACCAAGGCGTTTTCATTGCCACTCACTACCAGTCCACTCGAACAGAAAAAGCGGCGGCTACGGCCATTGAGCCGGCCGCAGTCATGGAAGGAAGGAACACAGCCGCCGTATTGTCGCCAAGGCAGACTGGCCGCCTTCCGGGGCCGGGAAACAGGCTAGAAGGAATTGGACATCCTCAAGGTTCACTTGCCGTTGAAGGACGGACTCAAAAACGATTCTATGATCATCATGGTCTTCCTCCTGGCAGATGTTTGCCTCCTTCCTTTGTTATCGCTTCCCTTGCTTTCCCGCTCAAAGGCGAGCGGGACCGGAATTCCGGCAAGGGAGGACATCGGACCGCTTCGGAAGGGAAGTTTTTGGGACACTCACTTCCACTTTCTTTTGCAGTGTCCGTGGCCCCACGCCCGGATGTGATGTCCCGTTGATGTCAACCACACACCAGGCCGTGAGAAGGACAAGATTGAGTGAGCCTTCCGTGATCTGTCTTCGAAAGGAGCGATTGTAGTACCTCGAGTATCAGTTACAACCGGTACATGATGCAACTGCCTATCGACAGGCATGAATGTGGTTCACCCGTCGTGATGTCCACACCGGGTTAACAGCCGTTTGCGCTTGTTCAACTGCAGTGCCACGAGGTCTCGCTACCGGCATGTGTCATCCAAGGTTTGTCGGACCTTGTTGGCCCTGTCGATCTTGTTTGTCCAACAAGCGACACAAGCGCGGTTCGCCTCCAAAGCTTCGGGCTTTTCCAGGCTTGCCCAGGCAGGCATGTCAGGCTCTGGAATGGAAACATCCAGAAGCGGTGATGCCCTGATGGTGTGTAAGGAGCGGGGTCATTGCTTCCAACACCGTGTTGGGAGATCATCAAGTGCACCCACCCCATTCGACTCGGATTCTGCGGTGTGGAATGACAAGTCGATAGTAGTCCGCTTCTTTGGGTAACAACAAAGAAAGTGTGAAGGGTGGCGAGAGCATTAGCAACCTACCTTCTCCCTTCTCCATCAAGACAAACATGCATACAACGTTGTTCTCCTTCTATCATGTGAATATGCCACACATTGCGCTTTGTCGGCGCCATCTCCACTCGAGCCGCACCGCAACGGCACAGTCTCTTCCTCTCTCTTTCTCTCCTTCTCCTCCCGTCGTGGGACCCCCATCTTGACTTCCGAGATGTGGGAAACTTGAAAGAGGAAGAAGCCATCAAGCGACGCGGCTAATCCAACTCCCGAAGGAGGAGTGAAGACCCGAAAGAAGGTTGCAACTCGCCAGAGGAACCTTTCGAAGCTCAGAAGCACGAAAGAAGACAAGGTCAAGAAGGGAGAAAGAACAGATGGTTCGATTCTCGCGGCAACCATCCAATCCCATTGATCCTTGGCTTCCTCGACGCCGCAGAGGTGCATAGAAGATTGGAAGCGAGGGAAACTTTATTGCTCCATTTACGCAGTACGACGATAGTATCAAGTTCTCGAAGTCTTGAAGTGGGGAAGAAATGATATCTTGAAGTTGTTGCCCAAAGGAAAGAAGAAATTGCATCCGCGCAAACCCCGAATGAAGTTGCATTCTCCTCGTCGCATTTTCATTACCGAGCTCCACAAGCTGCACCAACACGCATTAGCGTCTCCGCTAACGCGCTTGTAAGCGCCAGCACTGCATGACGAAAAGTGAAGATTGGCTGGACTTGCGCAGTCTCCGCCGTTAGCGTGGTGTAGATGGCTCTATTCGGAATAGCGTCCTGTATGGCGCTTTTTCGTGCCGTCACACAGAGACGCGGTGCGGAGCAAGCGGAGTCGAGCCCGGTCTTGGGAATATTGCCGCTTCTCGGCCTTTGAAGATTGATGTTTTTGATCATATGCATAAAATCTTCTCGCTTGATGAGTGGCTTCAAGCGGAAAGTGTAGAAGGCGTGCTGACCGCACCTTGATGTTGCACTGCCTTTTGGGCGTTTTTGCGGTTGTCGAAGAGGGAGTGCCGGTCGGCACCGTGGTCACCGCAGCCATTGCATTTGATCCGTCCTGGCCGGTTGAGTAGGCCGGTTGACTGCCGGACTTTTGCTTTTTGGTTCCTACAAGGCTGAAAGCTCGGTTCTACCTGTTCCATTGTCATGCCCGGTAGAATATGACTGGATCGTCCGTTCTCCGAAGGATCGACTGCTTGGTTAGCTTGGGTACTTGGGCAGTGCAGGGCTTTGTGGAGTTTGGCTGAGGACTCCTGTCGAAGATTAGAGTGTCTTTGGAAAATAGCCGATGCTTTAGAGGCCTAGTAAAATCGCCTTAATCCTTCAAAGATTGGGCATCTGGTCAACTCGGCTCGGCATCCTCTCCGGCCGAGAACATCGTAGGCTGGTTCTCGGCAACCCGTCCGTGCGGTGTTTCCAGGGGTCTCGCTCCCATAAAGTTCATCCCCTCCCCGTGCCGTTGGAATGCAGCACCGATAGCATGGCTAGGTACGCAACAAAGCAAAGGACAAAGGTCCTTGGTCATTAGGGAGAAAAAGTCCGAAGCGATGCATCGCATCGATATTGCGGGATTTTGGACATCCGGAGATATGAATGATGGGTAAGGTTGAAATGCAGGCTTGAGGCGTAGAAGGAGAAGGGCTTCTGGTATGGTTCTTTCTCAGCTTACTGTGTTACGTGTTGGTTCTTTCGAATGCCGAGAAATCCAAAAGTGTTTCGTGGGATGGATGGGTAACTAAGAGTTTCCGTGTGGCTTTGCGATGCGATGAGTGTGTTCATTCATTTTGAAGCTGTGATGTTTGGGCAATTGTGCATGTCGTGCACCTGGACGTTTGTGATGAACTCCGGAAAAGGATCCTCGCCTTCAGACATTTGTTTCAAACAGTTTTCCGGGTTGGATTCCGACAGCGTGGAAAGCGATTTGCATCCCTTGTCGAGGGAGAATTCTCACTGTGAGAGTTGCCTGACAGGGAGTGAACAAGGAGATGACCGAGCGCAAGCATGGCAGGGAGAAAGGAGAACAAAACACGACGTTCTCGGCCTCGGCTCGATAGCCAAAGATTAGCAATCTTGTTGCCTTGTGTCGGTGCGAAAAATCCTTGATGTCCATCCGCAAAGTTGAACCCTTGCCGGAAGTGGCAGCCGGCAACGTGCACTGAACGCAGGGGCGTGAAGAACGTGCAGAAGCGAGGAAACGAAACAGTCCTAACAGCATTGGTCAGTTTCAATCGGCCGATTCAGTTCTTTCCTCGCTATCGTCGGCCTCCGGGCCTCGAAGTTGCACTAAATGGTCATGTTGCTCGAATTTGTCCTTTGTGCTTTGTCGTGATCAAAGTTGTGGTGGTGCCGCAGACGGACGCACAAGCAACCGACAGAGGACGGCCAAGCGAGCCAAGATTGCGTGCAACCACAATATCGGGCCCTCGCTGGAATTTTGAAGCATGTTGCCGCTCTCTTCCGTGCCAAAAATACCCAAATTGAGAGGAAGACGAGGGTGGGAGAGAGAAGATGCGCCGTCAATGGTGGACACGACGCTGGGCGGAGATTCCTGGGCTAAATCGAGTGCTTTAAGCGGGTGCAGATTGGGCTAATCCCTAACGGGCCTAATGCTTTCCTTTTGCAGACAATCCGCCAATCAGAGGAGGGAAAAATCTGCCAAGTTTAATGAGTTAGCCGCGCATCTGCTTGGTGGAGCTGGGGGAAAACGAAAGTGGACAGCAGCGACTCCGAGCTCCGACCTTTTGCGACAACCTCAAGTCCTCCTTTCACCAAATGTCAAGCGAATGTGACTTTCTTCACCGTTCTGACTTCCGCTTGCTTCTTTTTTTGCCCACTACACTAAGAAAATTCTGCCAGCTCAATGATTGCCGCCTCAAGGCTGTCGCCACTTCTTTCACCACGGTGTCAATATTCCAGCGACCCGTCTGCCGTCCTGCCGTCGTCAAAGACATGTCTCGGGTCCTTGCTTCGGAGCCCGCAGGTCTCGCCAGAGCATCACGCTACAGTCCAGAGTGAATGTTCCAGCTGGTCAACAGGCAGTCCAAGAGAACCGGAAAAGGCCAGAGAGCCACGGCATTTTGCCCGCCGAGTTTGGCGCCGTCAACAGTCCCTCATTTACACTACCTCATGAGGCCCGTTGACCCGGCCAAGCGCCATCTTCTCCCACTGGCCCTTGGACACACAGCCAAGGCATTTTGCCTCCACCGAAACAATTGACAGACACAGCAGCGGACTGAGGAACGGCCACCGGCACCATCGCGTCGACATCAACAATGAACTGTTGCACCCGTTTTCGTCCAACGGCGGACACTTGCCGGAGAGACGCCTTGTACAAGTCCTTGGTGCCATGTCAGCCGTGGGAGCTATAGGTTGCAATATTGAAGCCTCATGGGTACGTACACTTTGCGAACGGATACCTTTCATCCTTCATCTTAACTCACAAACGGCCGCTTAAAAATTGCCTTTCTCTTCTGTCTTAGCATAGTATCAATACTACTACATGGGACATGAGATATGAGCATGGGCCTCATCCATCCTCCTCATCCATCTTCCCCGGATCATCACGACATCTTTTTGCCAGTGTAAGAGAACACACGGTTGTTCTCCTCCTGCAGAAAGACAAAACAACACTGTCAGAGCCCCTTCAGACCCATTCAACTGGTTCTGCATATCGCTTAGAGATGTGTTTGCTTCTTTTCTACAGTACAATATTGCCCCGGTCACTACCCTGGGCCTCGCCCTTGTCCAGGTCAGCGGACAACCGGCCGTGCTTAGACTAGTGTTGACAGCCACGTTCTGACCCCCGTCCTCACCATTATCCCCGGTCAATGGCCTAAGATCCGGCCCCGGTCCACACCACCCACTCACACCCACTCTTAGTCTCTGCCTCGCTGGGTTACCATATATACTTCGGAAGCCTGCCGTTTTTATCCCAACTTTTTGGAGTCATGATCATCGGTCTTAGTCTTGTCTTGTCTACGCCGTCTTGTTACTCAACCCTTATCCCCTTGGTCGGTTGATCTCACGCCTTCTCGAAGCTTTAATACTTGCTTCATCCTCCATCAAAAGCTTCTCGACACTCGACCATCACTTCACGACTTCTAACAGTCAAAATGGTTTCCACAAAGAGCCTGCTGCTTGCTGCCTTCACAACAATAGCATACGCTGCTCCCACAAAGGGTCCCTGCAAATCCCTAACACCAACTCTTCCCAGCACAGGAGGTTAGTCCCCCATTCACTTCCCTCCCTCGTCAACTTTCACTAACTCATCATCACAGGCGATGACCTCGTAGCCCCCTCCCCCACCGCCCGCCTCAAGAAAATCGCCCTCGGCCACGGCATCCAAAATTACACCTGCAGCGCACCCGATGCCACCCCCTCCGCCACCGGCGCTCTCGCCGTCCTCTACGACGTCACCACCCTCTACCCGGGCCTCTCCAAAACCGCTTTGTCCTCCAATGCCTTCAACTCCCTCCCCCACCTCCTCCTCTGGGACCGCCCCGTGCCCCTAAACCGGCCCTCCAACTCCTCTTACTCAGCCGACACCACCGCTCCTTTCCCCGCGCACGACGACCTCAAGGGACTAGCCGACTACCCATCCCTCAAGTACGCGGGGCACCACTTCTTCGATTCGACTGGCACGCCAACGTTTGATCTGGATGCTTCCGGGATGAGGGCCAGCGTGTTGAAGACGGGTGATGTCAGCGCGCCTAAAGATGCGGATAAGGGCGTGTTGGATACGGGGGCTGTGGCGTGGTTGAGGTTGACGGATAGTAAGAAGGGGGAGAGTAAGGGAGTGAATTTGGTGTACAGGGTTTTGACGGCGGGGGGCAATTCGGAGGGGTGTGCTGTTGCGGGGACGGGAGTGCAGAGTGTGCCGTATACGGCTTTTTATTGGTTTTATGAGGAGTAGATGCTATATGGCAGGGTTGGTGGTGACGGGAAGGAAGAAGGGGAGGGGGAAGGGGACTTGAGCAAGTCAAATCGGGTGCTAATCTTTGGTTGTCGGTGATGAAAACTTGGGGGAGTGGTCACGGTTCGGAGTTACGGTTTGTTGTCTTTTGGCTTACAACGGCGTTCTGGTTTGGGCTTGGGTGGTCGGTGGCAGCATTTGCATCTTTCTTCTCTTCTTTCATTCACGGGTTCAATCGTTTCTACCTTGGGCTCTCGCACATTTAGATCTCTCTCGTTAAATACCCACGCTTTATATACTTAATCTCAGTTTATCTCTTCACGTCGCAATGCCCGCAGCTCTCTTGTTTTCGTGCTCTCATTCTTGCGTCTCGTGTCTGCGTGTCTTGTGTTTTCCAATCCTTCTCCTTCAACTTGTCAGCTGTCGGCGTCCACACTGACCTGACTGACTTACCGACCAGAACCTGTCTTTTATTGCATTGCATCGCATGTCATCAAGTTCCATTTCTTCCTTGGTTCCTTTGCTTCTGCTTCTGTTGTGCATTGCTTGCTGTGGAGGCGACGAATCTGCCCCGCGGCCTGCAACCCTCAAGGCCCGGTTCTCCGCTCCTTTCTAACGAGGAAGGGGCGACCGGAAGAAACTTCATTTTCTTCCTCTGGCAACAATTTCCCCAGCTTGACGAGTGGATCGCCTTTGTTCACTCCTCATACCACCTTTTCTAGCTGAGTCTTTCCACCACATCTTTCGCGAGTCCCAGTCTGATCGCTCCCGTTTGTTACCTATCATAGCATCCAGACATCTGGGCAGCTTCACAGCTTCGCTGCTTTGCGCAGAAGCGAGTTCGTGAGAACTGCATCCCCTCTGCATCAGTGTCCGGCTCCACAGACATGCTTCAGTTCATTTCTTGTTCTGCGTGTTGGAATCAGGGCATGTGGCCTTTACAGCCTGGGGTAAATTCGCCTTCGACTGGGGCTGGAGGGGATAAAAAGACCTGCTTCTCCCCAGATTCTCTTCCCTTTTTTTCTCCTCCATCCTCTTCAACACACAATCTCCCTTCATAACTTCGTCTCGATACCCGACACAGTCCTCCATTAATACCTCAACATCTCAACACCTCGACACCTCGACACATCCTCACTCTCACATTTTTCGTACCCAGTATCATCGGTTAGCATATCGACGCTACATCCGTTTCTTCCTCTGTCTCTGTCTCCGTCTTCGTTTCCCCCCCCCCCCGCCTTCCCGCCCGCCCAGTCCCGCACACCGAGGTCTCGCCAGCCAGACTCCATGAAGAACATCAACTAGCTCTCGTCCACTTTTCCTTTCGTTCCGTCCTCCCTTCAACGTCTCTGTTACCACGCATGCGTGCCCTTCCAGCCGACCAATCCACTATGTTGCGTCCAACTCTGCTCTATGACTGTGTCCTCCGAAACTCCACTTCTCGTCGTTGTTCATAGTCCATTGTCGTCTCGTGCCTCCTCAAAGACCAATAGTCGCTTCAGTCACCGCACCCTCGAAACACATCACAGAAAACACACAGAACAATCGGTTCAGTAACAACACGATATTCAACGCCACCATCATCCGAGCGTGTCAACAACCATCAACCAAAAGCTTCTATGCCACTCTCAACCTACAGTCTATCCTTTCCACCCCTCTGCTATTTTTCTCCTCCCCCCTCTAGCGTGATCTGTTTCCTTTCCGTTCGTTTTGCTTCACAAAAATCAAAGCCAATGATGAAATAACCAAAGCCACTTCATCTCGACTCGAGCCACCAACACCATCTCTGACGATGCTGTTGACGCAAAGTCTCCTCGTCAAAACGACGCCTGGTGGTGTGTTCGACTCCGAGATGACCCGACGGAGGGATCAACTTGTATCAACGAACGATGAACGATCAACGAACGATGAACGATCAACGAGCGGTCGACTACGACGCTGAACGGTCTACGACCAACAATCGAGGATCAAAGAACGTGGGACTCAACGGGAAAGGGAAATGGAGTGTCTGATGCCGCTTCAATCCGTCTATGATCCGTCCAAGACGGTCAAGACAGGAGCAGAAGTAGGCTGAGGAAGTCAATGAGGTCAGTCGATGTCAGTCGAGGTCAATCGAGAGTCGAGTTCCAACATGGAGCAGACATGGAGCAGACAAGCAACAGAAGAGGAAACCCCAAAACAGAAGGCAGGAGCACTAGGGTGAATAGGAGATGATCCACCGACCCCCCGGAAATCCTCTAGGTCTCTCCAATAACCCTTCTCACTTGGCAATCCTCACTGTTCGCTTGCTTGCTTTGCTTGCCACCTTGCCGGCCAGCTACCACCCCGCCCAGCAGGCCGAGCGTGAAAGAGTTCGAAGCAACGGAAGGAAAGATAGGCACACCAGCGTAACTGAGCCGCTACCGTCGACCGATAACCCTTCTTCTTCCGTTCAATTCACTCTACGTACGCTTGCGAGCTTACTGGGTTGGTTGGTTGCTTGTTGCTGGTTGATTATCGGTAGGCTTGCGTGTTTGCAAGCTTGTCTCGCTCGTGGGTTCGAAAGAACCCCTTGCTGAGACAACCGCCAACGACTCCTCGACTACTTTCAACGCCTCGTGGACATCTCCCTGAGCCCCCTAGTCCTCCATCATCACCCAACCCACGCCCCATCCATCCATCAAAGAGTGCCAAAGCAAAAGCGTTGAATGGAGAAGCTACGTGCACCAGTGCCGCTTTTTGCTTTGCGTGGGTTGCGAGATCTCGCACTCGCAGTCCTTTCTCACTCCTGCTCCCCAGCCCAACCCCATCTATCATGACCAATCACCAAGATCAAAGATCGATCCTCTGCAAAAGGGCGTGAATGGAACGGGTGTTCTCCAGGCCCCTCCAGTGCCGCTTTTTCTGCTTCGTGGTCGATTGCCTCTGGTCTTGGGATGGGATTGATGGATGGGGTGAGCTGAGTCGGGTTGATGGGTTGATGGGATGGTGAAGAGGGGTTGGTGGGATGGTGTTGAACGCCTTCTGGTCGAAATCGCAGTTGCTCGTCGTTGGATCGTTAATCGCTCATTGAGTTGATCGATGATCAATCGAAAGTTGATCCTTTCATCCCGTCGGGAAGCATGTCTGACCCTAGGCAGACATAAACACTGTAGCCGCTGTCTCGCCAGTACCAAGTACTTGAATGAGTCGAAGGCGTCGTGGTCCGAACTGGGGGATTACTCTACGCTTGGTGGCTATCTGAGGCACTTTTACTTCTTCCCCCTTTGCTTTCCACTCCTTCGGTCTTGCTACTTTTACCTTCGTTTTGATGCTTAGCTCAACCCCCTTTGTTGTCGTTCCCCCATTTTCCCCCTTTTCTTTTTCCATTTGGTCCAACTCCTCCCAACTCCGACAAAATTCTAGCTAGCCCTGACGTTCGTGTTGACAACAAATGATAATCAACCCGCCCGCCTGCTGCTCAACCACAGTATTACTGCTAATCTTTCTTCAACTGTTCAACAGCAGAAAAGTTCCAAAAAGAAAAAAGGAAGGCAAGTGGACTTACACCCGCACCAAACTTACAGCGTACACAGAAGCCGGGGCAGGAAGGAAGGAAGAGAAAGTGAAGGAACCGACGACACCCATGACCACTGCGCCATTCTACCCAGCTTGTCACGTTCTGGGTCACACGGGAATTGATAACATATACCCTGTAGGGGAGGGGCTAGGTTGCGGGCGGGCGGGCTTGGTTGTACATTTTGGGCCTCAGGCCAGGCTCAAGACCGCTTGAAGAGTTGGGATGGGAGACGGCCGGGATTGCGTTTTGGAGGGATGTACAATCTAATGCTCGTTCTCTACTACCTTCACTTTCACTCAGTCGTAACTTACCAGCAATAACCGTGCATATACGGAAGGGTCTGGTACTGTTATTTTTGGGAAGATGACGAGAGTTTTGCGATATAGTCAGGCGGTGGGAGCTTCCCGGGGGGATTTTAACAACGTGTAGAGAGAAGGAGGAGGAGGAGTAGATTTAACGCCTCCACCTCTTCTATCCAAATCTACTCCTCCCCTTCTTTCTCTCTACACGTTGTTAAAATCCCTTCGGGAGTTGTCCTACCCCTTAACTATATTATAAGATTCGCCGTCTTTCCGAAAATAATAATCATAGACTTGTATATGTATATATATAGTTATTACTAGTAAATTACAAATAAAAGTAAAAGTAATAGAGGAAAACTAACTGCTGGCAAAACAAATCCAGGAAAACTCGAGACATAAGCCCTGAGCCGAAGAGAAACAAGGTCAAATCAGATCAGAAGGGCCGAATCATGCCCATGGATGGAGCAGAGAAATGTCTAGAGAGCCCTCTTTAAGCAGTCCTGTCCCGAGGTTGATCTCCACCTGCCGAGGAGAAAAACACTCCTGATAGATTACAAACCCCTTCCACAGTCACACTGGTCCCTAAAAGAAAGGACTGACGAGCGAGCTTCTACACAGTGAAAGAGCAAGTAGTAGAGCGCCCCCGGGCCGTATGGGTAAGGTAAGAAATAAGGTACTGGCTACCGTAGAGATGAGATTCAGTCAGATCCGAAAAGAAGACTAGAATTCTAGCTGGGAGAAAACCCATGTCTCGCGGCTGCCCCGAGATGATGATTGCCCGCCGCTCCTTCCTGAATCCTGCCGTCCTTGCCCGCCGCTTCCATTCTTCCATCCCACCTCATCTGCCCGCCGCTGTCTCCCGCCCGCCGCTCCTGCCTAACCCGCGTCATCGCAACTCACAACCAGAACCCGTCTACAAGTAGTGTAGGGACGGGATTCATAAGCTCCCCTTTCCCCGCCATCTTCCCGTGGGTGGCTCGTTGGTGTAATGGTAACATTCCCGGCGTGGATATTTCCGCGTCTGCATGCGTGCCGCAGGAAGACAACGGTTCGAGTCCGTTACGGGTACACCCACGCCCCTCCCTTTTTTTTTTTTTTTTTTTTTGTCTTTTGAGGAAAACCTAACCTACCCTACCCGCATGCATGCCTTTTCCTAGACCTAGTAGCTAGACAGACAGACAGACAGACACCCATACATATTCTAAAGTAGATACGAATGTTGAAGGAATTTGCATCACATCACGAATGGGGAAAATCGTTTGGATCATGTTATTCGATTCATGCTATTGCTCATGCTATGTTCATTGCCCAAGTACAAAGTTCCCATCCAATCCTATTCCCAAACCAAGCCAGATCCCATTCCCTTCCATTCCCATGTCCATATCCATTCGTGTATTCATGCTTCTTCTCTTGTTACTTTTCCTCCCCTTTTTGTTGACAAATAGATGCAATCAATGCTTCCTCCCCATGACTTCGTAGTAAATGTACCTTACAATACAACGAGACCTTGCTCGTTTTATGCTGATGCTGATGCTTTTCATGCGTCTCATGCCGCTCATGCCGATCATGCTGTTGCACTCTGGTATTATCTTCCTTTTTTTCTCTTTGTCCTTGCTTCTGATGATGACGATGATCCAGCCTCGTCTGCCTGAGACGAGGATGCTTTTACCCCATTCCCTCACTCTCACTCCTTCAAGCCGCGGGCGCCACAGCACTAATTAAACCCCCTAAACCGTCCCCCCGACGGCCCCTTGACCGTGAACCTCCTCGATCTTCCCGTGCCGATGTCAATCTTGCTCAACTCCTCCTCCAAGCTTCCACCACCCGGCCCTCCCATGCCTCCTCCCATTCCTCCATACCCACCTCCTACCCCTCCACCATTCATCCCTCCCCACTCATCCACTCCCATCGGCGCAGCCCCTCTTCTCGTAAGGCTACTACTATGTAACTGCAACGCGCCACTCATTGTCAGTCCACCGCCAGCTGGTCCTGTAGTCGGGGGTAGTGCAAGTGGTACCTTAGCCGGCACCGGCGGAACGCCTCGGGGAGCAGCTCCGGGGCTGTGGCCGCCATAGACTGGACCTCCTGGGGAGTTGCCATTCTCGGCACCGTAATAGTCGAAGGTCGACGCTCGCGAAAGTGCCCTCGGCGTAAAATTATCCTGCTGTGAAGAAGAGGAGTAGCTGACGTTATCGCTGCTCCTGTTAAAACCTGGCTGGCCCATGCCCAAGCCCATCGGTCCAGCGGCTGTGATAGTGTTTCTATGGTTACGCTTCTGCAACCTATTCCTACTGCTAACAGTGCCAGCTACTGAGGGGGACACGGGCGGTGAAATACGTTGAGGCTGACCGTGCATAGACCGTGGTCTCTCAGCGGCAGCACTAGTTCCCGGTCGCGAGCGAACAGTCCCTTGATGTCCTGGCATTGGGTGGGCGCCGGACATGGAGGGCCGCGAGCCATGAGAGGAGTTTGGAGTAGTGCCCTTCTTCGGTTCGGGTTCGGGAGCCCAGGTTTCCATGGGAAGATGGTCCGAGGGATCGACTTCCTTTCCGTCGTGAGTGATGATCTTGCCGGAGGCTTCGTTGTAGTCGGGGCGGCCGATGTTGTCGGAGGAAACGGTGGGGTTTAGGGCGTCGTAGGAATCGGGACCGAATGGGATGCCAGAAAGGCGGCGCTCTTCGACGGGAGGCGGGGCGGGACTGACGGATTTGCGCTTGATGGTTTGTTGACGTGGGTTGGGGCTGTGACTTGGCATTGGGCTTGGGTCTCGGCGCACTGGTGGATTGGGGGAGTAGGAGCGCTGGTTCATGGCGACGTTGTAGCTGGGGGTAGTTGGGGGTGGCACATCTTGGTAGCCGCCGGGGCTTCTGCTCTGAGGATGTTGTGGAACAGGTGGTTGATATGGAGGAACTGGGGAGCGGTCACGAGGGTGTTGCTGGTAGTTGTTTCCAACTTGTGTGTCTATGGGCCGAGTGTATGGTCTTGGGTTCTTGTCTTGGTACACACGTTCCGTGATCTCGTGGGCGATATTAGGATCAATGCCGGGGACCAAAGAAACGGGCACCGGAGGCGGTTGATAGCTGTCAGTGTGGTCCTCGAAGCCACCCTTGTACGGCTGACTTCTCTGGTCATTTTGCCGTGGATAGTGTGACAGGGAACTCTCAGAGTGTCTACTATACGCCATCCCATAGCCGCCAGGGTCCGGTCGTCGGTACTGGTCTCCATTGGGTTGTGCGTATCCCGGCTCAGGTCCACGGTTCCGGCCTCGCATCGAGCTGTTAGCCGATCCGGGCACCAGGACATCGGGAAGATCATAGGGATCGTGGTTAACGTCAAATGTGGAGGAATGTCGTGGAGGAGGTGGTTGGTCTCCGTTAGAGTAGTGTTGGCCGGTAGGAGCCGCAGGGGCCGAGTCATAACCCCTGTACTGCGGACGTCCCGGATAAGCTATCGAGTTTGTTTGGCGATGAGCCTCGTTTCTGAGGACATCCTGCCGCATGTTGGGTGGCATTCCGTTTCCAGACGGATCATAGCCGTTTTGGTAACCGTTTGTTGCTGGGGGATTGCTGCCATTCCGACTTCGGTGAGCCGGGGGAGGTGGAGGGCGGTCGCCTTCGAAGCCTCTTGGCCCGTCGTCTAGCGAAGGGAGGTCATATTGACTAGGTTGTTGGTATTGTGGAGGGGCGCGATACTGTTGCTGCTGCGGCTGTTGCTGGTAGCGCGCAGCATGAGGGTTGTTGTACTCGAGTTGCTGAAGGGGTGATTGGTTTGGAATATAGGGACCATCTCCGCCTTGTACAGATGGTGCTGGTAGTGGACGGCGCTTGGGTACGCCTCTCGGCCCCGGACCCGGTACTACGGCTGAAGGAATGTGTTGCTCGACGGGATGTTGCTGTCGTTGCTTTACGGCGGGCTTCTCGGGTCTCGGTCGGTTATCGTAGTAGGTGATCTCTATGCGAACCTCGCCAGCATACTTGCCTCTAGACTGTAACTGGTGCCAGTCGTCGCTCTGACCGCCGCCTGGGATGACAACACCTCCGAGATCGATCCATGCCTCGCCAATCAACTCGCTTTTCTTGTCGTCGTTGAATACGGATACCTTGAGCTGGTAGTAATCGGGGGAGTCGTGGACAGTGAATCGGAGCTCCTGGTCCCTGTAACATGGTGGATTGGTGTTAGACGTGATTGGTGTCTGATAGCATATGCAGGAACGTACCATCTGGGGGTCTGGCCGCCACGGATGTCGGTAGTGGTCTTCTTTGCTTCCTTTCCCAGACGTGCAGCACAGTAGGGGTCCTGCTTGCCAATGGTCTTGAGGTTGGGCAGGTTCTTTGCGCGATCCACCACCAGGACGAGGGTACCGATCTCAGGGCCGTCGGCGGTTGGGTCCGAGTAGATGGCGCCGCCGGGGATGACAAACGACTCATGTACTTTGGTAGGCATCTTGTCGGCGTTTGTGGTGGTCGTGGTGGTCGTATGGTTGCAGTCGCCGACAGGAAGGCTGTCTCATAACCTGATCATATACGTCGGCGAGAATTGGTGGAATGTTTACTCGGCAAGCTTCGTCTTTGTGTGGTTTTGTTGGTTGGTGTTGGTTGGTGTTGGTTTTCTCGTTGTTGCTGTACAAGCTAGGTAGGTAGATGGGCTTCTCCCTTGCGTCACAATGAGGGAGGATAGGTAATCTAGCGATCGTTGGTGCCAGTGTGATAACGATTGAAGGGCGGCGCAATGGTCTACTCGTCAGGAAGCGAATGGAAATGCGGCGTAGAGAGAGAAAGAGTAGAAAACCAGAAAGAAGACCGAGTTGACAGGACGTGGGCTTCAAACTTGTTTTGAAAAGACGAGGGGACGACGGGCACTGCCTTGGCCAAGACACCAACCAACAACCCACGTCTAGTCTATAAACATGTAATAGATTTGATAAGAGGTGAACAAAGCAGCCAGGCCCCAGAGTTGTAGTTGCGCGATCCAGATGCGTGCAGATAGTCGGTCGAGGGAGTTCTTGAAGAAGGGAAACAAGAACGAATTGGAAAGAGGAACAGGGCGAGAAAGCGGGCGTCTCTTTGGTCGTAAACAAGACGCAACGGCAGAGATCCGCAGCGGGATGTAAGCCCAGACCAGCAAAACTGTGGGTCCCTGTCCTCGACCGCCGTCCGCTTTGGGAAGAGAAGCTCCACTATCTTCTACTGCGTAGCAGTGCATAAACACTAAAAATCCCCGACCGCCTTTGATTCAATGTCTGCAGAGTTGCGGTGCAGTCGACTGTTTTTCTCTCAAGAGACATCATCTTTCACAAGAGATCATGGTCTGAGGCAGTTCATGCTTACATGCGGTGGTTGGTGGATCTCTTCAAACAGAGAACCAGTCAACTGAAGCTGTCCCTGCCTTACAAGGGCTTCTAACAAGTCACCCACTTGCAGGCCTTGGTTTCAGATTCTAGCGTTGGCTTTTCTGGGTGGCTGGCATCCGGAAACGGACATGCGACACCACAGCATCCGTTCCGAATACTTCAGCAGAAGAAGGGATAAGAATGTCAACAAAGTGTCATTGCATCCCGCTTCCCGAGATCATCATCCCATCTTCTCAACCTGGTTACATCTATCTACTATCCCGTACCTCGAGATCATCGAGCCTTTCCCCCATCAACATTGATCACCATCACCACGGACCATGACTTACATACGCATCAACTTATCAGTCTTGTCCAACGTCTGCTACTGGTTACCCCTGGCGACAACAACAAAGATGGTGTGGTGACCGAGTGGATGTGGCAGGCTGTACCTGACAGGCTGACGTGAGGCTTGTCGCTTTGATGATGACGCGCTGGATTGGGAGCTTATAAGTGGCTGCCTTGTTGCTAGGTAGCTCCGGAGAGCTTCCATTACAGAATCTGTTGCTCCCGTTGTTTCAACTCTTTCATCATTTTCATTCCAATCCCTCCATCCTATGTCTCTTTATCTATTTCTCTCAGGATACCCGACACTGGGTTCACCAACAACAGCACAGCTACCACCAAATCCCGAGCTTTCTGTGCTGTTTGTTGCAAGCTAGCTAGCTGCCCGAGCAACCTGAACAAGCTAAAAGTCCCGTCTCCATCCATCTTGACGCCGTCGTCACTGCTCTCAAGGTAGCCGAAGCAAGGCATTCCCCGCTTTCCAATTCCTCGGCCTCTTCTCAAGCGCTGTCATCCAATGCCCTGCCCTGGTGATACCCTAGCAACCTCGCTCAGCCGAGATCGCTAGAAGAACCGTGAGCTCTCATTGGTGCCTTGCCTCGAGCTTGCTAAGCCTGGCGAGTCTGGGGGGTCCTGGGAAGTGTTTGAAAACCCCGCTATAAGATCTCGCTCACGGACCCCGGCCTTGACGACGTCACATCGACGGCTTCAAAGATGGAAATATCTCAACTTCAGAACAACCGCCGAAACGACTGCTATGATAGAGACAAGAAAAGAGACAAGAGAGGAGACAGGCCGATCATGATAACTATGATTCCATCCTCTACGAAGTAGAGGCCCCCTCGAGTGGTCGCTTAATCTGATCTCTTTTTCTCGGGTTCCGGCTCACATACACCCGTCCATCGGCCTACGGTACCCGGATGCGCAGCAAGGATTGAACTTCAAAACTAGCCTTTTTATTTAGTTTGTCAACACGCGTGAAGACGAACATGGCGTTGATCTACTTACACTTTGAACTCTGGGAGCACTCTCTGGGAGCACTGTATCTGTCAGTTGTGGTGTCGTCAAGCGCACCGAACTGAAAATATGCAGTACATACGTAGTCCGAGAAGGCAACAACGTCGTCACTATCCCGGAGGCCGGAGCTCAATCTTCAGCGTATATACATACCTAAGCCATGTTTGAGCATCTTCCTACTGTAGTGTACAGCTAGAAAGCAAGACTCAAACACTAAGTATTTACTCTTCGTGAAACGCGTACATACATATGTAGATATCTCATGCGTGTTTCGATTTTTTATGTCCCCTTGACGGCGGCGAACACAATCGTTCCGTTCCGGCTCTAACAAGGGCGTTTGAGCTTTTTCTAGCGTTTGTCGGTCAGATATTTTAATCGGCCATTCAGCTTCTTCTTACAATCTTGGCAAGCCACTAAGATCAAGAGGAGAGAAGAGCCATTTACGTCTCTTGCTCGGTGTTGCGGACAGAATGGAACGAACCCTGCGAATGTCAGACACCTCAGAGAAGAGGTGGGTGGGGCATCGGCATCATTTGTTTACTAGCCCCTTTTTACACCACGATTCTGTTACCAAGGCCTTGCTGTGCTTGAGCCAGTGAAATGAAAACATTGGGTATAAAGCTAGAAGCCATGTGGTAGTCAACCTCCCCGGATATGATAACTTGATTTACATGAACCAACAATAAGAGTAACGCAATGCAACGCCCCAAGTCTATGAGGTCCCAGGACACCCTCCGATATCTAGCTAGAGGCAAACAGCAACCAATCAACCGACCAACCAACCCTTTTGAACCCCCAACCGCAACTCCAGACGCTTTGAAAAGGTAACATGCTAATTCTAATGCGAGTCGCTCTTGCTGAGAACCCTCCTCCGTTGAGAGCAACACCGCGAAAGCCTTGCCGAGCGTCAAAAAGACAACATGCCTCAAGACCACACGCCCATGGCATCTAGTCGTCATCGATCTCAATCACCTCCACATTCGGCGGTGGTCCGGATCTCCTCGACAACGACCCAGCTACACTGGGTGCCGGAGCAGGAGTTGCCGATGCCGTCTTGATCTTCTTCTGCCTGGGCTCCAGGTCCTCCTCCCCATCGCTATCATCATAATCGTCGTCGTCGTCCTGCACCACAACGGTCCACTTGCCGTCCGCCTCCACGTGCAAAGCTTTACTATACTGAGGCTTTCTGCCCGTGCGTTCCAGCTCCTTACGGACATTGAGCAAGAAGCCATCGATTTGCAGATCGTATGGGCCTGCTATCTTATCACAGCCCGACAGCGGACAGGCCCACTTGTCCGGGCTTGTCGGCTGAGGCGGGCATTTACATGCTCTACCCTCATGACCGCAGGGCACTTTAGACACCTGCCTCGTGTTCAGAAAGGTTTGCAGGTCGAAACACTCCAAGTGGGTGCATGCACCACCTCGAACAGGTGTGTGGAACATGACCGACGAGAAGGGATCAGTCAGGTCAATGGACAGGTACGGTACCGCAACTGAGACCTCATCGTCGGCGCGGTTCCCGCCAAGTCGATCCTTGATGATTTGCAGAGTCTTCGACTCGGGAATTAGCCGATTCTTCCAAACGTCATTGACGATGGTGGAATGCCTCAAGGTCTCGATCAACTCCACCGCGATGAAGAAGTTGGGGCTTGGGGCGTTCTGGATAACAGCCTCGATCTTGTTTTTCCCCAACTGGATCATTTCTGTAAGCTCGATGGACAAATCTTTCCCAAAATGGGGTTTCCTCCGAATATCGAGGGGATCACCGTTAAAGGAAATGAAAATGTCCGGCCAGTTCGACTGGGTAGCTTGCCATATTTCATCCGACACGACACCTTGCTGGTGGTTATTGACCCGGCAACAGCGAATTCTCCAGCGCAGTGACTTGTGTGGTTGTACGGCAATTGCTGCACCGTGCCTGTCGGTCATCACTCTCAACCGATATTGCTCATCAGTTACTTCGAAGGGAACCGTGTAGATACGCACATTTTCCGCCAGCTGGGTGGGCTTTGTGACTAGTTCCTTGACTGCTTGATACATCCGCTCTGATTCTCCATCTACTACTGCTCGCCTGGGACTTCGAGCATGAGCTTGATGCAGTGCCATCATCACGGACCTCCTATCAGAGGCCTCGTAAGCATACTCTGACGGATGGATCGTAGTTCCTAGTGGAGGGACTAGCGGTCGATCCGGGGTGCGCGCGGGAGCTGGTTCGCGCGGGACTATGTTTTGCGGATGCTGCTGTATTTGCGGATTCTGCTGTACTTGGACTTGGGGAGGGCGATTGCGAGGGGCGATTTGGGCGGGGAGGGGCATCACAGTCTGCGGCTGAAGCTGTTGTTGCGCTTGTGCCCTCGCCGAGTACAGTTGCGCAGCCGAAGCGCTGTTATTGGCCGCCGCGGCCATTGCAGCTGTAGCCCATTGCTGCCTTTGACTCACTGGTTGCTGTTGCTGTTGCTGCTGTATTTGTTGTCGTCGGAGAGCCCCCTCCTGCTGCATTTGCTGCCACAGTTGTGGAGTTATTGGAAGATGTTGTAGGCCATGCTGTTGAGGCGCATGTGCCGGGTATTGTACACTTTGTTGTGGATATAGCGAACGTTGCTGGCGCTGTGGCTGTTGTTGCTGCTGTACTAGCTGTTCATATTGCAGCTGTTGTTGCCGCAGCTGTTGTTGTTGAAGTTGCTGTACCTGTTGTTGCTGCCATTGTGCCGCTGGATTTGACAAGTCCTGCGGGCTTCGAGACGTAACCATAGACGGGTAGACGTTTGGTGAGGAATGCTGCGCAGATGGCATATTCTGGGTAGGAAAAGCGTTGAATGCCTCCATACTAGGCGCAAAAACTGGAGAGTATGGATTTGTGGCATTGCTAAACGTGAAAGCTGCCTGGTTTGGGGGTGCACTGTTTGGCATCGGCTGACCAGTGGCTGTTGGGGCTGTTGTCTGAACCGACAGTCTCCTGTTGTGAGGCGTTGCGTTGTTGTTGTTGCTGCTAATGGAATTGTTGCCGTTGGCGGTTGCACCAGCATTGGTCCTTGCTTGATTGACGCGTGAGCGATAATACGAAATCAGCTCAGCATTCTTGGCTTCTAGCTCTTGTTGGTTCCGCCATGTTTGATAGATCTGCGGATTCAGGTTGCTTGACTGGTATAGATGAGCATGATTCCTTTGATCGATCTGGAAAGCACGGTCGATATCTTGAGAATAGCCATGGGCGTCTGGGACTCCTATCCTCCTACGGCACGCGGTAAATAAAGCTAACTGCAAGACCGGCGAGTAGCATTCCCAGTAGCTCAAGAGCTCATCGACCAGGTAAGGGTACCCACGCTGGATCACCGTAACCAAGAATGTATTATAACTGGTCCCGATCAGATGCAGGAACCTTCCTACTTGTCGTACAGCAGTGGTATATGCCGTGGGCGGCTCACATAGCTTACTGATGGGTGCTGGGAAGTTTTCGAAAAATTGTCGATGCGAGGGCTGAATGGTGAGGTTCTTCTTAAGAAGCCCCTCCATAACCGCAAGGCCTTCGTCAATAGTATGAGCAGGATACTCAGGTAATACATCGTAGGCATTCTGCGCATATGATGACCACATGCAGTAGATTTGGTGGAGAGCCAGGAAGAAGCCGTCTTCCTTGACACACGCCTGGTCGAGAAGCGAGAATCTAGCAAACTCGGTGCCTTGTTTGATCCGGTCCTTCACACCCGGTGAACCCATGTATCTTGAGAGGAAATGTCGGAACTCCGTGTACATGATTGCTGGAAGAGGCTGTGAAGGATCTACCCTCCTCCTCTTGGCCGCTTGTTCACCTGGGTGCGGCGCCAGGGGCAATGGTGGCGAGTTGATGTGTCCACCCTGGCCTTGGCCATCGCGTCGAGGGGCTCCTTGGGCTGACAGTGGCCGGTTCTGAGGCGCAGGAGAATGTGGGATTGATGCGGCAGCATTTGTAGACTGTAGTGGGAGCTGGGGATGCGCTAAGAACGGACTCGGAGAAGGTGGGACCGCAGGAGTTGTTGGGGCCGAGCCATTGTTTCCTGTCCTTGTAGACGTAGGCCCTGTATTGTCATGGTCCAAGCTGTGCACAAATCGGGCGCCTATCACGGGATGAGGTGAGGGAGCGGGCGCATTGTGGTTTATGCTAGGACTTTCTCTCGAGTTCGAAACGGCAGGACTCGGCTCGTCGCTCGGGGCCGGAGACAGGAGGACGGCGGCTGTCTGGGCAGTTCGGCCGGGGCTGTAGACACGGGATCGAAGGTTAGCGGGGGAAAGAACATGAGAGTCAAAGAGCATGTTTTCAGCATTACCGTTGAGCTGCCTGTGGCGGCTGTGCAGATGGTGCACCTTGTCCGTGTGTTGGCCGTTGGTGTTCTTCTTCCGCCTCTTCTTCTTCTTCGTTCTCGTGTTCTTGTTGGGGTGTGCCGTCGTGGGCGTGTTGTGCGTGGGGCAGTCTGCCTGTGTATTTGCGCGGCCGGCCGCGGGGACGGCCTGTTCCTCTAAACTGAGCGGACGCGCCTCCACGAGGGACCATCACCTCCCCTGATGCCGGCTCTGCCGCCGGTACCGCCGATGGTGGCGCTTGTGCTGTGGTCGGCCGTGGGTTAAAATCGACGACGGTGCCGGTCCAGGCTGGCTGTCGATGGTTGAGGAATGCGCTGATGGAGGATGCGAGGCGAGGGTCGTTGTAGTTGGCAGAATTTACGGGAACCCCGTTAGGGGCTCGCACAGGTAATCCCGGCATGGTTTATGGCGGTTCGGGGTTCGCACCGGCAACTGCACGTGAAGCGGTCGGACACGGCACCGGGATCGTTGCTGCGGCAGCGGGAACAAGATAACAGACGGCAGATCAATGCAAGATTTGCGTGCTTTCTTGCTTTGGTTTGCAGGATACATTCAAGTCAAACCCGCATCGCGAAACCGATCACGGTGCCACGTGGACGAGGGCTTGTGCTTGGTGGGATTCTGGATTAGTTGCGCCAGAGTCAGAATTCAGAGTCGTGATTTTGTGTATTTCTTTGGTGTTGTGGCGCGTCAGTTGCAGCGCCAACATACCATGAGATGATGAGGTGAAGGGCGGCAGAGATGGCAGGTAGCTGGGACTGATGATGTTAGGTGATGGAGAGAAGGTAGAAGGAACTGGAAGTAAATAATAGTTGTAGAGGCTCTCTTTGCCTTTTATGTCTTGCTCGGAGATTTGGATAGGATGGAGGCTTCAGTTGTAGTGGCAAGAAGTGGAAGCTTCTCATCATCATCGACACTTGTTTTTTAGTCAGAGAGAGAAGGACCGCACTGCCCTATCTTTTTTGTGAATGGGAAAGAAGAGATGGAAAGAAGAAGCAATCGAATGCAGTGCAATCAGATTGGATAGCACGATGATCTGAATATCAGAAAAACCAGACGAGTCCCTCCTTCCTCTTTGCTTTTCCCGCCAAGCAAGTATAACAAGTCGGATGGAACAGCGTCGAGTTGGCAAGACCGCTCAAGCATCACTTTGACGGGTCACTGCCAACGGACTGCAGGGAGGGACATTGGACAACCAACAAACGGACAGTTGGGAAGTTGGGAAGGGCGGATGAAAGAATCGTTGGGCGTTTAGCGCAAGTATACAAGAATGTCGAGGGAAACTGTGACGATTCAGGTCAACGCCGGAAAAGGGTCGAGAGAAACAGGAATTAAAGGTTTTATTTAGGAATGGGAGCAAAGTTGCGTTTTGTATTTCCCGGCTGTAGTATCCCGGAATTTGGGTAGCAATGGCCCCACAGCAGAACAGACCCAAGTGGTCTACGTACGCGGTGGCACGCAATGATAGGCTGGCCGGGCTGGGTACTTGCTGGATGTATCTATAGGTAGCGATGTACACTTTTTCACGACATCATACCTTACTCGATCGACACTGTAGACTGAACAACACTTTGTTGCCTGAGACTTGGCTGTGTTCCTTACTTGAGCTGGAATACTCTCAACACTTTGTCAGTAGCTCATACGTGGGTAGCAACGTTGATTTTAGGTTGTGGTGGGGAAAGAGCGTGAGACGAGAACCGCGACTGACTGAAGAAATCCATTCTTACAAGTATCTGCTCGGCAACCGAGTTGCAAACGTCCAGTCCTGACAAAGGGATTGATGATGTGATGGGATGAAAAGCAAGTCCACACTGCCTTCTCCATCGCGACTAACAGCCAGCGCCTTGGAGTAATCTCCGTTGTTTGATCCTCTGTCTCTTTTTCATCTCTTCTTTGTTTGTCATCCAAACATCACGAGTAAAATAAACATGCGAGTTGCCGGCTTGTGACGTTGGCGTTGCACAGACCGTTGTCAGTTTCATACGACTTGTCCAGGCGCTTACAAGTATTGACCAAGTGGGGCTGTGGTGGGGTTCAGATGAGTACAAAGAGAAAAAGTTATGACTTGTAACTAAGATTCTCCTCACCAAAAACTTACTTTATAGTTCGAGTATTCTCAGTAGACGCTCTCATCATGTACCGTTACCACTATAATCATTTCACTTGAAGCCCTTTTTTGATACTGGCGACAGGGCACTTAATAAACTTCGACTTGCAAAGGGCCATCTTGGCGGGGATGCAGCACGATAAGATAACGTCAAAACATCCCCTGCCAAAAAGTTGCAAGTTTCCAGGTTGGCGGGCGGAAGCAGAAATGCTCCGTGCACAGTCAAACGAACCAATCAGAAAGCGAATTTGCGAATGGAAGCTTGGCGTTCCTGGCCTGGGGCTGGTCGCTGTAAACTTTGTTTGGGTTGGTGCTTATCGGCTGGCAGGTGCTCCAATGGCTCCAATGCTTTTGCATCGCATCCTCAAAAAAATTCCCACTTAGAGATTTCAACATTTGTGAACTTTGGCCCCCGCAAAGTCACCACTACTACCACCACCACCACCACAAGACCTCGACGCCTCCCCCAATCCGATTTCGAGTCGAATTCCGCGATTCCGATAACCGAGCATAATTCCTCGACAACACCGAACTTGAACGAATAGTCAATCCCTCGATACAAAAACAAATCCGCAACCATGGCAGCCGAAGTGCAGCCGCTGGCGACGCTCAAGTTGCCCACGGTCGTCAGCCCCATCACGGCCGAGCAGCGCTACTGGAAGTCCTTCAAGAACCAGAAATCACACACCTCGACGGCAGCATGGCCCATCTCGCACATCAGCTTCCCCGGCTCGAGCAACGGCTCGGCCGCCTCACACTCCCTCGTCGCCGCCGCCAAGGCCAACGACCTGTTCGCCGTCACCTCTGGCCCCCGCGTCGACATCTTCTCCATCCGCAAGCGCGAGCTGCTCAAGACCATCGGCCGCTTCGACTCCGAGGCTCACAGCGGTGAGATCCGCGCCGACGGCCGCGTCCTCGTGGCCGGTGAGAGTTCCGGAAAGATGCAAGTCTTCGACGTCGGCACCGGCACGCGCGCCGTCATCCTCAAGACCTGGCACGTCCACAAGCAGCCCGTCTGGGTAACCAAGTGGTCGCCGGCGGAGCTGACGACGCTCATGTCCGCCTCCGACGACAAGACCGTTCGTCTCTGGGACTTGCCCTCCAACGCGCCCTCGCGCATGTTCTCTGGCCACCAGGATTACGTCCGCAGCGGCGCCTTCATGCCGGACCGCAACAACCTATTGGTATCCGGCTCCTACGACTCGACCGTCCGCGTCTGGGACGCCCGCGCCCCCGGCGGTTCCGTGCTCACCTTCAAGCACGCCGACCCGATCGAGGAAGTCCTCCCGCTCCCCGGCGGCACCACCCTGCTGGCCGCCACGGGCTCCGCCATCTCCGTGCTCGACCTCGTGGCCGCCAAGCCGCTGCGCTTGATCACCAACCACCAAAAGACCGTCACCTCGCTCTCGCTCGCCTCCAACGGCCGCCGCGTCGTCTCCGGTTCCCTCGACGGGCACGTCAAGGTCTTCGAAACCACCAACTGGAACGTCGTGTCCGGATCCAAGTACCCCTCGCCCATCCTCTCTCTCTCCGTCATCACCGCCGGCGCCGGCCACGAAGACCGCCACCTGGCAGTAGGCATGCAATCCGGTGTGCTCTCCCTGCGCACCCGCCTGTCGGGCGCCACAGCCGAGAAGGCCCGCGCCCGCGCGACCGAAGACGCGCTGATGGTCGAGGGCGCTTCCTCCAAACTGGCCAAAATCGACTCGGCCAAGGCCAAGCGCAAGCGAAATGCCGTCTCCAACAAATCCATGGCTTTGCTCGGCGAAAACGTGGACGTGATCATCCCCACCGACGCGACCAACTCCTCCGGCGGCCGCAAGCGCCGCGTCAAGCTCAAGCCGTGGCAGCGTGACTTCCGCGAGGGGCGGTACGCCGCCTGTCTGGACTCTGTTCTGGACCTGTCTTCTCCCGAGTACCAGCCCGTTACGGCCCTTTCCGTCCTGGTCGCTTTGAGGCATCGCTCCGCGCTGCGCGAAGCCCTCGAAGGCCGCGACGAAGTCACGGTCCTGCCCCTCCTGAAATGGGTGATCAAGTACATTTCCGACCCGCGCTACGCGACCGTCTGCGTGGACGTGGCGTTCCAGCTGTTTGACATTTACAGCGAGTACGTGGGCGGCAGCACGGAGCTGGCGGACCAGTTTGCGGTGATGACGGGCAAGGTGAGCAGGGAGGTGGAGAAGGCGCAGATGGCGATTATCACGAACGGCATGGTGGAGAGTTTGATGATTGGGGGTGCTGAGGCTTAGGAAGCCTCGGAGACCTCAGTCAAAACCGAGACTCCTTGATTTGATCAGAAGGTGGTTGGAAGGGGAAAGAAGGGAAGAGATGGGATGGGATGGATGTGGAAGGGAACTGATGAGCTGTGAATGGACAAGAAAGATGTAAAGAACGGATGTGTTATACCACAAAGCAAGGATCGAGAAGGAAAGGAAAGGAAAGGAAAGGAAAGGAAAAGAGAGAAGGGTAAAAGGCTAGGTGTTTTATCCCCGTGTTCGGTTTGGTTCGGTTAGGTATCATGTTTTTTTCTTGATATCAAGCCCTGCATGGCGTCGGCGTTCAAAGATCTTTTTGGCTTTTTGTACTAATCTGGGCTCACAAAGTATACGGTTACATGAAATAGGGGTTGGGACTAGATACCTCGAGATACCTTAGGAGAATCAGTAAAAGCCATTCCAAATGTCAGGCTTGTTATGTGACGATTGACTCTTCTGAACGGATGGGAAGTTAACGCTTGTAAGGACAAAGGGATATGGTGACACTTCGAATTTACTGGCCATGCTACTCACTTCACTTCACATCACCATGTTCAAGAGGTTTGTTGCAGTGTCAACATTCAGCGTATCCAATAGAATTATGGCTATAAATGACAACATAAAGAAACAACATCTCGGTCCGAAGTCGTCGCTGAAAATCGCTTCAACCTTCCAGATAGCCATAGTCCTCCCTCCCGACTTAAGAGAATAGAAAGAGAGACAGAAAGAGTCTCTCCGGTGAGCCCCTCACCACCCTCTGGTATCTGACCAGACATCGAGAAGAACTCCCGGTCTGACTTTGACGCCTGCCCTTCCAAGCGCCTTCCCAGGGCTGAGTGTTGACAACCCGACTAGAACCGCTGTCCCAGTCCGTCATTGAAGACCGTCTCAATGGCGCGCTGTTCCCTTCCCGGGGGGTTCCAAAAAGAAACCCCATGTCATAGTCTTTGCTGTTCTTTTGCAGCCAAGACATCGACCTGAGTCACGTTTGATCATCAGATGCTTCCCAAACCAGCCTTTCGTCTCATTATCGCATATAGAACCTTTTCATCCTTCTGTCATTGCTTATCTACCACCAAGCTCGGCCTCGAGGCCGCCGTTGTACGCGCCATACTCATGTGGCCTGGGATCCTCGGCAGTCCATTGCTGACCGTGCACATCAGTAGGCATGGGCACCTGACCGGGAGCCTGGGGTTGAGCACCGCCCTGCTCGTGACCACCGGGCACGGTGCGGACAAGCTGCCTGAACCTATAGACCTCGTCGAGAATCATCTTGCGCATCTCGCCCACATCGTCGACAACCTCAAAGTCGAAGTTGAAGGTAGTAGGGCAGTCGGGCTCGTCGCTGGCATCGTGCCAGATGGCGAGGTAAGGGTGCTTGAGAGCCTCATCAACGCTGATACGGCTGCTAGGATCGAAGGCGAGCATGCGGTCGAGAAGATCGAGGGCGTCGGGGTTGGCCTGGGGGAAGAGCGCCTGGAAGGACTTCTTGGGCATAGGAGGCAAGTTGCGGACGTATTCCTGGGCTCTGGGAGAGCCGATACGGGAGAGGGTCTCCTCATTCGGTGTGCCGAGAATGTGGAGAATCTGGTTTAGCTGATCGACGTAATCTCTGCCCTTGAAGAAGGGACGACCACCGAGGAGCTCGGCAAGGATACAGCCAACGGACCATACGTCAACTAGGGGTTGAGTGTTAGTCTGGAAACGCTGCTGAGGGGACAGCTTGTGGGGAAGACATACTGGCTTTGGTATAGTTCTGGAAGGACAACATGATTTCGGGAGCACGATACCATCTTGTGGCAACGTACTCCGTCATGTAACCGGCGTTCTCCTCGGGATCAACGGAGAAACCACGCGCAAGACCGAAGTCGCAAATCTTGAGCTCGCAGTCGGCATTAACTAACAGGTTGCCGGGCTTAAGATCACGATGGAGGACGTTCGCCGAGTGGATATACTTGAGACCGCAGAGAATCTGGTAGATGAAGGACTGGAAGTGAGCGTCTGTAAGTGGCTGGCCGGACCTGATGATAGCAGCAAGATCGCACTCCATCAACTCTGTAGACGGGATCTCGGGTTAGTACATTGGTCTATCTTCTCGTGAAGTATGAGTGATGACGTACCCTCGTAGAGATAGGTCTCGTTGAACATCTCTGGCCGGGGAATATCCATATCGTAGAGGCAGGTAATCTAAGTAACCAGAAACCACCACGGTCAGCTATCATGCATTGCCGGTAGTATATGTGTATAAGTAACTCACGTTACGGTGGCCCCTGAAGTGCTGGAGAAGCTTGATCTCGCGCAAGGCGCGCTTGGCCAGGATCTTTTTGCTGAAGACATTGGTGACCTTCTTGATGGCGACTCCCTCGTTCGTCTGGGTGTTCACGGCGGCGCTGTTGAGAAGAGGAGGTTAGCTTGGATTATGAAAGATGGCATGACATATGTAGATGCGCCCAAGGCAGAAGCGGCTAAGCAGGAACAGGAGCAGGAACGGGTAGACGTACCAGACAATGCCATAAGCTCCCTGACCGAGCTCCTTGGTGACGGTGTAGCGCTCGTCGACAATGAAGTCCTGGTTAAAGACCTTGAAGATCTTGCGACCCACGAGATCAGCCATGGCGAATATGTGTGTGTGGTGTTTCGGATACGGTTCGTAGTTTGAAGAAGCAGGAGGTTCGGGTGGCCTTTAGGTGCAAGTGCAGTAGCGGCCTGGTGTGGTGGTGGTTGTAAGCTCAAGCGCGATCAACGCCCTTCGAGGTTCGGATTGAGGTTTTTTAAGAATGTCGAGAAGAGTGTATGGGACGAAAATAGGATGTATATCGAAAAGACGGGAGCGAGGCAACAGGCAACCGGCTAATGTAGTATTGGAGGCAGGCAGAGAGAGAAAGAGAGAGGAAAAAGTGGTGGTGACTGATCAAAGAGGTTGCAGTCGGAGGTAGTCCTTGGCACAAATGATAGAAGAGTGAGAAGCCCCTGGGATAGTGTGTGATGATATGTGGCTTCAACTGCTAGTTTACGGTTGGCGTATTTCAAAAGAAGCAATAAGATTCGAGTAGCTTGAAACCGACGATAACTTGTTTGAAAGTGGAAAGCACGGCAGTGACGAGAGCTTGAAGAAGTCGAGGATGGACCTGGCCGTGGACCTCGATGGTGCAGCGGACAATGAGGAAAGAGGGGCCCGAGGGACCCCGACCCGCGCCCTGGACTTGCCCACTGCGCTGATCCCAGCACCAGAACGGGACCTGAGCGAGGGGCTGTGAGGCAACGCGGGGTCCGCTTCCCAAAAGGTCAAGGTTCCAGAGGCCAATGCCAGAGGGCGCAAAGTGCAAGAGACGAATGGCGGCTTTCGGTTCCTGACGAATGATGGCCGTTTTCAAGCTTGTTTCTGGTTGCCTCTTTCCTTTCCACTTTCCCATCGTTGCCCATTCATTGCTGGACATTCAACTCATCCAAGACTTTCGCTCATAATGGTCTCTCAGACTCGGAATTAGGGGCGTGAGCATCGCATCAACAACTAACACAGAACAGCCATAACAGACCACTGCACCCCCATCCAGAACAAGGCCATTGCTTGCCGCCTTGAAACAAAAACACCAAGAGAAATCAAAAAGAGGGATCGCCTGGTTCGGGCGCCTGTTTTGTGTCTCCCCTTGCCCAGCCAATGCCCGCACAATGCCTGCCAAATGTCACTCCAAAGTCACTCCACAGCGGAAATCACAAGGGAACGGTACCTGATTCCTCCCCACCGTCCCCGCTGTGATTTGCAACCCTCCTCCATCTTGGGTGGTGCTTCACTTGGCGCGCGACTACGGCCGCCTCCCCACTGGCCGGCGTCAAAAGATTCGCAATCATCACCACATCATTATCTCGATGAGTTCGATGAGGACGTATTGTTCACAGATCGTTCCTTGAGTTTCTATGAAGTGAATATCATGAACTTTGGTTGTCTATGTGATGTCTCGGGAGACCTTGGCTTTGGCTGAGGGCGTCAAAATGAGGTTTGCGGACAACACCGAATCAAAGAGCACTTCTAGGCCGAGGAGGAAAGCTCCGGGGCTGAGCTTCATCCGTCATCAAGTGGCCGTCCGGACGGCCCTCTCCGAAACCTCGCCTTGAACTAGAATTTCCCAACACTTTGATAGTGTACTGCCGTGCACCAGCATTGGAGGGTTTTCGAAAGGACCGGATCCCAGTTTTCCCCTGACCCAATGGGCCGGCTGATACCGACAACATGTGGCCGCACTGACTCCCTGGTCGTTCCTGGACTTCCCCAGGGCCATAGGGCTGATGCAGTTCTAGATGCATGGACTTGGTCGCGAGAACAGGCCGCGATGTCGTCGCCTTCACCGAGAGGAGCTTCATACCTCGGCATCATCGTAGATAGACCTCTCAGAGTGGCAGGCCTTTGGACGTCGTGAAGCCCGAAAATACGAACACCGAGCTCCCTCCGTGCACCGCGGGAGGTTATAAGCCGCTGTTGACCCGGTCGAAGTGATCTCCATGGACCAGGACAGCTTGCTCTGGCAATGACGACAATAGGCCCGACCGGAAAGACATATGCACAACAGGACGTCTAAGCAACCCGCAAATGGTATCTTCGGTCTACAACAATGACAACAGTCTATCCCAACGCCCCAAACGCCTGCCTTCTAAAATGGTCGACGAAAGCTCATCTTCTACTCTCTAATCGGCCTTGACATCCGGAAAGACATCGCCCAAAAAGTTCTTGGAGAACCTCGTCGCCTGCTCATACGCCTTCTCGAACCCAGACTTGCCGCCGTAGTACGGATCCTGGATGACCTCGGCCTTACCGGTGCCCGAGTACTCGCCAAAGAGCATCACCTTGGCCTTTCCCGGATGGCGTTGCTGCAGGCGTTGGAGGTCGGCCAGGTTGGCCCGGTCCATGGCGAAGATGTAGTCGAACTTGTCGAAGTCGGAGGTATTGACCTTTATTTTTTTGCAACGCAGGAAGTCAGATGTTTGATCGTTTCGAGAACTAGGACTAGGAGTCTGTCAGCCACCAACAGCTGAAGGAGGAAGACATACCTTGCGAGCGGCGTGGATGTAGTCGGTTATGCCGTGTTCTTGGAGAGTCTCCATCGTTCGGTCGTCGGGGCCTTCGCCGACGTGGTAGGCGCCTGAAGGGAAGAAGAGGAGGGTCAGCGTGAACGAAGGGTATGAGAGGATCGAAGGGTTTCTGAAAGGCATACCAGTTCCGCACGAATCAATCTTGGAAATACGGCCCTTGTATTCGGGCTTCTTGGCCATCGACTGGAAGACGCCTTCGGCCATCGTGGAGCGGCAGATGTTGCCCAGGCAGACGAAGAGGACGGAGATCTGTTCGCTCATTTTGGCGGGTGTTCCGAATTTCGACGAGCTCGCTGAAGGACTACAGAATGTGGTCGACGGCCAAAACTGGGAAGAGACAAGTTGGAATCGCAAACGAGTTCGACGACGAGACAACTTCAGCTTCAACAACAGCCACCGCGAATCATGGAGGGGCGACGCCGATAAGCGCCCGATAAGGCGCAGCTTCAAGGGTCCCAGTCATGGAAGGGTTAGGGGTCATGGTGGGAGGAAGGCAGATCTAGAACTTGGGAAAAGTGCCAGCAACAACGTTCATGCATTCGACTGGCCTGTCACAGACGATCCGCCTTGATCGATCGTTCTTGCAAGAATGTTCCTGTCATGTTTGGAAGGCATCAACACCGGGCAGACTCTCAGGCGGCAGAAGCTCCCACCTGGCAGATAACCGGCAACGCTCCGGCACGACCCTGCAGCCGCCAGCAACTGCACCGAATTGCAGACGCGCACGCACCACCTCGCAGTTTGCACTCGTGCACAGGCCACCCCACAGCGCCTATTTAATCATGGTCCCCCCTCCCAGATTCTTAGGATTTTCTTCTCTCTTTTTTTTTTCTTCATACTTACCTTGATTGACTGCGCGGAGATCAAGAAAACCGCGTAGTACGGTGGAGAGCCTGCATTGCACATCGTGGTGCTAGCCGCCGTGAATTGTCCTTCGGGGCCGTTCCGGTCGTAATTTTTGATGTCAATCATTCAATTGCGAAAGCAAAACCAAACTTTTTCACTATGCTGCTTTGCCTGTGTGGTAGGGCCATGGAGAAGAAGGAGGCCTGTGCTTGTTTCTGTGTGACGTTTGTGGTGATGGTTTGGTTCACGTGTAAACTCACCGCCGCAATAACCGTTATCTTGTTCCAATCTGAAGCCAACATCCCACGCGCGCGTGCGACGTGCAAGTTGTCAATTGTCTCAGACCCTGAGATGGTGGTGATGTCGATGTTGATGGTGTGGCCGGCTTCGTTACGTGATTCGCGTCGTCAATATGGATGTACTCCGATTGATCCCGATGAATGTTCACAAACCTTCACAACTCCCCCACTGGCTGGCATATGAAAGAAAGAACTTGGCAGCAATAGCCGCTCGACGGCCAAACATGGTGGAGTGAAGCCATGACTTTTTCTCCCTTCCCGAAACTTGCTCGTTGCTTGGCGCCCTCTTTGACTCTCTTGGCCAAGACCCCAAGTTCAATTTCATGATGCACAGCATAAGAGGACATGGAACGGGTACCTTTTCCTTATCTCCCCGCCTTTTTCTGGCAACTGGATGCGATACATACAGGACCGTGTTGGCGGTGTGTGAATATTCTTTGGAGTTCTGAACCTCCAAATTGTCCAAAAGTCTGCCTTGCAATGGCAAGCACGCATTCCGACCCATGTCGAGCGCAAACGCCGAGCCGCACCGTTGCGACTCCACCGCGGCCCGATCAACGGAAAAGACGGGCTGCCTCGATATCCTCTTGCGGTTAGAAGCAATTCGGCATCATGTTATCTCTCTCATCGATAGTCGATATCATCCTACATATAGTACTGTGTAGTATCCCAGCGCCATGTCAGATATTGAATGGCATGGAAAGGGCGGGTGCTTATCTAGATACTCCGACGACACACTGAACCCCGGGATCAACATCTCTTGCTCAATGCGTACATTCGGCCGAGCATGAAGCCGGACAATGAGAGCAAAGGTACTGAAGTCTTGTACCAGACTCACAGGCTGCCGTTCTACCGTATCTTGTCCAACTTGAGACCTTCTCCGGATCCGTACAATTGGTCCGCGCCATTGCACCATGTGGGGGAGATTCTAGTGTCCTAGTGGCTCAATGTTCCAAAACGAGTCCTTACAACGAGGTAACAAAGTTACTCCGGCAATTACGCAACTAACGGCAACTTTGCGCAAGATGCAAAGCGACACCGGGCGCATATCAAATGTCCAATGTTGCGCATTCTGGGGTTAAGTTAAAGTTTGCACTGCATATACTACATTATAGAGAAGATGATTGGATGCGCCGAACCCTTTTGGGCGTGAAAAGCGTGCCGAGGATGCGATCCTTCAAGACTGGACTTTGCTGTTCGATTGAAACATATTACAAAATGGGAAGGACGTTACCTTACCCCGCCAATGTCATTTTCATAAGCTTGTGATTCAGAGCACTTGTCCTGATATCATTCCTTCAACAAGGGATCTGGGAATGGCAAAGAAAAGAAGAAAAGAATGGGACAGACGACATCAATACCAGGGTTGATGGTTGGTTGATTCTCCCCGATAATGAGGTTGTTCAGATCGCCCCGTCCATGTCATGGAGACGAAACCTTATTGGCCGATCTCTGTATCAATCCATACACTTTTTCGATTTTTTATTTTTCGTGATGGGTTCCCATGAGTTTCAGAGAGATCAAGGGTCTCCAGTGTCCCAACTACAATCTCTGGGAACGGAAAGTCGTTACGGGATCGTGGACAGTCTCCATGCGATAAATATTTCCGATGAACTCTGGGGACCTTGTATAACATCTTATCTTTCCCTCCATCCGCTCCATCTCCATATCACTTGCACCTCCTCCCATCTTCTCTCATAACTCAACTTCACCTCTGTATTTTTACTCTTCAAATTGCCTCTTCACTGTTCGCCATACCTCGAACCCACCTAAGCTGTGTGTTTCATCTATTCGCCACCTTCTGTCCACAATCGCATACGAAAACGCATGCAAAAGCTTAGACTGCATTGCGCCGCTCGCCTTTCATCCCAACGACTCCCTCAAGAGCCATTGACCAATATCAGAGCCAGAAGACCGAAGCTTACTTGGACAATTCGACTCTTCAACTGACTGTCAACAAATTTGCGACAGCTCAGAAAAGTCGACACTGTCCTTGGCAAGTAGGCTCTTCCTTCGCTCCGATCTTCGCCTCCGGCCGATATCTCCGAATCTCAATATCTTCGCCATATCTCGATACCTTCGGGACCTTCCACTCCGGTCGAGATCTCATATCTCATCTGGTCTACACGGCGATCGGTTCCATTACCACGCATCAGAAAAACGAAAGGATCCACATATCAAGACGGAACTTTGGACATCCGGGCCGTGACCCCTCCTCCATAGTATCGGCGCATACAATCGGCCTGTCTGTCATCCCGAGTCCCTCAAGGTACTTCCTCACGGACCCCCAACCCACGGCACGGCCGAACGGACCCCAACTACAGACAGCGATCGACACTGCAGTCAGCCCGGCAGCAACCATGGTTGAACATCGGCCCGTCCACAACAGCGAGGTCTACGTCCTCAGCCAGACGCCCTTCTCGAACCACCTCCACCACGGCGGCCGTCCCTCCCCACCGTCGCCCATCACCCCGGCCGAAGACGACTTCTGCTGCTCGCCCATCGACAAGCTCCCACTGCACAATTTCGTCGAGCCCGCCATCGCAGCATGTGAAGAGCAGCTGGCCGTCGAGTCGCGCCTCTCGGGCGCCGTGCACCTGCTCAACACCGCTTCCACCGCGCTCTCCTGCATCACGCAACTCTACTCATCCGACCGCATCGCGCGCGATGGGTTCAACCGCGCCGTCGACGCCATCGTCCGGCGGCAGGGCGATCATGGGCGCAATGGCAAACTGGTCGTCATCGGCGTGGGCAAGTCCGGGCATATCGCCAAGAAGCTGGTCGCTACCTTCAACTCGCTTGCTATCCAGGCTGTCTTCCTCCACCCAACCGAAGCCCTGCACGGCGATCTAGGCCAGATCAACAGCAGGAATGATACCCTCCTGCTGATCACCTTCTCGGGCAAGACGCCCGAGCTGCTCCTCCTCCTCCCACACCTGGACAAGTCACTGCCACTCATCCTGCTCACGAGCCACACCCGTCCGGATACTTGCGAGATCGTTCGCCAGCGACCAGACACGATCCTCCTACCAGCGCCGATCCACGAGCCGGAGACTAAATCCTTCGGCGTCAGCGCACCGACGACTTCCACAACCGTTGCGCTATCAGTTGGCGACGCTCTAGCGATGGTGGCGAGCCATGAACTCCACCCTTCGGTGTCGAAGGTGTTTGCGAAGAACCACCCCGGAGGCGCTATAGGCGCTGCTTTGCGCGGGTCTTCCGTCTCTCCTTCACCTTCTGTTAGCTCAACCTCCGACATAACGCCATCTTCCTCCCGCACTACATCCATGACCATCTCTACTCAACCAGTACCACCACCACGACACTCCCTCCGCGACCTAGCCATCCCCCTCCACGAAATCCCCTGCCTCGAACTCGAAAGTCTCCCCAACCAAAGCCAGCCGGGTCACGACCCAATACCCACCGCCACAGCCGGCGACCTCCTCCTAGCCGCTTACTCCTCTCCATCAGGCTGGGTCCGCCTCTCCCTTCCCCCATCCCTTCCCCCCTTTTCCCACTCCCACTCCAGTAGTCCCCACGGTCCCACCACCGTCGGGGTAGTCTCCCCCCGCCGCATCCGCCGCCTCACCCCCTCCCTCCTCCCCCTCCCGCTCTCCTCTCCCTCCCTCTCCTGGCTCATCACCCCGCAAGCCGAGTTTGTGTCGTTGACAGCCGACACGGAAGTGCGCAACGCGGCGGAGTGGATCAAAGCCATGCGGACGGTCCGAGCGACGGGAGTAATGACGACAAGACTAAAAGGGGTGATGGGGGTGATGGGCGAAGAGGAGGAAGGAGAAGTGGATTTTGGGGATGAGTGTGTGGTTGGTGTGATGGAAGTAGTAGGGGGTCATGGTGGGTGTGTGGGGGTGGTGGAGGTTGGGGGGTTGTTGGATGCTGTTAATGGTGGTGGGGGGAAGCCATGAGCTGAGCTGAGCTTGTGAACTGAGGTTACGAACAAATGAGGAGGAGGAAAAAGAGTTGGGTTGGTATATAACCGGAGGACTGCACATATTGATACAATACCTCAAGACAAGACAGGTTAGCAGGTTGGTTTCGCTTTTTGGATGGTCGGCTTTTTGGAGGCTTTTTGGATTTAGCAAGCAAGCAAGCATGATTGATTGATTGATCATTGGATCACACCACACCACACAGCGAGGGATCATCGAAAAGGGGGTTTGGGTTTTGGATAGGAGGCACTTCTGCTCTTTTTTCTGCGTAGCAGAAGTTTGTTTTAGTTTTGGATATCCGGGATGGCGTTGGGACTATTTTTGGGAGGCAACTTTAGCTTTATAGTGGTTTTGGGATTCAAGTTCGATACCTTCAAACTTGAAATGTGTTATGATGAATGACATGGACTTCATATCGAATAAAACGCAGCGGGAGCTTTTCTGCTTATTATTTGATTGTATACGGTACCCCTCACATTTGTCATATGGTTGATGTCGTGCATGAAGCTTGTTCTTGTTGTGGAAAAGTGGAAAGGTGGTTGGTAGTGATGATTGGTCTCGGAACATGTCTAAACAGAACACCACATACTACTATTTAAACGTTAGTCGCGAGCAAGTACTCGAGATCTCAGAAGCATGGGCGGAGATACTGGACAGGAACAGTTATGATGTGAAGAAGGGGTGCGCGGGTATCTTCGAAAGCCCCCTAAAAGCTGCTTTTCCATCCCATTTCTACGTAAAACATCTAGACAACAGAGATATAACCACCCATAAGCCAGAATGTACAGAAAGCTTTTCCTCTAACCCAACCTGACAACCCTTCTACTTCTAAACAAGATATCTCCAAATTAACAGAACCAAGCTCAGTCGCTATCGCTATCACTGCTCTCCGAGCTATCGCTCTCCTCGCTCTTCTCACCCTCCGACTCGGAAGCCTCCGCCTCTGAGCTCGACGAGGATGAAGAAGACGAAGAAGAGGAACTGCTGGTCGAAGTCTGCGTCTTGGCTCCCGCATCCGCCATCTCCTCATCCGAGTCGGAATCGGAATCACTGCTATCGCTGTCCGAAGAATCCGAGCTCTCGCTATCGCTGATGTCCGTACGCTTGTTACGTAACCTACGGCGCTTGGCGGGTTGTTGACCGTCTGTCGAGACCCTCGCGGTCTGTGGTTGAGGAGCAGGGGCGGCGGCGGCGGCGGCGGCGGTGGAGGAAGAAGCAGAGGTAGCGGTGGTGGTGGCGGTGGTAGTGGTGGAAGTGGCGTCCTCAGAGTCCGCCAATTCCTCCAGTACCATCTCGGCACGAATCCGGTTGATCAAACGCTCCTTGATATCCTTATCCACCCCATCCTTGTCCTTCTTCTCCTTCTTCTTCTCCTTCTTGTCACTGCCGCTGCTAGGCGCTATCCTCAAGACGAACTCGACCTCGTCAAAGCTGCGCTTCTTGCTTTCTTTTGTTCTCTCCTTCTGATCCTCCAAGAACCTCGCAATCGCATCCTCATACTGCTTCTGCTTCTCCTCGTTCTTCTCCTTCGCCTTGTCCCCACCGGGAAAAGCAGACGCGCCAGCCTCCATATCCTTCTTCTTGATCTCCTGCGCCTGCTCCCGCAGCCGCGTGCGCACAAAGCCCTTCAGGTCGCGGATGTATTGATAAAAAACGGGGACGTCGGCCGAGGGAACCTTGTCGGATTCGAACACGTACTTGATCAGCAGCGTCTGGTGGTTCTTGTTGAACTTCCACTGTTCGCGGGCAGAGTGCCACTGGCGCAGGTAGGCGAGGGAGGGCTCGAGGTTGGTGTCGGACTTGGACTTCTTGGATTGTTCGGCGGACTTCTTGGAGGCCTGCTTCGCCTTCTTGGCCTTCTTCTTCTCGCGCTTCTTCTCCTTGGCGGCGGCGTCGGTGGTGGAGGTGGTCTTGGTTTCTTGGGAGAAGGAGACGGACTTCCTCTGTTGTGTGGGAGCGGCAGAGTTATCGGGGCGGAATCGCTTGTTTTGTGTAGGGTAGTTGTTCTGGTTGTTGAAGGACTGTTGCTGGGATGGCAGTTTCCTCTTGAGTGCGCTGGTCGCGGGAGCTGGCTGACGGGTGGCGGATGGTGTGCTTGTTGTCGAGGGGGCGGCCGCAGGACTGTCACCAGCAGACCCCTTGAGCTTGAGACCCAATCGCTTCCAGGCCGGGACGGCGGACATGGTGGGCGAGAGGAAGGAGGAGGAAGATTAAGAGAGGAGGGGAAAAGAGGGTAAAGTATGGAGGATGTATGTCGAATGTGACTGTGACTGCGACTATGCTGTATGTGGTGTGCCCAGACCAAGTGATGTGGTGTGTCGGATCGGAATCGGTACGCGACAGGAAGAGTCGAGTGACGTGGGCGGCCACTACAGACGGTAGAATTACACGAGGGACCGGGAGTTACTTGGGAAAAAAAGAACTCAATTGATGATGGTGAGAGTACGGGACAGGTATGCAGCCAAGGCCCAGTTCGTTGGTCGGCTCAAAGGTCCGGTGCTTGATTGCGGTGCGGCGGGAATTGGAGATGTTATTGGTGGTGTCGCTGTCTGAGATTCCGAATTGCGATTGAAGAACTGCGACTGCCACTCTCCTCCAAATCCATCGCAAATTTCTGTCCGCTAGAGAGCTTATCGGCGCCCTACAACAGGGGTCCTGGTCGTGATAAGAGATGGAAATAAAGTGGGGTAGATCTGGGGAATCTGGACGACGAGAGCTCGGCAGGCAAGAGTGGATTGAAGCTGTCAGTTCGACGGGAGTGGGGTCATCTTGAGCTGCGGGAATCGTGTGGGGCTGTCTTGCTTGCTTCCGTCTTGCTCTTGGGCTGGCGGGCGATGGGCTGGCCCAGGCGGCTGGCCGTCACCTGGTGTCCTTGGCCTATCAGATCGTCAGCCTTCTTCCTCCAGGCAATCCCGCCGTAACGCGTTCGATGGCGGGCGCTGGAGCAGCAGCTGTCCACTGGAGTTGCTGGACATCGTCAATGCATCCATCCCGCCCGCCGCCTTGACCAACGACGAAGCTCCCTTCTGCCTGCCACCAACTCAACCCATCCATCTCCAGACGTCAACAAACAAACACCACGATTGATTTCCAACCGAAGCCGGCGATTTCTTCCTTTGCATCACGACTACACATAGACCGATCCATTTAATCAAACATTCAAGATGTCGGGTATGTCAAGTCAGCTTGGGTTCGACCACCAACTGGGCTGCCCGCTCTACCCACTTAACTGGAGCTCCTCCAAGCTATCACCATGCTATGATGTAGGCACCATGGCTAACATACCACCCCCACGACAGGCAGCGCTGGCTACGACAGACACATTACAATCTTCTCCGAGCAGGGAAGATTGTACCAAGTTGGTATGTTTGCATCTTCCCGTCCGACTGGCGTACCACAACCCTCGACCGTCGACCGTCGACCCCTCTACGACCCGATCCCAGACACCGATACGCGAAGGCGACCGATGATGGTGGACTAGAGGAGGCTCGACATTACTGGTGGATAACAGGGATGCTGACGATGGAGGACCATGATAGAATATGCCTTCAAGGCCATCACAGCTGCGAACATCATGTCGCTCGGCGTCAGGGGGAAGGACTGCGCGGTAGTTCTGTCCCAGAAGAAGGTTCCCGTACGTTGTCCTGGAACTTGCAAGCTTTCTTTGGGGTGGTTGATATACTGACGGGCATGCGACAACAGGATAAGCTCATCGACCCCTCCTCCGTCTCCCACATCTTCCAGATCTCGCCCTCGGTTGGCTGCGTTATGACCGGATCCATCGCCGATGCGCGCGCCTTCGCACAACGCGCCCAGGGAGAGGCTGCCGAGTTCCGATACAAGTTTGGCTACGAGATGCCATGCGACGCCTTGGCCAAGCGCATTGCCAACATCAGCCAGGTCTACACTCAGCGCGTAAGCTAGCTCCAGCTCCCCCCGCAGCGGACCACTAGTCTTTAAACAGGAAGAGGATAACTGACCGAAGACTTTTTTTTTTTTTGCAACTGCAGGCCTACATGCGCCCATACGGCGTCGCCGTCACCCTCATATCGCTCGACTCGGAGTTCGGCCCTCAGCTGTTCAAGTGCGACCCGGCAGGCTACTACACAGGCTACAAGGGCACCGCGGCGGGTCCCAAGCAGCAGGAGGCCCTCAACCACCTGGAGAAGAAGCTCAAGAACAAGGATCACGCGCCCGGTGACTGGAAGGAGGTGGTGGAGTTGGCCATCACCACGCTCAGCACGGTGCTAAGCATGGACTTCAAGAAGACCGAGATCGAGATTGGTATCGTCGGTGGACCCAGGCCGGACGGAAAGGAGGGCACATACCCCGGTTTCAGGACGTTGACCGAGGATGAGATTGATGAGAGGCTACAAGCTATTGCCGAGAAGGACTGAGGGAGGCAGGCAGGCAGACGGAGACTATTTGGTGGTTGACGCTGTGACGTGGTCTATCTGGAAGATGAATGAGGAAAGGGATGCTACCCTGGAGGCAGCTGGAAATCATCGATAGATGGACTCACGGAGAATCCGAAGATGGGTGTGTCTAAGAGAGCTGATAGCTGAGAGCTGAAAGCAAGCAATGAAATGATAATGGCCCATGAAAAAGATAGTGGTAGTGGTGAATAATGGTGATTGATTGCATAAGCAGAACAGATAATTCGCACGTGAGCACGTCAATATCGTTCGATACCATCTGGCCCAGTCGCAATCACAAGGCTCTGATATGTCGGCACTTGAACGTCGTTGGCTTGTCTGTATATGTGACAAGGAGTAATCATCATCACAGACAGACTCACAGTATACAGCAGGCTATCGATAGGCTTCACTACCTTTCCTTACTACTGTACAGCAAGAATCCAAAGAGGAAGCTGCTAAGTCGTGATCCAGCCTTGCAGCCGTGCTGGGGACAGAGCTGAAGGCTGAAACGAGCCTGACTGACGCTTTCAGTCACTTCGAGGCTCGACAGTGTGAGTGTGTTGGGTACCAACATGACCAATATGTCTAATGTGACTGGAAGGGGGAAAAAAAAAGTCAAAGCGACAAGCGAGAAGTCAGAAGAAGCAAAGTTCAAAGCTCAAAGATTGTTAGGATAGTAAACCGGTTAACGGGCAACGGGCAACGGTAGGTGGGACTACCTAGACTAGACCGTACCGGGAGAACGGAGCCGTGCTTCGTTGCATTTTGCAGTTGAGACAGTTGGACGTGGGGAAAGATGGGTGCAAAGGGGGATGGTTGATGATTTTCGATGTTGAGATGTCGTTAGGTTGTTGATGGTGTTGAAGACGGCGCTAGTGGAGGGTGGTGGGTGGTGGGTGGTGGTGGTGGCCTCCCGATATGGTGGTGGTTGGGTTGCACGGGAACCAGCCAATGGGGTACGTACCTTTTTTTGGTGTAGTGTAGTGTACTGCGATGTACGTAGGGACATGACATGGGGCATCACATTACCTCCCGGCATGCGGTCCGGACGTGCAGTGTGGACGGACTTGAAAGTGTACGTCGCTGGGGTGACGACGTCGAAGTATGTAAGGTACCTTGGTAGAGATTTTGAAGGTGAGGGGAGTCAACCTCACGATATCAGATTGAAGTGAAGTGATCACCGAGATTTGGTTATGGATCAACCACTCTTGAGCTTTGAGCAAACGTCGGTATAATTCGAAGCAACTTTCTCTACGTACACTACCTTCATCACCGCCGACCTCGAATCTCGACTCTCCACACATTGAGGCTCTTCAGAGGGTGGCCGCCTCAACAGGCCCGCTCACCATCTAGTCTACCTAGTCCGTCCACACTTCGGGTTCGGCTACAAGGCACGGGGGTGACGGGGCCAGGCGACCACTCGGCACGGGCAACTAACACTAAAAATCCAAACCCAACAAAAAAAGGAAGCATGTTCCTGGAAAGATTGTTGGTGATGGAGCCTCTAGAAGTGGACAAATGGAAATCGAAAGAAGACGCAACACCGAAGGGAAGGACGTTGAAGCTAGTGCTGTAAGTCTCAAAGCGGAAAAGGAAAAAAGGAAAGCGGAATGCGTGGCATCCATCGATGTCGATGTGGCATGCAACCCCCTTTCTTGGCTTATGGGAGGTATATTCACTAGTCTCGAAAAGAAACTTCTCTTGAAGGCTGCCTCTCCCGGGATGGATGGAGCCATGAACACTGTTCCGAGACTGTGGGATCGGTGTTGTGTTGGGCATGGAGACTACCATGAGATGTTTGACGAATGGGAATGGGTGTTTCAGGATTTTGGGAGAAGGGCGAGAACGCCATGGACTTTCGAGATTTCCAAAGGGTAGTATCTCATGGAAGACTTGGGAATACGTTGCTAACGGGAAGGGGAATGGGGGGAGTGACCGAGCTGGATAGAGATGATGCAGATACTGAAAATGGTAGGAGAAGGGGGCTGCGACTGGAGCTTGGAGAACATCACAGCTCTGAACTGGAAAAAGAATCATTCCTAATGTGGATGCCGACATGAAGCTGTCCTGGATGTTTCGGGCTTTGCTTTGGTGAGGTTCGGACTTTTCAATTGAACAAGTGTGGAAACACCATGAGGTCACTGTCGGGGAGAGGGGCCCGATGCAACCCTGACCTTCAAAAGATCTGCCGGAGCCGAGTGGGAGAACAGACTGTCGGTTTCAGGAATGTGCTAAAGAAAGCTCAAACCAGATTCGCTGCCTCAGCTCAGCCCAGGAAAACGTGTTTCTAGGTTAGTGCTGTTAGAGTTGCCGAGGTGTGATTGGTCGGGTTGACACCTGAGCTTGTCCTGAGCCACAGATGATGTTGATTTGATATTGGGCTGCCTCTCTGTTTTTGCTGTTGCTGCGGATACCGCCATAGGAAATCGCCTGTGGCGTCGCTGAAGGCTCGTCTATCTTTCCTAATCGGGATTTGCTGGGCCTGCTAGACACTCCACAATTCGCGACTTTGTCCTTTTTTTTGCTGGTTTTGTGTCACCGCCGTCACTTTGCCATGATGAGCAACAAACTAAGAGCCTCCTTTTGGCGGCATCAACACTGGCTTTGGCGTCCTCCTGGCTTAGGGGCGCTTACGGGCTGGATATGGCTGGACATGCTGGGTTATGGCTGGAGAGATGACGGGATGACGGAGCACAAGAACTGTTTACCGCTCAGACTTCAACTTGATATTGAGGCTTGAACAAGGCTCTGACGACAAACTCGTCCGAGGCTCCGACCCGGGGGGGAGGCAGGGTCACCACGCCAACCCCATACCGCCCAAAGATCTGGCATCCATCTCCATCGGACACCTATTCCCACTTCTCCTGCATGCAGCGGCTCCAATTCCCAGGTGGACTAGGATCATGAAGTCCGACCCGTACAGTTATCAAAACATGGTCTCCCTAGCCTTACACAAGTCGCTCGTGCCGGACTTCACAGCCTGTGGAGTAAAAGCCGTTGTGGCCGTCGTGACATGCTCCATACAGTCTCCCACACGCACACTAGACTCTAGCCACTTGTACCTGCGTTGGGATATGGAAAGTCAGGACGCCTCATGACCTCATCGGATGCCCGATTCGCAACTTGTATGGCCCTCGCCGTGACTCTCCACGATGGAGTTCATGCAGCTTTACAGCTTGGTAGGGGTTTGTTGCTAGCCATGACTCCAACTCCCGCGAGCCATCATACATCGCGAACTAGCATCTATCCCTTCCATTCCCTTCCTTTGGTGGGACAACACATCCCAACCCAAGGGTTTAGGTCGAGCGGCTGATGAACATCCATCTCCATCTCGTCAATGTTAGTGGACGATGCGGCCCGGCGTGAGCCTTGGGCTCGGGGAACACTGGTAGAACCATGAGGTGTTGACCGGGAATAGTCGTGATGGCTTCTTCGTTCGACTGGACATGGAACTACGTACCAGTAGTACACACACACATGCAATCCATGATCGGTTTACCTCCACGGTCCTAGTCAGGGGGAGTGCCTTTCAACTCCTCCACCACTCCTCCACATGCCTTCAACGGTTTTGTTTTCTTTTTCATGATGATGGGATCGATTTTATACAAAAGGTCTCAAACATCGCCTCCCAAGTTGCCATCACGACCCATCATTCAACAGCATCGAGCCATCTAAACACACCACCTCAGTCTTCAGTTGTCCAGGGGATCACGATCAGCATCTGAACCGACGCCGCCGCCAATCTCTTCCTTCTTCCAGACTTGCCAGTTCGTTACAACTCGCATTGACTTGCAGTTGGTTGTCTTGGTTTTCTCAGCTATACCAGCCATCCCTTCACCGAATTCGCTTCATACCTCGACGACACTATTCTTGTTTCTTCCTTTCTTCCCTTCTTCACCACCAAGAAGTGTCAAGAGCTTTTGCCTCTGAAGGTCTTCTCCAAATTCCACTACCACCAAAAATCCATCTTCTCGGATACCCATCCCACAACAACCGGAACCATGTCTGACGGACGTAAGTACCTTGTCTATGTCACTCCCACTCCTCCCTCCCCACTCAAATCACTTGCCGTTCCCCTGCCGGGCCTACCAGAGCCTTGGGAGATCCATCCACACAGACATGGCACTGGCATACACACCTCCCTTTGACCTCCCTATAGGGATTTACCACACCCTTTTCCCACCATCCACTGCCGTACGCACCTTTACACCCACCCACAACCACTCATACCCTTCCAAGACCCATACACACACCCATGGTAGAGGTTCAGGTGCGTACTAGGGACGCCACCACCACAAAACTTTACCCAAACAGGACGTGGACAAAGCTTCACACATATCCAGAAGACCAGAACCAAGGACAAGTCCCATGTTTTTACAGAATATCCATCATCATAACATTGCAAATAATGTTTCCGAGCCAAGGAACAATTTCACTCCATCACTTCCATCACTCCTTCCCCCCAAGTCGAACATTACCAAGCAAACCACAGCAAGAACCACCCCCCTACCCCTTGCCTTCCTTGACACTTTCCTCCACGTCACTCAACACTCAACACTCAACTACCGTTCAACGATTACTAACACCCCCTACCAGTAAACCCCCTCCGTGAAGCCCGCGTAGCCGAGCTCCTCTCCGACTTCCGCACCCTGCAATTCTACATCGCCGCCGCGCCCACCTCCCCGGGTAACCCAGACGAGTACTACACGGAAGGGTGGGCCGCTTTGCGACAATGCGCGCTGGACGGGCAACACATTCTCAACTGCGCGGCCGACATTTCCATTCCTTGTGCTTCCGGTCCGGGGCCGGATGAGCAGGCGAAGGCCGAGTTGAAGCAGGTCTTGCTGGATGCGTATGCGCGGAGACATGAGGGACAAAAGATTTATTTGAGGCAGGCGGCGGCGCAGAGGTGGGTGGGGTGGAGGGAGACTGTGGTTGTGAATGGAGGGGGAGGAGGGGGACAGGGGATGGTTGAGGTTGATGGGCAGTTGAGGGTTGTGAGTACTTCCGTCTTTTTTTTTTTTTTTTTTTTTTCTTTTGGACTGTGGTGGTGGTGGTGATGGGGATAGAGGAGGCTGACAGATTGTGACGAAAAACAGGAACTAGCAAACATCACCGACGAAGCAGTCTACGCCGAGCTCCAAGCGAACGACATCAACATGGGCCGCTGGATAGACGAGGACCCGAGCCTCAGGGAGGTCCAGAGGTGGATTCGTTCGAGGAGGCAGTGCTAAATCGGCACTCGTCCTTCCTGTTGATGAACTCGCTCGACACGAACGACGACAAGACGAGGACACAATATCGCCGATATGTCCTCTCTTCGATCCTACAATCTTTCAAAGACACTCGACATGGACGGCGACATACCGCAGCAGTGACAGTCCTGAAAAGGGGTCATCTGTCTGAGGTAGTGGCAACACCACCAACGTCAACAACACCACCAACACTTCGCTTCTCTGCTGGTCAAACAGTTTTTCTCGCTTCTGTTCTTTTGCATCTTTTGCATCATCGTTACACAAAAAGGGGGTTAGAGGGGGTTCTTGTTTTGTTTTTTTCTTTCTTTCTGGTCTTTCTTGGTTTCTGCTCTATCCTCTCTATTCTGTTCTTTTCTGCTGTTCTGTTGTTTGGATCTGGCTTTTCTGCATGGGCAGCATATGAAGGGCATAAAAGTCGGGTTTTGTTTTCTTCTTGTTCTTTTCAGCATTTTGGCTGTTGGTTCTTCTTTCCTCTTTTTCCTTTTCTTCAAAACTTGCACGTACATACTTGCTTCTCCTTTTTTTGTCGTCGGTGCAGGGCGTCCGGTACGCGCTTTGGAAGTCTTTTGGATGCCTGTCAGGGCTTGTGGTGGGGGATACCTAGGAGTGGATAGGGAAGATAAGAGATCTAGGGTTACTGCCTGGCGCAGGGGACTTATTGGGATTACCTACCTAGGAGAAAGGGGGAAGTAGTAGTGACAATGGGACATCTATCCAGTACAATCGCTTCTCGGGAACATGTGACATGACTGGATATTGACTGAGGTGGTTTCAGCCGACGGCCCTCGCTCGACCTTAACCCGCAAAATACTCTCGCGATACCAACTGCCGCACTTACAAAGTGCCGAAGACGAAAGTTAAGCAATTGCCAAGAACAGTAGGCTTTGACATCGAGATCTTGGCGGGGCTGGGAATATGTAACTAATAGGTGACATGTGAATAAGTCTATGGCAGCAGAATGGGGACCTGGGGATAGTAACGAGCGCAGTCTTTCCGATATGTCCTGAACTTGGTGGTTCCGATATATCATGTCTTTGACCATCACTGTCACACTGCTACCACGAAAGACGAGAACTCGAAAACTCGAGGGAGTTAGAGCTATAGATATTCGAAATTGATTCAACATCACCAACCGTACTTGTAACTGTACAGAACATATTCAAAACTAGATATCCAATCCTAACACCAACGCTCAAACATTCTTGCTCTGAACACAAAGCGCAATACCGCCCAAACACAGGACCATTCCCAGCATGGTTTCTGTTTGAGATCCCCGTTAGTTAGCTACTGCTCCTTCACCACACAAACACTAGACTAGAGGAGAGGTACTCACCACGACTGATAACCTTCCCCTCAACCCACCACTCGCCAATAACCGTAAACAGAAAAGCCGTCGTATTAACAATCGGCACCGTCAAACTCAGCTCTGTTTTTCATCACCCCATCTTGTCAGCATATCATCCCCACCCAGAAAGAACCATTTCACTCTTCCCCCCCATTTATTTTCCTTCCAATAACCGGTGTAGAATACAGAGAGGTGAGTACATACCTGACCCCCCAACCAACAAAAAGAACCACAAACTCCCACTCAAATTGATCCCCAACGGCAACGCATACCTCCAATTCCTCACCAGGTCCGTCACCGCGAACCAGGCGCCCAGCGCCTTCCTTTTCACAGCGCTCCCCCTTTGCACTGACTCTCGCTCGAGAAGCGGGTGAGGCGGAGGGTTATGCGCCTTGGCGGCCCGCCGAAGGAAGGGGGTCGTAAATCCCCAGGCGAGACCGACGAGGAGGAAGGAGAGGATGTAGTTTAGCAAGGGGGGTTTGGATATGCCGGGGGGGAGGTCTGGGGACATGGAGGGGAGGGGGTGGGACGTGGGGGCTAGTGTGGTAGACATTTTTGCGGAGTGGATGATGACGATACCGGTGTGCTGGGATGCCGTTCGGGCGTTAGAAAAGAGTGGTGTGCTGGGTGGGATATGGGAATGAAGTGATTCGCAAGTATGTATTGCCCGTCGTGGTCGTGTAAGAAAGTGTGAGTAGTGACGAAACGCCACGGTGTGGACATGCGGCTGGTGGGTACAGTGAGGTTACAGTGGGCTTCGGACAGTGTGAGTGAACTTGGAAGTGTGGCTGAGGACCCATGTTGTTGGAGTCCTTCTTGGACAAGGTGAGCAAGGTGAACAGGCCGAGGTGAACGGTCAGCATGCCCTCTTGCACACGCACGGGCCATATAACGTTAACCCCTGAGCCTTCACGACGACATCTCTTACTCTGTCTCCTACACAGACACTCTCTCGTCAGTCCTGGCGCTTTTGCCCCCTCTCGTACAAAAAACTGCTGTACAATTTATTCACAATATCCTCACGGTTTCTGTGAGTTTCGGACCTTGGCAGTGCGTGGTGATTGAAGGATTTTGGTCTTTGCAGGAGGGAGAACTTCAATCGGTTCATTCATGTCGGTCCCAAGCCATTCTGCGATAAACATACGGGAGGAAAACTGCGCGGGCAAGTAGCATAAGGTGAGGAAAGCAAAAGATGCCGGTCGGACGGCACCGACTGCTGCTTCGATGATGTGTGTGGGTGTTCCGGAGAAAAATATTCCTCCGAGTCGTGTACCATGTTGGTGAAGAGTTATGGATGGACCCAGCTTCTGGTCTACGTGTCCTGCGTCCCATTTGCCTGGGCCATCTACATCCTGCGTACCATGTGCATCTACAGCATGATGTCCTAATCGGACATGGTGTAAGCTGTGGACATAGTGGTCGAAAGTGGGAATTGGCAGAAAGAGATGTTGCCAGATCAGCCGGAGTTTTCGAGAAGGGAGCATTCCAGAAAACACGGATGGAAAATAAGGGGAGGCAAGGAGCATGCATTGGACTGCTTAGAAGGTTAGCATTGCATATATCTGCGCGGAACATTATTTTCTTATCATCTCCGATATGTGCAGGAAGCAGTATTTTAAAGTTTTGGCATTGCTGCAGCGCCTTGCGTCAACCACATATCGTGGGCTTCAAATCGCCACTCAAGTCGAGGTGAATTGCTGCAGGTGAGCACAGTCCAACTTCCATTTTTTCAACTGGTTCATAAGGACGTCTCGTCGCTCCTTCATTTCTCTCTCTCTTTCTTTCCCTTTTCCCCAACTTCGTCATTTTGACATCAAATGCTCATTTCTCACACACACTTTCGAACAATTACACAATGGCACCAACAAAGCCTACAGGCAAGCGCAGGTATATTCCTCATGTCTTTGACATGGGGCCCCTTCTAGCCGCTTTGAAAACAATTGAATTTGACAAACAGCAGGGGGAGGGGCAGGAGAGGTCAGTAGCTCAAAAGACTCTGGCAGCGCCTCATCCTTCCCGCACCTATTGTTCTACTCCTCAGCCCAAGGGCAAGGGGAAGAAGAAGAAGTGCGGCAAGCAAGTTAAACCGTTTTCAAAGCGGCAAGAAGGGCGCCCATGGAAAAGATTTGGGGAACATACCTGTACCTGTAAGGTGGTGAAGAAGTCGGAGGGGAGGAAGAAGAGGGAGAGGGAGAGGAGGCAGCGGAGGAAGGCGAAGAAGGCTGAAACCTAATGACCCTAATGACTCTGGCCAAAAAAAAAAAAAAAAAAAAAAATGGAGACAAAAAGGGTTGAAGAATCAATACCTTTTTTCTGGGGTTTTTTTTGGCTTCTGGCTTTTTTTTTTCGCTTTTTTCATTGTAATCTCTGGCTATGGGCTGGGGATGCGAGGAAGAAAGCTGAGCTTTGCTCTTGTCTCTTGGTCAGTATCCGACAACAATGACCCGAAGATGCTTGATGTCAGTGTTCCGTCGGTGAATGACAAGACCCAGTTGAAGAGCAACTCCGTTCGCGCGCTGGGCGATGGTTGCTGTGGGTTGAAGGGGGACATGAGTCTAGTTGGGCGGAAGCATCGCGCCTGCCTGGCTCTTCCAAGTCCACCTGTTCCAAGTATAGTATCTACCATCTGCCACTCTTCCTTTCGGCTTCCCTCCACTGACACTCATTTGCAATATTTTAGGCCTGCCACCCACACCTGTTTCCCACCCACATGTAAAAGGAAGGCAGCCGTCCTTACAACTAGAAGGAAGCCGTCACAACATTGGCTGGCACAGAAGGAGCACAAGTCTGTCAGGGAAGGAAGCCATCCACGAAAATAACCCAAACGGCTGATTGGAAGTCTGGTGGGCTCCCTGGATTTATATATATAAAGACGTCTCCCCCAGCCCTTTGGCTAGCTTCTTTTGCTCATCAGAATCAAGCACTTCTCAACCATATTCCGTTTCCTCCTTTATTCATCAGACAAGTACTTGATCCAGCCCATTTTCTGTCCTCGGCCTTCTACTTCCGTCACATCATACGCCCAATGCTGTTCCATTTCGCCAAGGGCTCTTGATCTTCCATAACCTGCTTCAAGGCATTCACCAATGCCACCACCAGCTTGCGTTCTTCATTCGCCATGTCGATTCTCTACCTGGTTGTTCGACAAGACCAAAGCCAAGCAGCTGGTAGCCCATGCTACGCCCAGTAGGCCGGCCACGCTTCGTGCTTGACCACTTAAGGTCCGTTCTCCTAATCAACCATTGCCTCTCCCATCAAAACAACCCTCCTGGGCAGCTGGCTTACCTCGTGTTCATTTGGCTAACTTCCTTTGCGGTCAGTCATCTCGGGTCTTTATCATCAGTCATCGGTTTTCGGCATCATTCAGCTTTTTCTTTCTTCATCAGGTAGGTGCGAATCCTACTTCGTCAGGCCTACTTAGCCAGTGGAGACCTTGAGACTCTTTGTATTGTTACCTTGTCGCGCTCGGTTTGGCTAACCCGCTTTGCGGTGATCTCAGGTCTTCCTCATCGGTCTTCGGTTTCAGTGCCACAGCGAAGCGTCTGTTCCACGACCTCGTCAGCGGATTGCCGGATTCTGAAAGAGGCACAACGTCCACCACCACCGAGGCGCATACAACACGACAAGCACAACGTGCGGCACTACCTCCATATCCCTCATGTGGGCAATGGGACCCCTCATACCCATATCCCAAGAGATCCATTCAGACAAGCTTTACGCCCACAGACGTGGACTTCCTTTCCTTCCGTCAATCCAGTCCAAGCCTCTCACCTCCGGAACGTCCCGACACTCCAACGTCATCATACTACTCGCTTCGGATACAGGAACTCTCACGGAGTTACCCGGATCAGGATAGCAAGAAGTTGCGCGAGGAAGGTTACGAGCTTCCCTCTTACATCAAACTTGTGCTCCGAACGATCAACCACAACGACAAGCTTTTTTGCAATCGCAATCACGAAACCAGCCAAGTTTATCATCCGAATTCAATCAAAATGTCGAACAGACACTCCACTGACTCTCTGAGCCTTTGGCTGCAGTGCGAGTTCCGACTGCTGCTGTTCCTCCGGCGGGGGGGTTATCTAGTAGTTTCCATAGAATGTATCCAGTCAGCGAAATCAGCGAAAACAAAAACAGCGATCATGTACATAGCAGGGGGGTGAAGAGGAAGAGGGAGGAGGAGGAGAGTCTGGAGCAGCTGGCGAATAGATTGTGCGATGAGGTGTGGCTTCGAGCTGAGTTTCCAACCAGATTGCAGGTCCTTATACTTTATACATTAGTAGTAGGGAAGGTACACTGAGTGTTGAAGCCATCACCATGTCTTGGCATTGTTGGCACAAGGTGGATACGATCCACACATGCTTACCCTGTATATAAGCTGGACTTCGTCCCTTTTCCTTTGGTCTTTCTCTCTCTCTCTTCAATCAATCAAGACATTCACCACCACTTTTCGTCGTCTCTCGTGATCACCTCCTCCGTATGGTTCAACACTGAGTACATGATGAGGAGGGACCTCTGGACTTGGATTGTTGGAGTCTCTCATGGCCTACTTAGGTAGCTTTCGTTCTTGTAGAGGCAATCAACTACCACACCATCAAACCAACCATCTCTACCCGTACAGGCCCCAGGACTTCCAGCCTCTGATACCGTCCCGCATTCTAGATCCTCTGCTTGCTGATTTCTCGCCGAATCAATTCAAGCCTGGCTTGCCGCTATGGCGAGCGCCCGTCCGGATTGTGAGAACCCTGAGAACCTCCCGGGCCGCTTCAAAACAATGCCAACGGCAGCCATCATATGCAGTCGCATGCAACCAGCGGTCAACATTAGCCAAGCTGGGCTCGAGCCGCGCCGAGCTCAAGATATTTTTAACGAGCCAAGCCAGCCAAAATTTTGAGCAAGCCGGAGGGTAGGCTTAGCTCGGCTCGGCTCGTCCGGCTTGTATAATTAGTAACTCCTATTATTTCTTGGAGTATATACCCAAATTCTTCTGCAGGATGACTAGACCGAGGTACATATATAAAAATTTTCGTCTCTTCAACATCCGTATCTGCGTTAGAGTGTATAATTTATAGGTTTTACTAATAGAAGCGTTGTAAAAAGTGGTTAATTGTTCTTACTTGCGGGGAAAAAGGAGGATTTTGGTATATAAATTTCGAAGCAAGCTCAACAAGCCAGCTCGAGCCGAGCCACAGTCAAGCCGAGCTGGCCTTCTGGTAAGGCAAGCCGAGCCGAGTCGAAGGTCCAGCTCGGCTCGGCTTGGCTAATGTTGACCGCTGCATGCAACGACATGCATTGCAGCTTGATTCCATTGGGGTCTACGCCCTTCGAGACCAGGAAACCTAAATACCGAGGTCCTCGGCCAGGCTGCTGGTAGAACTGCATACAAACCCCCTCCCGCGTCACCTACGAACCGCCTCACAGCATACAAACCCCCTCAGATGCAATCATGCAAGAGGTCTGCAGATTTGCCACGACTGCCACAGCCCACGCACCAGCCACTCGTCGCGGGGGCCATAAGGAATTCCGTCCTGCCCCTCCCCCAAATTCCATTTCTTCCCTCTTTCAACAAACTTGTGCTCTTGTTCATCAACCACACAACAAGCTTTTTTTCAATCGCAATCACAAAACCAGCTAAGTTTACACTCTCAATCAATCATCATGCCTTCTATGAACCGAATGTCGACTAACTCTGAGCCTCTGGCTGCAGTACGAGTTCCTGCTGCTGCTGCTCCTCCGGCGGCGGGATATTTAGCTAGCTTTCTTAGGATGTATCCGAGCGAAACGAACAGCGATCTTGTACATAGCAGCAGGGGGGTGAAGCGGAAGAGGGAGGAGGAGGAGGAGGAGGAGCAGGAGGAGCAGCAGCAGGAGGAGGAGGAGGAGAAGGAGGAGAGTCTGGAGGAGTCTCTGAGCAAGGTGTGTGATAGGGTGTGGCAGGAGGTTCGTGAGGAGCAGCAGCAGCAGGAGGAGCTGGATAAGGAGATCGAGGAGCTGGAGAGGAAGATCGAGGCGCAGGAGCAGGAATATCAGGAGCGGTTTGGGGACATTAATGAGTACACGCAGTGGCAGCGGTGGCGGGAGGCGGTGAGGAAGGCGGCGGAGGAGTACAAGGCTGGGGAGGGGAGGGTGAAGAAGGCGGAGAAGAGACATAGGGGCTGTTGGGAAATGAGGCGGATTTGGCCTTGATCAGCGGATTTGGCTTTGGTTTGGTTTTGGTTTGGTTTTGGTTTGGTTGGTTCTTCGGGCCTGTAAAGTAGACCGGGTACCTTTTCCCCACTGGGGTTTTTAACGGCCCGTTGGATCCGCCAAATACAAGCGTTTTTTTCAGAAAAAGTTGGTTTGCGTTTGCGGAGTTTGTGCATTTTGACTGGTTGGGGTTGTTGAGAGAGGAATCCCGAGGCGACTCGCTCGCTCGGTCGGGGGCTCGAGGTCTGGACTGGGAGCTTCCGAAGATGTTGGGATTCGATCTCCGGGAATGAATGAGCATTCCTCTCGACATTGTGTAGTTGAAACTTGGGATGGAATGTGAGGTGAGGAAAAAGATGGGATGGAAGGAGATGTCGGGGGAGGTGCCGGAAGGTCGGAGCATGGGAGAAGGTCGGACTCGAAACGGTGGCGCCGCCGGGACCGTCAGTTGCCCCAGGAAGAGTCGTGAGTGTGTGGCTGCGTTGAACTGGTCGGGCTGCTGGTAGAGGGAGCGAGGCGGCGGCTGTTTGTAGTGTTTCTGTCGGCGGCGGATGCAGAAGTAGAGGGATGCTAGGGCCGCGATGCCGGCGATGGCACCGATGCTGAGACCTTGCTTGGGTCGGGGGCTGCGGCTGTGGTTGTCGGGTCCAGAAGATGGAGGTGGAAGCATGGAAGAGAAGGATAAGAACGGCGACTTGTTTTAGTGATACCTCTACGTTGCTGACCGCTCCCCGATCCATGGTGTTACTATAGAAGACATCTCGGTGCGGTAGGTCTGGTGTTGTCAGCAGTTGCTTCTCAGGATCATTTCTTGAAGGCGATGAAGAAGAAAACAACAACGGACGCGCTAGTGATCCAAACGAAGAATCAATATGGTTCGATTCCCTGCAAAAATGGCAGGCTGATTCGTTGGCTTATATAATCGTCCAAATCCTAGTATAGAGATCAATGGTATTTCCACGACAGATGGAACAAAACAAAGAATTGTAAAAGCAACATTTTCCCGATCCCCAAAAACGCCCGGTACGCCGATTATTCCTGTGCTTGTTCGTAATAACAACAGTGTCTAAGAGAAGTGGATACCCTCCTCGTGGAAAGCTGTCAGGGGTATTAGCGAGGTTGTCCACCAGGAAGGGAAACCGGGAAAAAACCTACCGAGCAACAACTTGAGGAAGTCGTTCTGATCGCACTGCCTAGCTCTCTTGTCCGCCAACCCGGTGCTCGTAAGCACCTTGTTCAACTTGGCCTTGACTATCAGCGCGACCTTGGACTTGGGGTTCTTGCTGGGTGTCTTGGCGTCCTTAGCGTTGGCGTCGTTCTGCTCCTTGAAGAAAACGGGCATGTCCTCGTCCTCATCCTCCTCCATGGCCTCGTCATCGTTGTTCTCCTCGTTATCGTTGTCTTCGTTGTCGTCATCCATCTCGACGTCCATAGCATCGTTGGTGGCGCCGGCGGCGGCAAGGTCGGCGGCGGAGGCGAGGGACTCGTCGATGGGGATGTTGTTGAGAGTGCAGTAGACCTTGTAGTTCTGGAAGTAAAGTGGTCAGTAAGAGATGGAGCTTGTGAAACACAGGAAGAAACATACCCTTTCGCACATGTTGAGGACCTCCTTCTGGTTGAAGCCGGCGTAGAGGGTCTTGTTCTTGCGGTTGAAAGCAATACGAAGAAGACCGTCGAACTCCTCGAAAGCAATGTTGGGGCGCGCCGAGCCAACAAGGGGTTCAATTCTGACGACGTCGGACTCGACCTTGGGAGGAGGCTTGAAGTTCTGCTTGCCGACCTTCATGATGTGCTTGCATGTGGCCCAGAAGTTGACGTTGACACTCAACCTGGAGTAGAGAGCATCACCCGGCCTAGCGACCAATCTCTTTGCGAATTCTCTCTGGAACATGAGTACGGCGACGCGGGGCGGGTTGGGCATGGCCAGCATCTTGAAGATGAGAGGACTGGAAATCTGGTAGGGAGTGTTGGAGATGAGGGCGTCGCATGGAGGCATTTCGGGCATCTTGATGACATCGCCAAGGATGACTTCGAGCTTCTTGGCTAGGGGAGTGCCCTGGACACGCTTGGTGACTTCGGCACCCATACGAGGATCGAGTTCGATGGCGATGACCTTCTTGGCCTTCTCGAGGGCGCGGACGGTGATGTTACCGGTACCGGGACCGACTTCGACGACGACATCGGTGGGCTTGAGGAAGGCCTTGTCGACAATGGCATCCGAGATACCGGGGTTCTTGAGGATATGCTGGCCGAAGTCCTTGTCGAATTTGAAGATGTTGGTGTTGGTAGCCTTGCCGCCGCCGCCGCCCCCCTTGCGGTCGTAGGGGTTGCCGCCCCCCGACTTCTTGGACGCCTTCGCTGCCTTGGGCATAGTATAGTCGAGTCAATGCTGTCGTGGGTAGGTGTGTGGAGGAAGACGACTCGGGATCGAGGTCGGACGAGAAGGCTGGGATCGTGGAGGGTTCGTCGTTTCGGTCGATCTCTGTCCGGGTCGAGACTCGATCTTCAAAGTCAGTCGCGCAACGCTGTACTGTGAGAGGTACCACACGCTGAAGAGAGCTTGTGCCTGTGCCGGACCCTGGCCGACATCTTTTTTTGAGTGGACCAGGCGGCAGAAAAAACATGCCCCGCAAAACATGTGGCCGATAAGATAAGCACGCGCTGACCGCTTTCCTAATACAGGTACCATGCGGGCGGCGGCGGCCCAGCCCACGGGAACTTGAGTGGAATTCAGGCACCTCGGCCAGTTCCGACAGGTGATTCTCCGTCTGACGTAACAGCGGAGGCCGCCCTAAACATCTGGGGCGGATCACGAAATTGTTACCAAGCACTTATAACGGCAAATCCTCCGATCATTCAGTGAGGGTCTTCCCCGTCAACAAGTAAACAAACCAGGCTTTGAAATTTTCGGTACAAGAGGTCGTCATCTTGTCTTCATCTATATAATTCCTCCTAAGGTTCGAGGAAACCGAATATAAGAGTTCTTTTCCATTATCTTGTTGACTTATACCCGGGCTCTTCCTTGGCAACGACAGCATCAAAACACATAACGATAATCAACCGCAGCCATGTCGATAAGGATAGCTCTCGAAAACCCTCCCGAATTCTACACAAACCTGGACATCATCCGCGGCCAGGTCGTCCTCACTCTCAGTCGTCCAGAGCAGATTGGTGGCATCATCGTCAAGCTTGAGGGTGAAGCCAAGTCGGCCTTGGGAGTACCCGCCGATGGCTCAGGGACGGGCATCGCTCAGAAGGAGCGCACTCCAACGGGGGATGTTATCTACGAGAACCACAAGATCCTATACAAAGTCACCCAGGCCTTCCCCCCCGACGAGAAGAGCAACGCGTTGCAACAGCCCTATGTCCTAGCCGCCGGCCAACACAGATTCCCTTTCCAGTTCAAGGTTCCCTTCAACAATGCTTGCGGTGACCCTGTCGCCATGGCCAAACTCGGAGGCCTCTCCGGTGCTGGTGGAATAGCGTCAGGTGCTGGCTTGTTCGGTCTCGGTGGCATTCGTGTTATGGACGGCACCAAGCAGCTGATGTACTCCCATGTCACAAAGACGCTCCCACCCAGTTTCACCGGATTCCCAGGCCAGTGCGAGATCCGGTACTATGTCAAGGTTACCATTCAGAGACCGGGTATTTTCAAGGAGAACTGGAGGATGGCGACCGGCTTGAAATTCCTTCCCATTGAGCCTCCAAGGCCGCCCAAGACGAACCACGAAGCCTATGCCAGACGACCCTTCACATTCCGTCCACGAAGCCCAATGACAAACGCGCCTTCAAAGAAACGGGCTTCTTTCTTCAGCGGGTGGAGCGGGAGTAGCAACGCAGGGTCATCTTCAGCCCCAACAACGGCTGACGGGAAACTTACAACTGAGCCCGAAGTGCCTCCGTCGATAGAGATGTCCGCTCGACTTCCCCATCCTGCCATCATCACTTGCAACCAACCGATCCCACTCCGTCTCATTGCAAAGAAGCTTGCGGGATCAGACGCAGAGATCTTCCTAACGGCCATCCAGATCGACCTGATTGGCCAGACGGATGTCAGATGTCACGATCTGATCAACACAGAGACCAGTCGCTGGGTGATTGTATCACGACAGGGACTCAGCATTCCCGTCTCGAGACTCGGAGACGCTGTGGGGACAGAAGTGGTCCTGCCAAACGACATCTGGTGCAACCAACCCTTACCAAACACCATCATGCCGAGCTTTGTCACATGTAACCTCAGGTTAGTTCCCCTTTTCCTCCGAGCATCCCTCCAGAACTCTACTAACTCCACCCTTTAACACAGCCGTGAATACCAACTCGAAGTCAAACTCGGTCTCTCCTGGGGCAAACCCCTCGCCTCTGGCTCCCACGCCCACGCCAGCACCTCCCTCTTCGGCCGCAACAAGCACGAAGGCGCCGACCTCGCCCAGGAAATCCACCTCCCGCTGCACTTCTCTTCCGTAGAAGTCTACTCCGGCATCGCCCCGCCCGCCGCCCTCATCGAAGCCATGAAGCAAGGCAAGAACAAGCGTCCTCAATCCCGGCGTCCACCATCGCAACCAGCGCGTCCCACCACCTCCTCCTCCGCCGAAGCCGGTCCTTCAACAGCGCCACAGCAACAGCCGCCAGCCCTACCCCCACGAACTAACACCGCCCAACCACCACCCGCCTTTTCAGGAGTGGCAGCTGGAGTGGTACCGCCGCCAGCAGACCCCTTGTACCCGCCGCAACTGGCGCCAGGACAGGAAGAGCCGCCGTATGACGACGCGCCGCCGAGCTACGACGAGGCGATGGCGGAGATGATGAGTGGGCCGGTGATTCCGGATGGAGTGCCCAGGCCGGCGTATAGCGGGGTGACGAATGAGAATGAGCCGAGTACGCTGCCTGCTGTTGGGAATGAGAAGAGTTAGTTGGGGTGTTGGTCGTGATCGTTGGGGTTGATCGGCTGTGATGTTACTGGAAGGGAGGAGAGATAGGGGAGAAGAAAGGGGGGATGGAAGCTACAGGATGGAGGGGAGAGAAGTCGAAGGGAAGGGAAAGAGGAGGGTGAAGGACGGAGGTTTTTTTGACTTTATGATATCCAACTTTGTGTTAATATGGTTTTAGAGTGGTGGATCCAAGCAGGTCGAAGGTATATATAGAGATATGATATGACACATAATAACATCCTGGTATGCACATAACGCCAGGAGCTGTCGATGTCAGATGAAGTTTCGTCCTAGCGCCCAGAGCATGCAAATGTCGTGATCTTCAGCTTTACAACAACGCAGATGTTCTAAAGTAGATACGTCAACAGAGGTAAAATGAACATCTGGCTAGCTAGTCAATTACAATATTTGTACGTTCACCGGAGGTAAAACAAAAGCAAAGCTTGAACGTAAATATCGTAGGTGTTACTGGTGAACTTATTGTCTTGTCATTTATTGATAACCACTTCTGCTGGGGGATATCATGTTTTTCCATCATGCATCCCGTCGTCCATTGTCTGGAGGGCAAGTCGCAGGATGAGGGTAGAGGCTGCCTGCCTGGTCTGCCTGGTCTGGTCTTGGTTATTGAATGATATGTATATACTCCGAGTTAACAAGTCAGGTAGCAATGCGGCATCATCACCTCTTTTATCTACACTTCTTTTTACGTCTACAATACACTACCGATCCTGCTTGCTTGTGGCAGAGAGATTTTGACTTCTGGGAACAGTGCCGCCGTAATCGAAGCCATCGGGGTACGTACGATTAACCTTTGGGGATCGAAACCAGGCAAAAAGCCAATGTCAAAACGAAGTGAAAGGACACCATAGTAGGAGAGGCGGGACAAAGATTGGAGAGTACTTCGGAGACAATTGTTCGATTTTTTATTTTCTCTGTCCATACAAATCGGAAAGAGCGAGTCGCCCGCCAGGTTCAAGTTGTTCATGCCGGTGATCCGATGATAGATGCACACACAGTAAGTCGTACTTTCCTATTCAGAGTCCAGGATATCCCCGGCGGTGGGCACCTTGAGGATCCTTACATCCCGTCCCTTCAAGACATCATGAAGTCGACGCACCGACGCTTGCCGTGATAATCACCACCAGTTCCTGATCGCGAGGGCTGGCCCTCGGAATATCGTATCAAGAAGGCTGGTGAAAAGGGCAGGACAGCAGGGCAGCAGGACAGGAAGGACAGGAAGGACATGGTGTGTCTTTGTGCAATAGTCTGGGGTCCGAACCCGAGTGGAGGGAGGAGGGGCGAGGGACACTGAAGTGGGGGTAGAGGTATGGGTAACAGAGCTGAAGATTTGATAAGTAGTGAAGGACACTCACTCCGAGGAGAAGAAAATATCGTGGAAGTTGGCACTGTGTGTGAGGCTCTGAGGCGTGCCAGAAAGAGAAGAAAACGACGACCGGGCCGGAATACCGTTCATATGCAAGACATCATGTCAGGAACAAGGATATCTACCTACAGGTATCGTCCAAGGAGCTAGAAGACGGGAAGCAGCACGCACGGATCGACGGGGGCTGGAACGGGGGCCCGCCCGTGATGCTGCGCTTGTGTGCTGCTGCATGTGGCTGTCTATCTCGAGGAGCCTCTCGTGGAACCTCGTGGGGGAAGGGAGGGAGGTAACGTTTCCTTTTTCCTTTCATGTCGTTGGTTGTTCAGTCCTGTAGGTATGTAAGTTTGAAGACGACGCTCTTATGTCGTTGGTCCTTTGGTCTCAAGTCTCGGAGCTGCGGAGGATCTAGATCTGGGTCTGGGGATGCATGTGACAGAACAGACAATCGAAAACTGTAGCAATATTGACTTTTCGAACTATGAGCACCCCGTTGTCTAAGGGGCCTTTTGTCCGGAGAGATTGTGTGGTACTCGGCGGTTCTAAGGAGGAAGGTTGACTGATGTTTGTCAAGCAAGGGTCGAAGAAGGATCGACGCGTGTGTGTGTGTGTGTGTGTGTGCAAGGTATTGTACCTAGACCCCAGACTATTGAATGGGAGTACCTTGCAGGGAGATCTTCACGAGGTAAGGTACCTTTTGAACGGTGCGAAGAAGCACTAGATAGCCATTTGGTTTGCGGGAATAAACCATAGAGAGTGTTAAGGGTGTGTCAGGTTGGGACATGGACCCTGAGTGGAAAGTGGGTGGACGTAAAGGGTCCAATATGAGGTAGCATCGTGGAGTGGAAAAGTGGTGTTGACAAACAGGTGACACCGTGACATTGGGAGAACCAACGACATAATTTCACCTACGAAAATGGAAGACATCAACGGGAGGAAAAGGAAAAACTCGCAAATGGATGTATCGTGGGGATAACCTCACGGTTGAATCGGCAATGTTCGAGTGTCTCCTTTGCGCTTTGCCTGCTGTGGTGGCTGGCTCCACCTCGCCTAGGGGCCTATATTCGCAACCACTTCATCTTCACTGCATTTGTGCTTCATACAAAACAATGATGGGTTGCTTGTTAGCTTGGGACTCCGAGTGAGACTTATCTTAACCCGTCCTGAAGGCTGTAAGGGTACTTTGAAATGGGGAGCCATAGATGGAGAATTTGTTGTCAGAAACTGAGTTGGCATACCATCAGAACAGACCTACAGAATGTTACCAGGCTTTAATTATCAAGCTCAACGCATGAACAAAATGTGAGAACCCTCAGGAGAGTTGGTCTCGAGCCAACAAATCAGTATTGAATTTCAGTCATTGACCTTTTCCAACACCACCAACACACATAAGGATTGTTTGTTTAATGAAGCCTCGCTACATTCCGTTAGCCGTGGTGGCACAGCAGCCGTATTGCCGTTGACGTGGACGTGGCACGTGAACTGGAAGTGTAAAAAGGCTGGATATTGCTGACTGCAGATGTTGTTGGAAGTTGAAGAGCGGCCAACATCTCACCGAGGGGAACCCATAGCTCTATTGAGAAGGTGATATTAGCATACACATTCTCTCTGACGCATGCACACCTATGTTACTTCACCTCTAGGCGGCTCTGTGCATCGTCCACAGTAGAATGTGAACGCGTCCTTCAAGCTGAGAAGAGCCTCAGTAAAACACCACCCTCACGACTGCTACCGGTGCCACAGTCAGCATCACCACCTTCACGGCCACCCTCAAGTCTCAACGTCACGCACTGTCGTCAACCTCTTCAACAATATTCCCCTCAGCATTACAACGCTCGAAAACATCAACAACCACCAACATGACCATTCTTTCGTTGAGTGTCATGCGGACATCACGTTTGGTGACATCCGGGCGGCCGACGGCGGAAGGTGCACCTGGTGCCTGGCGAGAAGTAAGAAGTAGGAGCGGGGGAGGTCAGCTCTTGCCGCCGAGAGGCATAGCAACACCGTCGTGAGGTTGAACCAACTTGGAGTGGCAGCGGGCCGTGAACAACAAGACTCGGAGTTGAGAGGAGGAGACATCAACGTTGAGAGGAGGAAGATGGATGACTACAAATAGAACCATGATGCCGCCTCTTCGACTGCATCTCTTTGGCACAGAAGCATCATCATCTCCTTCCATGAGCCACTCGACAGCAACAACTCCAATCTGTCCGGCACGATGAATACCTTCAAGTTCCTCGTCGGTCTGGCTTCATGCCTTGCAGGCCTCGCAAGCGCGGCCCAGGCCGCGGAGCCAAAGGCTGTGTTTGCTCACTTCATGGTAAGTTGACCTTTGACCTTTGATACAGCTGCCGGACCATGACTGACGACCACCCGACAGGTGGGCAACACCAAGACCTTCACGGTAAACGACTGGGCTACTCAGATCGACCTGGCCAAGACCGCAGGCATCGATGCGTTTGCCCTCAACATGGCCAACAACGACTCGACCAACGATGTCCAATTGCCTTTGGCCTTCAGCGCCGCCCAGCAGAAGGGCTTCAAGCTCTTCTTCTCCTTTGACTACGCCGGCAACGGCGCGTGGAGCAAGGCCACAGTGAAGTCCATGATCACGAACTACGGATCAAAGACCGAATACTTCAAGCGAGGCTCGCAACCTTTGGTGTCCACCTTTGAAGGCACTGGGAGCGCTGGTGATTGGAGCGAGATCAAGACAGCCACCAAGTGCTTCTTCATCCCCGACTGGTCGTCCGTCGGCGCTTATCCAGCCGTTTCCTTGGCTAACGGAGTTGCCGATGGCCTCTTCAGCTGGGACGCTTGGCCCAAGGGGGATCAGGACATGACAACTTACCCCGATGCTTCCTACCACGATGCCCTAAACGGAAAGCCCTACATGATGCCGGTATCTCCCTGGTTCTACACGAACCTGCCCGGCTACAGCAAGAACTGGGTCTGGCGTGGCGACGACCTCTGGTTCGACCGCTGGCAACAGATCCTCAGCATCGACAACCCGCCCGACTACGTGCAGATCATCTCCTGGAACGACTACGGCGAGTCGCACTACATCGGCCCTCTCGACGACAAGCAGTACGAAGCCTTCGACAGCACCCACGGCAAAGCCCCCTTCAACTACGTCAAGAACATGCCGCACGACGGCTGGCGCGCCTTCCTCCCCTTCGTCATCTCGCTCTTCAAGGCCGGCACGGCCTCCTTCAACAAGGAGGGCATCACGGCCTGGTACCGCGTCAACCCCAACGACGCCTGCAACAACGGCGGCACGACGGGCAACACGGCCAACCAGCTGCAGTACGAATACCTGCCCGAAGCCATCATCAAGGACCGCATCTTCTACACGGCCCTGCTCGGCTCCTCCACCAACGTGCAAGTCCAAGTCTCCATCAACGGCGTCATCCAGCCCACCACCGCCTTCGACGACGACGGCAAACCCTACGGCGGCATCGGTCTCTACCACGGCAGCGTGCCCATCCCTTCGGGCGTCACCGGTCCAGTAATCATCAAGCTCCTACGCGGCTCCACCGTCCTGGCAACCATCACCGGCTCCCCCATCACCAAATCCTGCACCGTCTCCCCTACTTCGGGCATCGCCCTACAGAACTACAACGCCTGGGTGGGCTCCGCCCTATCCTCCTCCACCTCCGGGCCCTATTCCTCTTCCATCCCTCCTCCCTCCTCCTCCTCCTGCATCTCCGGCTTCGGTCTCTACGACTTCACCGGCCTCTGCTCCTTCTCGTGCCACAACGGCTACTGCCCCAGCAGTGCTTGCGTCTGCCACCAGCGCGGCGTCGCCTCCCCTCCCAGCTTAACCAACACCCCCGGCTACCCTGCGCCCGGTTACACAGCGATTTACACCGGTCTTTGCTCATTCGATTGTAACCACGGGTATTGCCCTCAGCCACCCTGCACTTTGACCCCCAATACTGGTACGGTCCCTACTTACTCCCCTTTCTTACCGCCCGCTTGTGTACAGGGGGAGAAACAGGCGGGCATCAGTGATGCGTTTTTGGGACTGTGCAGCTTCGGGTGCACGTTTGGGTTCTGCCCGATTGCGCTTTGCAGGTGCACGGGCACGGGGAGGCTGGTGGATGCGCCGGCTTATGTTGATACGGAGGGGTATTTCAAGGGGGATGAAGGGGTGGATGATCATGGGCTGTGTAACTTTGCGGCGACGCATGGGTATGTGCCGGATAGTTGTGGGAATCGGACCAGAACTGCTTGAGGAGGTGAGTCGAGTTGGTTGAGGAGGGGTGCCGGATGGATAGGACGGCGCTGGAGCGGAGTGGGTGGTGATGTTGTGCCGCCGCCGCCGGGCCGGCCCGGGTCGCTGGGGATGGAGGATGGATGCCCTACTGGCCGGCGACCGCGATTACCACCGGGCTGGGAGCTGGTGTATGACCGGACAGCCGGGCTCATCTTGTTTTGTTTCGTTTCTTGTTGTTCATGTTTTTTATCAGGATACCATCCAACATGGTGATTAGGTAGCAAAGGAATCGAATTTTATGCAAGCAATCCTTGTTTCGCTTTGTTTATTTTGTGTCGCGATAGTGACATATCTTCTCGGTGCGCACGGATGTGGCTATTTTTTTGCTGCAGTCACTCGACTCGGTGGTCCACACTGCGAATGCAAAAATGTCGAAGTGCCCCTTTTGAGTTAGCGGAGGTTGAAAGAAGTCATTTAGTCGCAATGTAAAACAAAGCAAAAAAAGGTAACCCGATGGATGGATGGGCTGAGAAGTAAGATAAGAAAGACATTGATGGATGGGGGTGTAAAAAAAAGCGAAAAAAAAAGATTGGTCTCTCCCGCCGGGAATTGAACCCGGGTCTCGAGCGAATCGAACTGATGTTCAAGCTTGACAAGCTCACATACTGACCACTATACTACGGAAGATGTACAACTGTTAATCAGCTGTCGTAGTTTGGATGATGGAACTTGACCTACGACGTGGTTATATACCGACTGGTGCGCACGAGTGAACGATCAACACAGCACAAATAGGTTCACCAGTAGTAACACCCACGATATTTACGTTCAAAAGCTTTGCTTTCGTTAATCTAATCGTACCCCTATCGATGACTTCTATTACGATTACGGTGGCGCCGTTCTCAGTCTCAGGGTCAAAAGCTCCCGTCTTTGGTGCACCCAGACAGGATTGGTAGGTACATCACCTCATTCCTTCTTCTCCTCCTATCACTGGGCGAGAGGGCACCGTTGGGGGTAGGGTAAGATATGCGTTGTTGTACGAGGGAGAGAAAGGGAAGTGTGCGTGGAGGACTGGCTATATGGGCGAGAGCCAGACAGGCGAGTCCGTGCGCGCGCACGTGAGACTGCACGTGACTAGAGCATGTGACCAGTGCGTGAGTGCATGGCTCTGGGCCATGGCACCAGCTCTGGCATGGCACATGTGCAGTCAGTGCAGTGCAACCACATCACAGGCTAGCCCTGTGATATCTCCTCTTATTCTCCTTCCTCCCCTTTATTACTCCCTACCTAGGTACCCGACCTTTTGCCCTTATTCTTTGCTTGTTGAGAGCGCAAGACTCCAAGGTTTACTCGGATTGTGAGTGAGATACGTGACGAACTGGACTGGTACATTATGATGGGTGTCAGTGGAGACGTCTAGACACTGACTATCCTTCCGTCGTCTTCTACTCTCTCGGGGGTCTTGCTCCATCTTCGTTCGTGGGAGCCAACGAAGGCAGATAGCTATGTATTGCAGATATCATAAAGTGAAGGCAAAGGGGGTAATATTAAATGCCCTTTTTACTTGCTGGTCTGTGGGTGTACTGTATAGGTAGCCATTCACCCACCCGGCCAGGCAATCTCTGTCCTCCTCCTTCTACGCCTTATCCCCAGACAATAATTCATGTGTGAAGATGCTGCAGAAATCTGGTATCCCCCAACAGAAGTGGTATCAATGAACGACAAGGCAGTAGAAGTAGCAGCAGTAACGACGCAGTGGTATAGATGAGAGACCCAGGAAAGTACCAGTACCGGATACCAAATACCGGATACCAAATAACGCTCTCTTCATCGCTCACCTACATTCATTCGATTTGAACCTTGAACACCTGAGCACAGACCTGCCCGAACCTCAAGTGAAATTGAACTCCGCGTATGAATCCCCGTTCCATATTTCCCTTTTACACCCTTGACATTGAGATTGAACGCCCGCTACGTGCTCAGAACTCCCAAAATATCGACAACAAACTCCATGTACCCATGTACCCATATCCATTACCTTAACTCCCCATAACTATAACTAACCATTACCGCCGCACACAAGGAAACCCCCAAAGAAAGGGACCGACGAGAATTCTCACGACTCCCCGCTTTGGTGCCCCACTTCGTTGGTTGAATTTCTTCACTTTGACATCCTCAACCACCCTACTCAGTCCTCGTCTCATCCTCATGAATCCTAAACTCAAACCCCGGCCACTTCCCCGTCGCCGTTTCTGCCCACGCCACCCATGACGGTCCTATTTCCGTAGCTGCAGCTGCCGCTGTAGTTGCAGTTTTCCCTCGCCATATCTGCGTCTCCGTCTCCGCCCCTTCTACCCCTGTCTCTCTTTCTTTCCCCTTCGACATGGTCGTCGTCGTCATGGCAGTAGCCGTGGCTGTGCCTGTATCCCAAGCCCCCGCAGTTGTGGTGGTTGCAGCGATGGTCGTCGCCTGCGATGATCTTGGCACGTAAGTCTCACCTAGCTCCTGACTCTCTGCCTGAGTCGCCACCTGACTCCCTGCCTGGCTCCGAGGTTGTGGCGGTAGATCTGGCTCTGGCTGTGGCTGGCCCAACCGGATCAGATCCTGAATCTCCAGGACCAAATTCTGGCTCTTGGTGAGCGCCCGTGGGTATGGGTATTGCTGTGGATGACCCTGTTGCTGTTGCTGTTGGCTACCGCTTTGCCTACCGCTCCGACTTCCGCTCCCCGAGGTGATCAACGGACTAGGTAGTTTCGTAGTCTCTGGCGACAGGACAGCGGAGATATTCTTGCTAGGATACTCGCTTGGTGCTTCCGACTTATCGGATTGGTTTCCGTCACCATCGTCATCGTCGTAGCCAATTTCTTGGGTTCCCTCATCAAAGTCAATGTTCAAGTCTTCCTGGCTATCATGGAATAGACTGCTATGTTGACTGAAGCGGCCGAAGTCTTCGTTATCGGTCTCGATGCCCGCCCTCGGAATATCCTGAGACTTCAACGGTCTTTTCTGGCCGTGGCCGTGGCCCTGACCCTGACCCTCGCCATCCGTCTTTGCCCCGTCTAGTTCGTCATCTCGGTCGAGGTCATCCACATCGATATCGAAGAAGTCGCTCTCGGAAGAACTGGAGCTTGATTCGGGAATGGCACGCGGTATTTGCACAGACTTGGAGCGTCTTGGGGTGGCCTCGTTGTCAATAGGGCAGTCCGTCATCTCGTCGTCCTCATCGTTGCCGTCGTCGCTCCCGCTGGACAGCCCCGTCATCTCCTGATCGCTGTCCTGAGCATAGCCGTCCGAGGGGAGCAAAGGCCCGCGGCTGCTACCGCGATGGAACCCGAACTCAGAAGAAGGGTGTTCGCTGTGCGGCGTGGCGTACCAGCCAGGTGTAGACTTCCTATCGCCCCGGTTGGGCGGCGCAAGGGAAGGCGAGCGGCTCATAAACCGATCACGATCGCGATCACGATCATGATGGGGCGTGGTTTGGCGGGGGTAGCCAAGATCTGTCGGATCCTTCCTGCGTCGTCTCTTAATCGGCGCAGTTGGTGTTGGAAAGGCATTGGTCGGTGGAGTTCGGTAATGTTCAGCCGGAACAAAAGGGCTGCGCTCAGGCACAAGGGGAGAGGATCGACGATCATAAGGTCTTTCGTATGGTTTCATCGCATGGCGGGTGAAGGACGGCTGTTTGTGACGGCTCCCAGTCGGGGAAATGGTGGACGGGCCAGATGGCGAGAATGAACGGGACCGCGAAAGGGCTGTCAAGGAGGCCTTTCGCTCTTTTCGCAATACTGCCCGCGGCGACTCTGCTCGCGTTCCGTTTGCTTTGACGAATGATGAAGCAGTATGGAACGAAGCCATATCGGAACGTTCGAACGATAACTGCACAGGGCTATTCCGTAGGTTCGCGGCGTCTGTAATGGGCAGCCCGTCAAGGACGTCGCTCCTAGTCCAACATTCTTCAAGGGCATCTGCCTCCGGGGTGTCATCACGATCACTGCATGTCTCCTCAGGATCATGTTTTTCGGGGTATACCCGGCTGAGCTCGCGTATCCTTTGCCATGTCCAACCCGGCATCAGGGCACGATTACCCATGATATAATCTTGAATGTATGCCTCTGGCTGTGTGATGTACAGACGGTGCGTCCCAATGGTTTTAGGGGCCTTCATGACGACGCTAGACATCAGGAAGGTGAAGCCCCAAAGAGCTGGCGTTGCCATTTCGGCCGGAGCGAGGAATCGGAGGCGGTTATCTCGGTGGATTTTGCGCAAAGGCACCCAGTCCTGTCGCAACCCAAGGAACTCATTCAGTGGTGACTCAGGCGCAGCTTTGCCACTGTGGTAGATTAGGTGGGAAGAAGGCTCGAGGACATTGCCAAAAGCTTTGTGGATTGCCAGCTGAACATCACGGGCGTCCGGCCCTCTCACTTGGACTGTCTTGATGAAGCCGCGGCTCCTGAGTCTTTGATCGATCATCCGCCCATTTGCAAAGGCTTTGGGTAGCAGCCAGCCAGAATCGGGATATTGTCCTGGCCATTCCGAGAACCCTGGGTCGTGAGGATCCGGCGTGGCTCTGCTCAATGTATTAGGTAGTTGTGTCCAGTCTTCATCGGGGCCCATTGACTGTCGCCGGTCGAAGATTTTGCGGGCATCCACCCAGATACCCTTGAGAGGAAACGGTAGAAACACAACCTCCAGATCCCAAGGTTTATTATATGTTGGGAGAGATGTCGCCTGAAGCTCGCTAATCTGTGCCTGTAGGGCCTGAAACTGGCTAAGAGTAACCTTCTGGGAAGAACGAACTGTGCTATTAGATGCCGCCGAGACCACGCTTGCGCCGGCGACACTGGCATTGTCATTCGAAATCTTCTCTAGCTCGTCGACACGATACTCAAGGTCCGTGACTCGGAGATCTGTGTGTTCGTGTTTGTCATAGCACTCGTCGTGACCGATGACTGAGAAGGAGGTGTTCTCAAGCCTGTCTATCCTTTGCTCCTGGAGGTTGACAACATCCGACAACTGTTTCACATCATCCTTGACAGCGAGGAAAGATTGGTTATGTGCTGATCCAGGTCTGGGTGTCATGTCTCGCCTATACTCTGGTGGCACCATCAAGTCCATAGGGCCACGTACATCCTGGGCGTTAGCTTGCGCTTGTTCCTCAACATCCTCTGCCCCCTTCTCGGGAATAGAGGCTTCATTCCTGGGTGCAGATGGGCGTGTTAGTGTATTCAGTCCCTTTCCGAAAAATGGTGCCATATATCTCATCTGGCTAGAAGCTGTAGTTGAGGGGGCCTGGGACTGCATTAAGAAATAACCCGGGCTCAACGGCTGTGTATCCCCGTAAACATCAGTCTTCTGGGTATGATTCCCATTTCCCCAACCGGTGACAGGAGCGGCATCCGGAATGGTAGCCTGCTTCTCCAAAGACTGGTGTGGTTGGTCCTGAATCTGAAGGGGTTCGATCTGTAGGGGTTGGGAAGCCATTACACGCTGGTTGAAACCGGAAGCGTGGAAATTCATAAGGCCGAAATCTCTAGAGACCCCAAGATGGGAAGACACGGTGGGCGCAGCAAGAGATGGGTGGTCTTCCTCCATTGGAGTTAGTAGCTCCCTTGTACGTTGGCTGCTCATCCCCGAGTTCGGCTTCTCCTGACCATAGGGGGAAGGTAGACCGGCAAATGCAAGGGAAGGAGTGGGCGGGAGCTGTGAAGGGGCCGGGAAATCGTCGTGGAAGCAGGCATGATGGGAACACTGGCAGAGTTCGGCAGAATCGGGCGCGGCATTCAGCTTGATCCAGAAGCGGCGGCAACCGCAGCGCGGCAGGGCGGGATCTGTGTAGTTGCAAGGTCCCCTCGGCAGCACGGGGAAGGCCGAGTTCCATATGGCTTGTCCATCATCTAAGAAGCTGGGGAGAGGCCCAGGGGCGTCGAAAGAATTTGCGGCCATTGGGATTCTGGGTCACCATCTCCTGGGGAAGTTTGTGTGGTGGTCGAAGGAGGCGCGTTGCTTCCGGTCCGGATGCGATCGAGCTCGGACGATAATTGGGTCGGTCGGTTGTAGTCGGGAATGACAAGAGGACGAGGGTTTGGAAATGTTCGAGTCGCGAATGTGTAGGTCTGAGCAATCGAGGTGGGCGCGTCGTGATGGTGGTGGAACGGAGCTCCCTTCTTTCCTACTTTGATGCGACCCAACGCCAGACCAAGCCGGATCGCAATCAGAGTTTGCTTGGGAATCTAGTTCATGTTACTATCTCCAGTTAGTAAAGGTAAAGCTGACCACGGATTGATCAAAGAAAACAGTTGCGACAATGCAATTGTTGACATTGAAGCTGTTGAGTGGTGGCCGCCTAGGCAGAAGCGCGGGGAAGGAAGACGGGACGAGAGATGGGAGCATCAACATCAGATTCGGGGGAAACGAACAACTTATATTTCCGAAACTGATTAATCAGGTAGAGACGCGCGTCGACCGAGGTTTGCGATCACCGGTACGGCGACGAGGCTGGACAGAGAATGGGCGCGGGCGCGAGGCAGACGTAGCGCAATGGGTGAAGACGATGTCGAGGATATCGAGGATGTCGAGAAGCCGAAGGGAAAAGTGAGGCGCATTGGAAACAAGCAACAGTGGACATGCTGCAGTCTGCACACGCCCAACGCCAGAACTTTCAGTTGCTTCTGGGCTGCTGGGGTGACAGGGGTCGAAGTCGGAGTGCATTGATTGGAGTGGATCCCCGTCACCATAAGGCGGGCGGGGTGTGGATTCGTGATGGCATGCTGGAGGAATGTCCATGTTTTTGGGGATCAATTTCAATGAGGACAGGACGTTGTCAGTATCGAGAAGATTCAGACAAAAGTTGAAAGAAAAAAAAATGGCGATCAAAGTTTGAGTCAATAAGTATGCTTAGCACTCCTATCATTAAGGGAAGGTGCCTCAAAGCTTGAACCTGACCGGAACTGATGCGGCACAAGATAAGGAAACCACAAGTGGAAAGGTACCTTACGGGGCAAGAACCACTTGCCCGAAGTCAACAAGACAAAGGAACTATCCAAGGAAAGTCTTGACATTAGTTCTCCCGATTCTGTATTCCTCAAACAACCCTTTCGATGTAGAACACCGATGCTCATTGAATTTACTTGAACAACTTGATAAAAGGAAACCTCAACACGTGCAGACATCAACCGAAGCAAGAAGCAAGAAGCCCCGAATCCGCACCGAAGACGTCCCCGAACTCAATCACTCTCAAACTCACCCCCTGATTGGCCCAAAGCCACTTAACATCCCTGCATAAGCTAGCGTTTCTAGCGTTGCAACTCACATTCCTTCTTTCACTCCCAGATCTCTTACACTTGTACGCTCTCAAAGCTCTTCTTCTCTCACTACCTATACCAGTAGCTCCACGGGTTGGATTACATGGCTCCAAGTCTAAGGCTAACAGCTTCACGATCTGGCTGCCAATTATCCGTTCTTTTGCGGGAAGAGAAGCTGGGAATGGCCTCGTACAGACCCCTATAAAATCCAGAAGGAGCTCTGGCCTCCTGTTCATCTATCTACCCATAAGTGCCATCCATAAGTCCTCATCCCTGGCAACAAAAACCCAGTCTCCTGTCCCGCCTCACCCCATGATCTTAGGTTCTGGATCCTCCATCGACGAGCCCGCCCTGGCTATAGCCCAAGAGAGGAGTGATGATTTTCTTCTTTTCTCGCTTCAATCTCACCTTGACCTCCTGTAGCATTGAGAGAAAGGCTGACGAAACCACCAATCACGCAAAAATCCAAGGCGGAAGACTGGTTCTCTGGTTCTGGACGTCCGGAAGACATCCGCGGTTGGTTAGGTGGTATTGAAGCTGTGCGAAGCTGTGTGAATATTATCCTACAAAAGGCTACGAAATATTCACAACATCAGAAGACAGCAGATGTGATACAAGTCTGTCTATCCCCCCCCCCCGGGTCACTACGTAGGGCTGTCGGATTCACGTTGGTTGTTCGAGATCAGTAGTATCTTCAAATGGGCTTTATTCTCCCCTGGAATTCCCAAGAAAGACTATAACGACGATAAACGATGTGATGTGATGTGATGATATGATGTGATGCCAACATGCAAGAATGCAATATGCCTCTCCCCTCGCTCCCATCGCCTCCCCGGGCTGTCGTCGCCTCGTCTCCTCCCCGTAGACCGTACGTAGGCCGTAAACCTCAACCAAAAACTCCCCGCTGACCCATATTACTATCTATTATACAATACCGATGATGTCCAAAAATATTCACTTTATCTACCCCTCCCAACCATGCACATTACCACATCCAACACCCCATATCGTCACCCAGTTCACAGTTCAAACCTCCCCCCAACTCCCCATCCCCCCTCCCGCTCCCGCAATCACACTCCCCCCCTTAACACTCCCCGGCCCCTTGGGAAAATCCCAATAATGCCTACTCCCATGACTCACCCTCCCAGTAGCCGTCGACGCCCCGCTATTCCTTCTCTTCACACTGCCCCTCCCCGTCCTAGCAGCGCTCCTCTGCGTACTCTGACTAGCACAGCTCCCCGCCCGCTGCCTCATCACCGACACCACGGCTGCCGCCGCGGCTGCCGCAGCGTTGGTGGGGGAAGTGACGCTGTTGGGGCCTGAGGGGGTGCTGACTTTGAAGGTGCGCGTAGCGGGGGCGTGGCGAGGGCGACGATTGTGAGACATGAGGGGATGGTGTTGTCTCACGCGAGCGGCTTTGGCTGCTAGATCGGCTGTGGAAGCGGTGGCGAAGATGGAGGAGGAGGAGGGGGTCAGGGATGGTCCGGAGAAAGAGGTGGGCGAGGGAGGTCGGGAGGAAGGAGAGAAGCGAGAGCGGAGGTAGCGGAAGATGAGACCGATGTCGAGCGCTTGTTCCCATTCGTCTTGGGTGAAGGTTGGTTGTTGTTGGGGGAGAGAAGGGGTGGTGGTGGGTGGTGCTGCCCCTGTTGTTGAGGTCACGTCGGACGGGGCCGGCCCGGTGGACGTGGTAAGTTTGGAGGATGTAACTTCTGAGGGAGCGGGAGTGGCAGCGGAGGCCTGTCCTTGTTCGGAGACGACAGGGGCCGTGGCGGGCTGGGTCATGGTCGGTTTGAACTGGGGCATGTTGGATACCACATCGCTGTCTGTGCGGAAACCATCCTTGGATGAAGAGTCGTTGTTGGTGACGGCTGAGGCCTCGGGAATTACTGGTAGGCCGGCGTATGGGAGGGGTATTTGCTGGACCCGGGTGTAGGTGGAAAAGGCGCCGGGGTGGGGAGAGGTTGATAGTTGGTGAATCAGCACCCCGAGTTCTTTTGCTATCCGGTTTAGCATGCGCAACTGCCATGTCGAATCCTCGGACGTTTGTACCTGTGAGTCGACGTTTATAGTCGTGGATGCCGTAGGCGTAGTGGAGAGCTCTTCCTCGTCAGGGAGGGCTTCGCCTAGGAGAATGGCGAGGAGCCTATCGTCGACTCCTATCAGGTTGCAGATTGCCTCTCTTGTCCGCCCTATTATCCCTTCGCTTGCTTCCTTGTCGATCGCTTCTTTGAGCGTTTCTGTGCTGGCGGACTGAGCCTTGTATTCGTCATCGTGATCATGCCAATCATCGCTTGCGAGGCTTGCCGCATCGTCTTGCTCGAGCTGATGCAGCACGGTCGCGGCCTCATCGCCCGCGCTCCTGGCAGAGTTTACGGTGCGTAGAGAAGTCTGCGATTGCCTCCTCCTTGTCTCCTTTTTTATTCTTTCGAGCAACAGCTTGCTCTGCTCCAACCGCCATGCCTCTATCCTCCGGTTGCGCTCATTGTCTTCCACCTCTTGCCCGCCATATTCCATATGAATCTGCTCGAGCGCGTCGTTGCGACGCTGAATGCGGTTGGGGTTGAGTCGCTCGAACTGGTATAGTCGCTCTTGGATGTCGCTGCTCATACCCGGAGGCTTGAACTGAAACGAACCCATGCCGTCATGGCTGGGGAAAACGGGCATCGCATGCGCATTTTGCGGCGACTGCCCGAGAGGCGTTCGGAAGTCTGGAAGGTGGCTGTCGAGACTGTCGAACTCGGGATCCTCCTCCTCTTCTTCTTCTTCTTCTTCCTCCTCCTCCTCCGCAATGCTCTTCTCTTCGAGGAAATCCGAGGGCACTACCGAGTTGTCGTTTTGCGAGTTGAAGTCGGAACGGGCTGCGGTGTCGAAGCTACCGAGATCGCTAACCCGCGACCGGCCGGGCGTCAGCTGCTGGTCATCGTGGATAGAGTCGCTGAGGTAGGAAGCTGTCGTGCCGGCGTCGGTGCCGGGCGTGAAGAGAACCCATGTCTGCGACTCGCCCACACCTGTCGGTTGGGGCGCGAAGACGGCTGAAGAGCCATCGCTCGAGAGAAGGCGATTTCGTTGTTGCTGGAGCTGACGGGCCGGTTGGTGGAGGGCCATGGTAGGCGGTTTCGCGCTAAGTAACCCCTATCCTTATCGTCGTCCCAGGGGAGAGAGGAAAGAGTTGACCTTTTTGGTGTTTGTTTGCTTGGCGCAGGAATCAGGGGACTCGAAGGACAATAGGGCGTATGGGTATGAGCATAGGTAAATTATAGATGAATGACGGGAGGCGAACAAAGAGAGATAAGATGGATGGGTAGCTGACTGGAGGAAGGACGGGAGAAGGAAGATATGATGGATGGGCGTAAGGAGGAACAAGAAAGAAGAAGTTTGATATTTGCAGCTGCGGCTAGCCTGGAGGGGGTCCTAAGTGGAATGGTTCGGTTTGTCTAGGACGGCGCTTCCCCGGCCCAAGAAGGGCTCCGCAACTCGCAACTCGCTCGCTATAAGTTGGAGGTTGTTTTGTCGTGATTTGCTGTTTTCGCCAGCTGTGGTTGATAGCGGCAGCAAACTCAAATTGATAGGTAGCATCCACGGATGGATCGCCCCTAGAGCCCCGTAGCCTGTAGCAGCGGTATCTCCTAGCGTTGCATCAACCTAACCACAGATGTACGTGCTAATGCTGCCCTCTGCTTGCTGCTGCTGATGCTGATGCTGCACGGTATCACCGGTAGGTGTATGTAGGTACCTCTGTCGCAAATCAACAAACGAACCAATTTGTCTCGTTGGAGGCGGTGACGGAGGAACTCGTCCTGAAGAGAGCAATCGGATCATGAATGGATCCAGAATTTTAGGGCGAAAAAAGGGCGTGGCCGTGGGGTTCAAGTCCCGTCCAACCATTAGACTAACAAACCCCCTTGTCGTTGTCAGTGTCACTTTTCGAGGTTGGTCCTGCAGTAGGCTGAATGTTTGTTTCCCCTTCAGCTTGGCAGCTTCGTTGTTGACGTTGCCTTTTGGAGTGTTCTGCTGCTTCCAGTTGACAAGCTTCCGTCGTACGGTACTGCCGTCGATAGCACCGTGTACGAAGCCGTGGTGGAATGGAATCTCGCAAGTTTCTGATATTGGATCCTCTGTGCCTCTGTTCTCCTCCTCCAAACACCTCACTGTCTGCTGTACGCCAGTTGTGCAGAGTCGAGATATTGGATATTGGCCGACTTGCGTCCACCTGCGTGCGCCCCCTTTTCGTGTGACTCACCCTTTTTTTTCTTGGACTTCTTCCTCTTCTTGTCTGGAACTGGTCCAACTTCCCTTATCCGCGGCAACAATGGAAATTCAACCCGAAGCCTTGGTTTTCGTCAAAGAGAAAGTGTGCAACCGAAGCACGTCAGGGCAAAAACCAAAGCTAACGGCGGGTACTGACGAAATCAACAGAACCAGGTAGGAGAGCTCCTTGACCTGCTTGACTTAGGTTCCAAGAGAGAAGCTCTTCCTTGGGAGAAAGCGGAGAAACCTGGAGGTCGATCCAAGTCCATGTCCGCAACAGATTCACGGCATCGACACAAAGCACGGGATGTCATCACTCTGTGGGATTGCCTCCCAAGCCAAAGGTCACACGGCATGGTTGATCATGGATGCTTGTCCCTACGTGGTGGTTGCACTGAGACGACTGGTTAGGTCCTTGGTAGGTAGTCCATGAGGTCCCCTTGTCCCCCCTTGTCCCTCTCTTCTCTTCTCATTGTTTCAACCGCTGCAGTGCAGCACTGCAGCAGTTCAGCTTGGTTGTTTGAGTTTCCCCTCTGTTTCCCCCCCATCTTCCTCCTGTCTAGATCGCCCAGGGCCTGAGCCCCACCGGCTTCTGACCTCATCATGCCATACCATTGTGAAATTCGTCCCATCATTCTTCGACTCGCTCCGTCTCCCGTTTTACCGTTCCCGTTGCCTGCGATGGGAGTCAGACAGTCCCCCCTTCGAGCTCGCTGTTATCGGTGAGCAGTCTCTTGACTAGATCATGATTGGCAAAGGAGTCCATCCTGTCTGGACAGTAGATAGCTTGCCCAAACGGATAGACTGGCTTGCTCAGTCTCTTAAGATCCTTGGACATGGGATTTTGGCATTTCGGAAAGCTCTCAGCTTACACGGTCCCATGCTACGGTAGGATGTCTGGAAGTGTACAGTGCCTGCCACAAAAAAACGCCCCGTTTTTTTCACACCTTAAAAGGCCAAATCTCACCACTTTCATACACGGATAAAATGACCGTTTATAAAGATAAAAGCATGCCGGAAAAGATACAAATAGTTATTTACCCGGCAATACTTATAAAGAGAGTTGCCTTCCGTTGCAATGTAACGTAGTGGAGAGATTTGGTTATAAAGTTAAACGACGATACGGACTCGAATTTCAATCTACTAAAGTGCCCTATAAGCCCGCTATAACTTTTTCATCATCGCGACTCTAAGTTTGCATCTTCATTACACCACCACGAATGACTGAAATGAAGCCAAACCTTCCTAGATGTACTTAAATACTATTCTTATACTAAGCCTGGAAGTGCATCTTTGTTTTGATACCTTGAAGTGGTTAGAATCCTCGAGTGACGAAGTCGAGTTTCGCCCTTTTTTGCGGGGAAAAAAATCACGGGCCGTTTTTTTTGTGGCAGGGACTGTATTTTGGCTTATCGGCTTGCATGACCGCGCGCAATGAGAAAGTTAGTCCGTCTGCGATTAAAAGTTGGCGATAAGCCCCACTACACCCTTAAATGGGAACGGGACAAATCACCACCGAAGCACGGCCGGGGACAGGACGGGGAGCTGCGACGGGCAAGACGGGATGCGGTTCCTCAACAGCCGATGCATTGGCTGAGCTTGGGTTTCACCTTGAGGGGTCTTGATGAGGGCACCCCGTAGATCACTGACAAGTCCTAAGGTATCCTTTGGCATAAACCGATCCCTGGTTGCTGGTATCTTGGCTCTGTTGTGAGTTGTAGTGTAGCGAGTTTGTTGGTTCAATGATGCACGACATGTTTTGCTTTTTTCGAACAAGGTCGTGCCAGGCATCTCCCCAGATTTGATGACTTCTAGCCCATTCATGATCAACACTGTAGTCATGACTTCACTCAACGTTTGCGTGGCATGATGTGCAGTCCGGGGAACCGCCGAGCCTGTTGAGGAGCTGTGAGTTATCCCATCTATTTCCCATCATGAGCGGAGATATGAAGACGATAACCTTGATGGGCTTATCAGCAACTTATCTTTCTCAGACCCAGAAACTGTTTACCATGATGTCACTGACAAGATTCGCCTAGAATACGCAATGTCGTTTAGGTCTAGAATTCGATGCCTATGGAATCGCTACGGATTGGTTGCTAGCATAAGCCTGTGCCCCTATGGAATAGCGCCATGAGAGCCGATGCTTCCGAACCAACCGCCCAACGTGTTCCAGCGGCCGGGTCGCTGATTTGAAATCAACGCCTGCAATCGCCCCTTGGTCTCCCAAACGAGCCAATCCCATAGCAATCACATCCAACAGACAAACATCCACCGCTAGTCACTGAGAAGAGTCCTGGGAAAAGACGTAGGAAGATAATCGCGGTTTTGGTATCATCGTAAACCCATCTGGATGAATGGTGTATTGACTGTGCCAACAAGACCATGATGCTACTAACATGCCCTCATTTCAGCCCTAAAAAAGACCGTTGACGCCACCCTAAACCCAGAAACAACTCTTTGTCCCAGCGACAGACGTTTAAGCCTCGGTGGCGAAAGCCTCGGGGAAACGCTTCATGTTGCGCTCGAGAGAGCCGCGGTTGCCGAGGAACTGGACGTAGGCACCATCGATGAGGAGCTTGCCAGCAGCCTTCTTCTCGAGGTACTCCTCGCGACGAAGGGGAGTGAAACCCCAGTTCTTGGAGATGATGATCTTTTGGCGACCGGGGAACTTGTACTGGGAGCGGCGGAGGGCCTCAAGGGCGAAAGCCTTGTCTGTAGAGTGGGTTAGTATGACAATAGCGGCATGTAGAGGGACAAGAGTAGAACGTACTGGAGTCACGAGTACGGACAGACATGATGATCTGGCCGATGTTGACACGGGCGACAGTGCCGTTGGGCTTACCCCAGGCACCACGCATACCAGTCTGAAGTCTATCGGCACCAGCGCAAGACAACATCTTGTTGATACGGACGACGTGGTAAGGGTGGACGCGGATGCGGAGGTGGAAACCCTCCTTACCGGCGGTCTTGACGAGGTACTTGTTGGCGCAAATACGGGCGGCCTCGAGGGCCTCAGAGCTCAGCTGCTCATACTCGTTGGAGACCATGTGGATGCAGAGAGGGAAGTCATCGACGGTAGCGCGCTTGCGGCCAAGATCGAAGATGCGAATCTTGGGGTCGGGGACACCACGGTTGAAGCGCGACTTAGGGTACGGCTAGAAAGAGGGAGGGTGGTTAGCAAACTGGTGGTGTTGTGGTGATGTGAAGTGGTCGACATGTCGGTCGGTGATGATCTTGACCGACAGTGAATCCCTCCATAGCCATCGAGAACATCGAGTTGTCGCATCCCTCCTCTCCTTTTTCCATCAATCATTTCCTCCTCTTGCGATGTTCATCATCATCGTTGCCCATGTGCATCCACCTTCTAGTGCCTCCATGCCCAAGTCCTTCCTCCTCCCATCCGCAACCATCACCATCGATGGCTTCCCGCCCCACAAAATGCGAAAAATCGGTGTCTCGATGGCTATTTTGGCGTCGCAAAATTCGGGCATGAATGCTGCTCACCTTGTTCTTGCAGTAGCGGTAGCATCTCGCAGGACGGCGGGCCATTTTGACGGATTTCTGATGATGTCACGTACGAGGTCGTAGGTGGTTGTTCGTGGGTTGAGAGGGGGACGACGACAAGTGAAATCCTCTAACTTTAAGATCAAGGGGAGGCGATTTTGGCGGGCGATTACCAATCCAGCGCCAGAGTGGGAAGGCAGGCCGATCGCCTGGTCAGGTGCACGCCAAGCCAGAAAATGTGGGGCGTTAGGGCTTTGTGCCAGTTGCCCACCTGCCAACCCGTGATTGGCTTGACAGGTGAAGTGTGCACTGGCCTCCACTGCCGCAACGGGAGGGGACCTGAAATATTCGCGATGGTCTTTTTTCTGCTGAATCCTTCTTGAAGCCAGCGAACGACGACTTGAGACCTCACCACCAGCGAGACCTTGCCCATTTCCACGGTTCAGTTCACCGACAAAATCATTCGCAATGGCCCCCAAGAAGTCCAAGTCTGACGCCCAGAGCATTGGTGCCAAGGTACGTTTTCAATCCGGTCGCCGTGTGCGAAATCTGCAAAATCGTAAAAATAAACACCAGAATGCTGACGACGATGCCCTCTTGAACAGCTTGCCCTTGTCATCAAGTCCGGCAAGGTCGTCCTCGGCTACCGCAGCACCCTCAAGGCCCTCCGCTCCGGCAAGGCCAAGCTCATCCTCATCTCTGCCAACACCCCTCCCCTCCGCAAGTCTGAGCTCGAGTATTACTCCATGATGTCCAAGACTGCCGTCCACCACTACACTGGCACCAACGTAAGTTTGGCCCGATATCTCCTTGCAGCTGCATGGCAAAGATCGAAACATCTTTGCCTGCTTTTCTCTCTGTTCCCGGCCTGAAGATGCCCTCCGCGGCGTCTTCGGGTCCACCCAGAGAAGAAGTCTGTCTTCAGGCTTTGGAGGGTACCTGTTCCGTGGCTTACACATAACCTCCCACTACAGATTGAGCTCGGTACCGCCTGCGGTAAGCTCTTCCGCTGCTCCACCATGGCCATCCTTGATGCCGGTGACTCCGACATCCTCGCCGACCAGCAGCAGTAAATGCTGCGTCGAGTATCATCTTCTCGTTCGGCATAGGAATACGGCGTTCAGGCTTTGAAAATCATGGAAAAATGGCATGACGGCTTGATGAACCGGATCTGCGGCGGTGTCTACCGCTGTGCCTGAATGGGCAGAGGTCTCGCCCCAGGGCAACTCTCAATAGGCTAGTCCTTAAAATAGAAGACGAGTCTATCAAGATACCCAAGTGTTGTCCAACGCTGTCTGATCCCTTCTCCCAACGTGATATATCCGAATGTACGGTTTTCGACAAAGCGGCTTCGACCTTAACGTCTCCCGAGCGACATTCGTGTCAGGAAAAGGAACATGGCCAACCCCCCTCGATTTCGTGTGTGATATGTTTCTGCCCCCAACTGACTATGCGGTCCCTGAAGTTCACCCGAGTTTGACTCCTTCTCCATAGTCACTCCCGGTTTATTTTTTTCAATTCAGGAAGATTAAAATGTCCTATTACTCACCACGGGTTCCGTTGGCTTTTGCTATGGAAGGTCGAGGTCCATCATTTAGGTTTACATCTCCTCTCGCCCATGTCTGTTTATTGTCCTGCTGATCGATTCATTCCACCTACGATGATTTCTCCGACAAGCGATTATATCGAAACCGAGATAGCAAATAGAAGAATGTTTTTAAGGAAATTCGGGCCCAATATCTTTTGCTATAACAACGGGATAAACAACCTGGGGGTGTGACGGCGGTAGTGATGGTGCCTGTCATCTTGCGACAGTTCGCGGATCCCATCCCCGGCTACATATCACCATGGCCACCTCAAGCAGTCCGACCTTTCTACACCCAGCTCTCTACACAGAACTTTCTGCTCCGAGTCAGTCCTCAGCCTGGGAGCTTCTCGTGTAGATGCGATTCTGGCAGCGGCAGTCGATCACATCCTTGTTGCGATTGGTGTACGACGGTCATACAGTATTGACTTGGTCTTAAAGCAGAAGAAAGCCACCCACGGGAGTAAATCTCGCGTCGGATCTGTTCTTAATGGTCAACTGAGCTCATGTCATGCGTCTGATGAACCATGAATGCATCCACATATCGGCAGCACCGACGTGTCAAAGAAGTCGAGGCGTGGATCTTGTATTCTTCTTTTGTCAAGGGAATGTAGTCTTTCTCCCAGTCCGTTGCCGCCTCTACGTCAAACTTACAACCTTGATAGTTGCATTGACAGCGAAATTAAAACATGCACAAGGCATGTCCACCGCCGGTCCTCCCGTCTGGGGAAGATCCGGAGCCGTCAACCCTAAAACGTTCAAAACAAAAGGGGCGATTTTGTCCACTGGAGACGGGAAGCCTTTCATTCAAGCCTTGAAACGTTGAAGCGACATACTGACATATTAACTACCATGAGCGATCATCGTCATGGCAGATCAAAGGATCATGATGCTCTAGCAATGAGCCGAGCCGGAGATTTTGGGATAGGGGTTCTACTACATACTACTCATTTTAGTCGAGTTAGTCAGCCGCCCCCTTGCTTTGCTGATGGCCCGCTATCTTCCTTGTATGCTGTACCCCTGCTATTTTTGTTAGTACGGGACCATCACAGTTACGGTAGATGTCAACGTCAACTTTATGCGTTCTGCCATCGGGAAACGTCAAGAAGGATATCGAAAAGGATCAAGTGTCAAATATGTCAAATGTCTCGGAAGCTAGACTGCATACAGCCCACTACGTCAACGGCACGGCCCTGAGGATCTCAGCACAGCTACCTCTAACCTCTTCCCATGAAGACCACAAATGATGTAAGGAGGGGAGTGTGTTAGACATTCGTTCAGATCTGATCGGAGAAGAAGAGGTGTTCAGGATGAGAAAGACAAACATTACCGTCAGTCGTACTCACAAAAGCCTTCCTAGTGCTGTACAAAATATTCAAACAGCAATGGATATACGCCAGGGCTTCTGGAACAAGTCGGCCGCTGTTTTCTCCACTGGAATGGATCGAGCCGATATAACTTGGACGGGATTCTTCTAGGGTTCAAAACATTGTTCCTGCTCAACTACCCAACGATGAAGCCATGACCATCTAATTTCGAGTGCATGATGCACCCAACGTGACCGGGACGCATTGTTGCAGTGAGTCCCCTGGGGATAGGTATGCATGAACAATGAGATGTTGTTGTTGCGGTCCAGATATCGCATTCCAGTTCTGGGTTTCCAAGTTCTCAAGACATTGAATCTTCAAAGGAAAGGGCTATTACATACGTAGGTACTCGGATGGTGTATTCGGGTATCAAAGCGCAATGCGTACCTATACCGAGTACCTATACGACTGCGGTCAGACCAGACGACGAAACTCGAAACCAACACGAAGTTGACTCGGGCCGTTTCTGAACAGGGAAGCAGTGCCTTTCGAGTTGACCCATTGACACGGACACGGCGTAACAAGAGCAATGGAATCCGATCAATAGATTGGTCAGTCAGGGAGAATTTCGGATGATATTCTTTTTGGGCAGCACATCTACAAGTATACCCAAAGATAGACGACGTGTGTCACACCAGAAATGCTGCGCTGCTCCCTACTTACCTTCTTCGGCTATTTTACGTAGTTTGTAAGACGGCAAAGTCAACACACACAAGTGTCCGCCTCGGATCGGGGCTCACCGTGTGGCTTTGCTTGCCATCCATCCGTCACTCAGGAGGCGGCCGGCTTCTTACACAACGGAACTGCGAATCCAATGGTAGAGCAGAGGGACCGAGGCGAGGGATGGATAGATTGACGTTCCCACGTTTCTTTCGGACATGGACCGAAATGGCACCCGCTTTTCACTAACGGGACCTGACGGTTGCTCCGCCTGCGGTGTGTGTTTTGCAGGGGAGCTTGTTAGTGTACTTCTGTTATGTACCTAGGCACCAGGGGAAAGAGAAGACCGAAGAGGGGACAGGCCTGAATCACGGACCAATCCCTTTTTTTCGCCCGCTTCAAGTTGCTGGAGACCTTCTGGAGCCTGTGATCCATCGGGCCCATCACCCTTTTCTCGACCCTTTTGTGAGAATGGATGGATGGGGATGCAAGACGCCACTGTGCTTCTATTCTGAAACAACCTACATGTCCTCTTTTGTTTTAGTTTCTGGATTTGGCAACTGTTAACTGTCAAAGAAGAGAAACGTGACATCTTTTTTTTCTTGAACTTATTCTCACCAACCGCTGCAACCACTCACTGCAAGCAACTGCATCCATCAGACGTCCAATCTTTCCACAAAAACAAGTTGAAGAAAGGGGGCCAAGCACTGCAAGCGCGCACGCATACATGCTACTGCAGGCGCAGAATACCACCTAAACTGCATGCCAAGTCAACAGGGGACCCTCTTTACCTGCAGTCATTCCCCCCCAACAAGGGAGCAAGGGCCCCCACCGCCAGTTCGATCGCCCTTTCGTTCCAACGGGAATCGTTCCTTTTGCTACAACATCCAAACTTCTCTACACAAACAACCTGAACGGTCTTTACCACCTGTTGCCTACCCTGCTAGAACACCCATCTATACCCTCGAATCGCAGTTACAACACCACAACCTAGCACAAAATGGCAACCGTCGTCAAGAAGCCGCCAGCGTCATCAGGCCGGGAAACACCAACGGGATCAACGCGCCCGGCCGCCAGAGCCTCTACGCCCTCGTCTGCTTCCACTGCCTCCAGCGTCGCCCGCACACGCTCTATACGATCAGGAACCCCAGTTTCAGCCCGCGCTGCCGTCTCGCAAAGGCGCCAGTCTGTCCTAAGCAATGGCACCAACAATATCACCAAGGAGCCGTCAGCAGCAGACCTCGAGCGCGAGGAGGCTGCCCGCGCCGAAACCCTGGCCATCATAGAAGATCTCAAGGAGAGGCTATCCAAGGCCGAGGCCTCGTCAGAATCCCACAAGCGCCAGATGGACGTCCTGCAGAGCAGGTTAGACGACGCGACCAGGGAACAGGCCAAGCTGGAGGAGAAGGTGCACGAAAATGAGGAGCAGATCGAGGCGCTCAAGAACGAGAAGCGCGAGATCTCCCGTCAGATGCGCGAGATGGAGAGCATCTACGAGGCTGAGCGTAGCGCCATGATGAAGGAGAAGGACGAGATGGCCAACCGCGAGGAGGAAATGCAGACTGTTATCCAGAGACTCAAGGACAGTCTGGCCCAGAGGGATGAAGAGGGCGTGAGGCACGCGAGGCGACCTTGTGAGTTTACAAACACTACCATTTTTTTCCCTAAACCGTATTCGCTAACCCGTTGCTCCAGCAATCGCTACCACAAGCAGTTCGCAAAATCTCGATAACGGAAGCTTTGCGCCCCCTTCCTCGATCCACCGCAGTAACTCACAGAACAACTCGAAGCTGTTGCTCCAGAAAGATAAACTAATCGAATCGCTGAGGCTCGAACTGGCCGAGGCACAGATCAAGCTGGTCGAGTCCGAAAACCAAGGGGGAGGGCGTCTGCGCGAGGTCGAAAGGCAACTGATGGAGGCGCGCATGGCCAATGCCAGGCTGATGGAAGACAACGAGAGTTACCAGCTCCTCCTCCAGGAGAGGACATTAAAGGGCGACTTCGGCACCAGCGACTTCAGCTACATGGGCAACTCCGCGAACCAGGATGCCCTTGCCGCTCTCGAGGGCAGGTCAACAACCACCGGCCCAACCAGCCTGGCCGACGAGCTCTCCGATATGGTCGAGCACGAGCCCATCCAAGAAGTCGACCAGGAAGCCCAGAAGCGCCTCGAAGGCGAACTCAAGACGGTCAAGGATCAGAATAAGGCTCTGACCTTGTACATCAACAAGATCATCGAGCGCCTCCTGTCGCACCAGGAATTCGAGCACATCCTCGACCAGTCCAACGACTTCAAGTCACCTTCTTCCGCGGCGCAGCCCAACACCAACAAGGAGCTGCCCCCTGCCCCCGCCGGCGGCGCCAGCGCCAACCTCACCCAACGCGCCAAGTCCATCGTCACAGGCGGCGGTCCCATGGGCGCTGCCGCCGCCGCGCGCGTCCGCCCGCGCCCCATGTCCTTCATGCCCCAAAGCGGCGGGCTCGGCGTCAGCTCGGGCGTCTCCAGCCCCATCACCACCAACCCGGACACGGCGCCCTCCATCCCCATCGGCCTCGGCCGCTCCGTTAGCGGCGCCGGTGCTCGCCGCGGCCGCCCGCTAAGCGAACAATACGGCCCCGGCGCCAGCGTCGCCAGCGCCATGTACAACAAAAACACGGGCGTCGCCCCCTCCTCCGCCAGCCAATACTCGCTGGACGCAGCCGCTTCCCCTCTATCCCCCACCATGCGCACCTCGGGCGGCTCCTTCTTCACCTCTAACCCCAATCGTTCCTCGACATCTACCTTCCCCGGCACAGTCCGCAACAGCGAGACCTCGTCCGATACGCAGTCCATCCGGTCTTCCATCACGGGATACGGTAGGGAAGACATGTCGACGCCCAGCCACAGCCCGCCGAGGAGCCACCATGAGAAGCCGGCGACGACGTTTGCGGGGAATAAACCGCGCCCGCTCAGGCTGGTGCAGGAGAATGCCGCAGCGGAGGAGGCGGCGAGACAGCAGCAGGCGCAGCAGAATAAGAGGACGAGCTGGATTGGGTGGGCTTTCGGTGGTGGTGGAGGTGCGGGTGGGAGGAAGGATAGTGTGGCGGGGGAGGGGACGATGGGTGGGGAGGTTATTCAGGAGTAGAGGGAGTAGTAGATGATTTGACTTCTTTGTGAAATCTGGCTTGTGATCTATGCGAGTTGGGCTTAGATATGAACTTGAGCTGTTTCGGGAGTTTTGGGGGAGCTTGGTGTTGGAGACGGGACGGGGAATACCTAGCTATTTACTTGCCTGCCTATCTTTACTATACCTAACCTTATCATTACTTGGGACTTGGGAGTTGCTACTAGTCTAAACAGGGTTCCAGGATAGATAGAAAGAAAGGAAGAGGAGGGAGGGATGGATGTGAGAAGAAATGGAAGGAGTATGGAAGAGAACAGAGGAAGAAAGATATCAAAAGAATAAGACAACTGGGAAGATTTAATGACGTTGGTTACTATATAAAGGAAGATTACCCTACTGAGATAGAAGAACTATTTGTTTCTAGGCACTAGACCTACTACTACTACTACTACTACTGCTGCTACATCAGATGAATGGATGGATAGATGGCAAACTACGGAACTAGCAATGCTACAGAGCTGAGAAAACCATGATTGCAAGTGAAGAGTTGATGCGCTTTCACACTCGATATAGAACTCCATGACACAGCAGGTAGGTCCAAAGGGGAAGTCAAAACTCGTCAAGGAAGAACAATAACAGTAATGGTGACTTACTTAAGCCCCTCTCACCCGCTTACATAGATAGGTGGTCTGTGTCTGTGGTCTGTAATCCGTGTGACCTTCCTCAAGTCTCAACCTTCAGGCCAGTAGTGAAAGCAAATACAGGTAATAAACCATCCATCTCTCGAACGGCCTATCTATCTAGGAACGGATCAATCGACGGGTACCTCACAGCTTCCAGCTTCTGCTACCTGCAGTTCATGAAGCATAACAGCACTACTGACACCAAACAAACACCAACCAAGTTCATGAGTGAGCCAAAAACCAGTTTCGAAGGATAACCTCGAACTTGAAGTATACGCCACATCTCGCGTCTGGTTTTTTAATAGTAGTCTACCAAGGTGTATCGAGGACGTGTGTGCCCTCGTAAGTTTGTAGCCAGCCGATGCGATGGGTCAGCGGCGATGACACACTCAATAGGTAATTGCCCACCACCACACACAATACAATGTTGTAGATATCATGTCCTTCAAAAGGTTTCCTACTACCTACGTAGGTACTAACTAGTGTAGCCTTACGTAGTAAGTTAGTGTACTCCCTGCCCAGGGCAGTTCTTGTTTCCTTTTTGGTTCAGTTTTATTCCCCCTTCCTTTCCCCCTTCCCCCTTCAGTTTCCTGCTTCACCCTTCCGTTCCGTTCCCTTCCGTCCGTTCCGTTCCGTGCTCGCTGGATGTGTGGGTGGGTTCAGTTCCGGAGGATGGAAGGATAGAAGGATAGAAACCCTCAAGGTAAACAAACGCCAGTCAGTCAGTCAGTCAGTCAGTCAGTCATGCCTGTGCTGTCTGTGCTGTGCTGTGATGACTTTTACAACCATTACACCGACCGAGATTTATAAAGGAAAAAAAAAAGAATCCCAGGAATTCAAGTTACACGTACGTATGCTTGATGTTTAGGCTGATGTCTATAGAGGCTGATTGATGCCTGTCTAGGCTGATACTTGGTTCTATGAGCTCGATTCGATGTTTCATACTTGTGAATTGCTGCCTTAAAACCTTTCTTTCGCTTGATACTCATGATCGGGCGGTTCTTCCTTTGAGGCTTCCTTAGCCTAGTTCTAGACTTCTGACTCTTCAGGAACCCTTCTGAAGCAACGGTGATGTGATGATTATACATAATCCATGATTCAAGTCGAACGGCTCTGTTCTCTAAAATGGTCTACTCTACCTATTCCTGACGGCCACAAAGGGACTAAGGGAGGCTCCATTGTATGATGGGTTGATGCAGACTATATTCATCGTAATGCTGCAATACAATATGCCTGGCTGGGCTGGTCATCAGACATAAAGGCCCATTGATAACAACGTAACCATGTTCTAGGCTAGCAGTGGTGTACGTAAAGTCATGTTAACAAATAACACGGTCTAAGGAGGTAGCGTGGCATGGCTAGTATCAGTGAAGATATATGTCTGTCACTCTTGTTCATTTCTCCTACATGCGTACCTACGTACGCTTTGCCTTGGGCGAAGTGCCCCCATACGCTTTCCACTAACCTGACTCGTCTCCGTGTCTGCTGCTCACAAGATCGAGAACAGTCTAGACGGAGTTCATGTCACCAAGGCTAATTCGACATTCTCCTTTCGCCTTTTCTTCCACCGATCTGAGAAACCCCAGGTCACACGTCTGCCTCTTACGGTAGAGGACAGAACATGCCTTGATATGACTTACCCCTTACAGTTGAACATCTCATCCGATGACCAAACCTATTCATATCAACCCTCTCAACTCCCTGAGTCGAATCCAGATAGACCGCCAAAGGAATGCGTGGGGGACTCTATCAAGTCCTTCAGTGAAACAGCAACCATAGAATCCTACCAGAGAGCTGTTAGACAGCGGACATCACACATATCCGTCTACCTACATATCAACCGACAGCTTCTTAGGTTCCTTCAAAGTCAGTCAGCAAGCCATTTCTCAGACGAACGACCCGATAGCCAGTGAAAAGGACGGGTTCCTGCGCATATGATCACATCCAGAAGCAGGGCGGATGGATGGTTAAAGACAGTGTATGGGATGATGTATGCGACTCTGCTGCTTGCTGCTGACATGTACATGACGAGCAGCAGACGCAGCAAAAAGCAGCAGTAGACCGGCAGTATGCAGCCGTGGAGGCGTTGTCGTTCAAGCGTCGTCGTCGAACGGGAGTCCGTTCCGTTGGGAGCAGCTATGTGGGGGGAAGGAAAAGAACGAGGAATGCTAGAGGCGACCTCTTTGACGGGATTGGGCCGAATCGGATTGGATATACATATGCAGTGTCTTTATGTAGGGAGATAGTACATACATATCTAATGTGTAAGTGCTCAAACTGATATGCAAGGCGGATCGACTGGACCCCATGACACGAACGGTTGTGCTGTGGTTGTTGAATCAAAGTTGCAATCCAGAGACACTGAAGAAAATCCCTTCCCACACCTTTACCACGTGTCAATGAATCGCTGGCATACTGCGTAAGATGGAAATAAAAGAGGCGGGGGTATCTCTTAAGATTTCGAGATATCCCGCAACTGTGCGCTTTGTCCGCTCGTTTTCTTGGTCCGGCTTACTTCGGGACGCGGCTTCAGGGACGGAGCGGACCATTCCTTCTGCCTGAGCCCTCTCAACTCTTGACTCTTGATCCTTGGTTACCCACCGAGGGCGTTACACCGCGAGAAGATGTCGTCAGCTTCAAGGTGGACCAGCTAAGATCCTATAAAGCCGTTCCTTTACGGCGTGGGTTACAGCCTTGCCAGCCCAACAAAGGCACGAGAGGGGGAAAGGCCGAAAGCCCTCAAATGGAAAGTCCCACGTAGAAATAGGTCCGTGGGGAAGCTACCCAAGAGAATGGGGTGGTGGCGTGCAGAGAGGCACAAGAGGGTGTGCCACCGTCCACTTGGCCGGCTGTGAGAGGCTAACCTCTTTTTCTTACGCCGCGTTTCCTGGGCCACCAGACACCAGTCGACTACTACCTTTAGGTGAGGGTTGCGGGGGGATGTGCTAAGGCTGTACTTGGTAGTGTAGTAGTAGTAATCGGTGTGATGTCGTGTGTTGTCTCGGGTGCTAGGTAGCCTGGGTAGTGTTATGGTGTTGTCGGTGCCCAAAGCTGGGTGAAGCTGGACCGGATCAGGAAGTTGTGCAAGAACCCTTTGAGTGAAGCTGTGTTTGAGACCCTGACCGAGTTCTAAGCCTCAATGGCCGCAACGGCCGCGATGGCCGCTCAGATGATGTGACTGAGTCTCAGATGAGCGTTGATCGGCGAGAGCAACGGCCGCTTGATGTCTTTGATATCAACCCGGGGCATTCAAGAGATCAGCACGCTGCGTCGAGTTTACCTTACCCGTACCGCAACACTGGGTTCAGGCGTCAAGCACAAGTCAGCATGTCAGGCCACGCCAGGCCAGGCACCCGAGCTGTCCTTGCCCGTGTCCCTCTTTGTGTTGCCCAACACTGACAGTAAAGAAGTGCCGGCGTCAACCGTCCGTGATCAAGGTCAAGGGATGTCGTGGCTGAATCGGTCCTAGTTTGTAACAAACCCGGAGAGATGATTCCGCTTGGGATCGAATGTTTGTGTGGACCAGAGAGGAGCCAAGCTCTTGGGGGAATACATGACAAGAATAACACATCGGGGTGCGAGGGGTGTTGCCCGTGGAAGCACAGCATCGGAAGCGAAGGGAGATTGTCTGCATTTGAACAACAATACCGTACCTCCGCCAATGCGCAATCTGTTCCAATCTAGTCCACATCAACGGTCAAGTCTCCGGTGAGCGCTTGGGGGAGCACAACAGGAGGGACATGTTTCCCATGATGAGCGAACCAGCAAATGGGAAATTCGATATAAAGAAGGTTGGGTGGTGCGGATGTCATGGAAAGAGGTAGCGTGCTAACAAGTTTCGAAGAAACGACGACACCCTCTCACCAAAAAAAACACCAAACACCAATATCAGGGCAAGGCAGGCACAAGGTCGCAACCGTGACAGGCAGGACAGGACAGACAAGAAAAAGAAATGGGAGAGGGACAGTGAAGGCCACCCACGCGAGTCCGGCCTGTCGGAAGGGATGTGAGAGACGTCATCGATCGAAGGGAGGAAGAGAAAAGACCGACCCGAGGAAGGCAACGAAAAGGTCAGCCGAAGAAGGAACTTGAAGCCTGTGCCTGTGATGACTGATGACAAAAGGAAGGAAGCAGAGAAGGAGGAAGGAGCCGTCAACCGTCGACGGAAGAGCCGAAAAACGGCCAGGGGCAACTCGGGTCGGGTGCGGCCGATGTTGATGGGAATGTACAGTCACCTGTGGCAGGCTGGTGGGTACCTGGCACGCCGCTCCGGCCATCACTTTTTAGCAGCGAATCCAAGAAAATCATCCGGCCCCCGCGGTACCCACTCGTGCTCCGGATGTACCGTGTCCTGCACGCACATCTGACACACATGACGGATGATGGACGCTTGGCTCCATCGCCAGGCCCTGGTCATTTTTGGAGGAAGGAATGGAAATGGAAACTCGGTCCATCTGGAGAAGAATTTTTCACTCTGGATGTGACTATGACCAATTTCCGATTTATAACGGAAGGAGGCATTGCGACATTTTTATGATGGCGGTCGATCAGGGGAACCGAACTCCAGGTATTCCAACTCTGGAGGGTAACCTTCATATGGACGGGTATCCGATCTGGGTGTACATATCCGGAGAATTAGACCAGCTCAGGCACCGAAGTGAAAGTGGAAAGGCAACCTGGAAAAAAGAGACGACGGAGGCATCATCAGAGTTACCATCCGTCCGGCGGCGGCGGGACCTGAAAATGCGCACGCCGCAAAAAGATCTTTTTTCCTTTTTTATGCAGTAGTCCGAATAAGTACCCGGACCCGGTAGAGGTAGCTGGCAGTTTTCCCGCCCCTGGTTTACTTCTCGTGGATTCTATTCTCGTTCGTGTGTTTGATAATCTGTGTCGCCATAAACATCCAGCTGAGACACTTTTATTGTTGCTCTTTCACTGTCCCATTAATCAGGAAGAGAACCATCAAGGTACAAGTTTGGGTTGACAAGAATTCAGGTTCAGCGTTGGTCCCCGCATAACTCTTGTGCATGTGCACACGTAAAGTGGAAGAAGCAGCACAATGCTCGTTGGCAATCACTTTGCACACACAAGATAGAAAAACTCAACAAAATCGGTCATCAAAGGATTCGCCTTCAGATGATATGAGTGTGGAAAAGAGATTTCAGTTCTCGCTGACAATGAACCAACAGGATTGGAAGAGGGTAGTGGCCCTACATACTGTCGCATTAGATAGCGCTAACCAAGAGCTGCCTAGCAATGCCTAACAGACGTGCGTGCGTGCACAAGACGTATGCGGGCCAGGGCATGTGCTTTGCCGTCTCTGATTGGCCGGATGTGCATCGTTTCTGTCGCATAAGGTAAGGCCGCAACAAGGCGTCTTTCAATGCACTATCAGCACAGTATGGCGGTTTCTACATTTATTAGGTAAACGGACACCTTCACCAATGGTCTGGGCCATGGTCACGGTGGCCCAACAGAAGGACATCATCCACTTGTTCATTCGTGATCGTGAGGTGACGAGACTTCAATCGTGAATGGACTGCCTGGGAGTGACTAGATGGACAGTGCCAGTGGGTACTCGTCAGGCCTGTAATGGGAATAGTTAGCCGACAACCTTTGAAGTCCCGCGCAGACTGCCTGTACTCTGGTTGCTGGTTGCTCTTGCCATCATATACTCTTTCCAAGTTTTGTTTTCGTCTCGAGTTTCCAAGTCTCCGAGCGTCACCTTGTTCAAGTTGTCACTTTGCTTGTCAGTGTCATCCCATGTTCAATCCAAACTGTGCTCTTGTCATATGCCAATTGATCAACAACAACACCTCTAGAAAAAGTCAGCGATAACATCAGTTCCCCTAGAACCTTGTTGGGTTCATCTGCGCCGAGCTTAACTCTTTTTTTCTTTGTGCATGCGCCCATCATTGCCTGGATCGTCTGGTTACATCAAGCGGAAGGCCGTTGCTCGATTAGTTATATCCGCCCGTTGACTACTTGTTTGGTAGTAGAGGTCCCGGTCCCTCCACTGATCCCGATCACAACTCCCCAGCATCATCGATAACCGAGCGACTGTCCTGCTTCCCGTCTTCTCCCAACAACCACCACCACCTGGCTGAGCCCGAATCCATACCACGAATTAATCACACCTCTGTTGCGACATTGCGTGCGACGACAGAACCCCCGACTGTCGATCCGGACATGACGCCTCGTCCTTCTCCCTAGCAATTGTAGCTAATATCACATCTTTCGGAACACTCATCAAACACTGTTCCTGGCTTGGTTGGCATGTGTGATCCGAAACAGTCCCCATCCCTTCCGTCGTCGGTCTCCCTCTGCCTCCCAGCAGCCGGCTGCCCGCCGTCAGTACAAACATGGACAAATCACCAAACATAACGACTTCGACGAAGCGGTCCCAGATCCCGACTACAGCACCTGCGAATCCCCAAAAGACCGTGACCCATGCCGGCCAGCAGGCGCATGCGCAGGCACAGACAGCCCCGTCGTCGAATCCACTCCCCACGCTGTCCCGCGAATCCACTTCCAGCTCCGCGGCGACCGTCAATCCCAGGACCGATTCATGGCCTTCCAAGCTGACTTCGCAGACCTCGGCCACGTCTGCATCCTCCGTCTCCCGCGCTTCGTCCGTAGCTCCCTCGCCCTTTGCCTCGCGCGAACCCTCTCCCACGAGACCTCTCAACCGCGCACACACTACCCATAATACCACCGCTGCGTCATCGCGAGCGCCTTCACGCGGACCTGCTGCTGGTGGTGCTGTCCCTCGATCGCGCAACAACAGCCTCCAGGATCCCAGTCCTTCGAGATCCACGAGACCAGGCAGCATATCCTTGTCTACGACCGGCTCAAGAACGCTGTCGTCGGCCACAACGCCCACCTTCCTCCCCGCTGCGACGGATCGGAACGTCAATGCGCCCGCACCCCCGTCCAAATCGCCAACTGCTCAATCACAATCACATTCGACTGGTGGCCAGGATCCTTTAAAGTGGCCCGTGTCCTCTAGACTGCGATCTCCTCCACCCATCCTCACCAAGCCGCCAATCCTCGGTCCGCCCAGACGACAGGATCAGGCTCCAGACATCTCTCCTTCCACCGCCGTTCAACGACAGACACCGTCCTTTTCCGCCTCAGAATCTCAGTCGGACACAGACGCGGACGATCTCACTCCAACCCAGCCCGGGGCAAGAACTCCCGTCCGCGCTGCGGGAGGGAGCACGTCCATCCTCGAGACTGTCCAGGAAGTCAGTCCGTTTGGTTCTCCGAGAGCCTTTGAGCAGTCAATGGAGGAAAAACTGGGTCACAGGCTCATGTCCGAATCGACCGTACCATCAGATATTGGTGAATTCTCTCGTCAAAGAGAACTAGCGGGAAGATCGAATTCAATCATGACGGAAAGCGGAGCGGAAGATGCTACCCCGATCGAGGCGGTCCGCCGAAGCGGATCGACCAGTGCGCCGCCCCTGACGTCAAGGCAGTCGAGCACATCAGTCCGGCCACCTGCAAAGGGCAAGCTCGGCGAGGGTTCTCAACAGAGCATGACGGTAGAAGCCGAAACGGTCACCTCGATCCCCCAAGTCGCCCTCGCGCCAGGAGTAGGAGTGCAGCCTTCAAGTCTCAGTCTGCGCACGAAACCCAGCACGGAAACGATCCGCCCCCCCAAGAAAGAAAAGAAGAGGACGGCACGGAAGCAACCCAACATGACATCTGGCACTGGTGAGACAAATCAGTTCATTTTACAGCCACGGCTTCGGCATCATCAAGCTACGAGATCAGTTTCCTCGGCTACCGAGATGTGTACTTCGCCAACGAAGTACCACCATGGTCCTCCGCCGCCTGATGAAGCCAGCAGGCACATATTTCCTTCTCGGTCTCCCGAACCACGGAGCCAGAGTTTTGTAATTCACCAAGTGAGCAACTTACTGACTAGACATCGCCCAGCATCATCCAAGGCCGACATCTTTGAGGCAAAGGTAGCGAGCGCAATTGAGGAAACTAACTCGTCAGACTCGGACGAAACATTTGTCTACGACTCCAACCCTCCCGACCATCCCAGACCACCCCGTTATCACTCTAGGACACCGAGCGCGGCATCAATAGTCAGCCAGCTGAACCGTACTGATATGCGCTCCATCCACCCCGCAATGATGAACCAGGAACAACCTATCGGGGTAAAGCGAAGCATGAAGTTTGTGAATTCTTACAATCCCAGCATTAACGAAAGTGTTGGCGCCGAAGAGGACGGCAAGAGCACAACCGGGAGGAGCACAGCAGGATCAGCCAGGGGAACGTCAGGGCGACGCCATCACTATGGCCGATGGGGTCGCAATGGGGGAGGAAACGGGCATCCGTCGCTATTCGCCGAACAATCACCGTTCAGCGGAGCTATAAACTCGGGAAACAACAATTCACGACAGTCATCAGGTGTTAACAGCCCCCGATACTTGAGCCGGAGCAACCTCCATGCTAAGAGCAGCCGGGGAACGCATCTATCGGTTGGTTACGATCTCGACGACAATACTACTAACGCCGACGACGAAACCACGCCGTTGATACAGTCTGGAACAGTACGATCATCACGGTCAGCACGGAGTCGGAGGAACGGCTTGCACTCGCTACGGTCCATGGAATCGGGCACGTATCGACAACCACCGTCCTTTTTGAATCGGTTCGCCAGTTGCCTGGTCTTGACAGTGATGTTATTGCTTGTCGTTTCGGGAGCGATCGGGTTCATGTTTGCGACGTCCCAGCCGCTTACCGATATCGAGCTAATATCGATGGACCATGTCGTTGCGAGCGAGCAGGAGTTGATGCTCGACCTCACGATCAGGGCGAAGAATCCCAATGTGGTGGTTGTGGTGGTGGATGCGGCGGATATCGAAGTCTTTGCCAAGTCGCCGCATGCTGGCACCGACTCGGAATGGTATCGGACTCACCCTGGCGACATGCCGCCTCTGGAGAGCAGCAAGGAAGAGGTACGAATAAGCAAATCAGGAGATCTAGTCAAGATCCTAGACGACCCGCCAAACGACCAACCGCCCGAGGAATCATCCCCCAATATGCGCCTCGGCACCATCACAGGCTTCAACAGCGCCCTGACCTTCGAAGGCTCCTTCTTCCACCAGGGTCTGTCCACATCTATGGGTGAAGTCCGTCTGAAGAACCCCGGCAACGTGACAGTGGGCGGAACTGAGAGGTGGGAGCGTATCATAGCGGATGACTTTCAACTCATCATCAAGGGTGTGCTAAAGTATACCCTGCCGCTGAGCCAGAGGGTCCGAACGGCTGCGATTTCGGGGAAGACCACGGTCAAGGCGAATGCGGCCAATGATCGGGATCCAAGGAAGCCGCCGGAGCAAGCAAAGCCGATAGAGGATGTTGGCGGTGGCGGTGGGAGAATTGGAGGTGATGATAACGACCACGATGACGTTTCTATTTCCTTTCAATGAGTTTCTGAAAGAGGAGGGACCAATGATAGAGAACTAAGTCCCCTTCCCTGAACAGGGGCAATACCATGACATGAGACGAACTCGATACGAATCTTTCTACTGGTTTCTTGATAAACAAAAATCAATACCCACTATACACTACACTACACTGCTGCTCAACGCAGACTACACATTTTCCTTTGTCGGAATATCTTTATGAGGGGAGCAAGCAGGCACTATCACCTTTTCTCCCTCAATCCATGAGGTGATGGTCACTTCATCAGTTCATCACTTCATCCCTGTATATTTCTCTCTGAGCGTCGTTCAAGTTGCATAGCATCGGGGCATCATCTGTGGTACGGGTTGTATGTATGTATGTTATCTCTTCATCTTGTTTCTGAGCGTTTATGTGCGTGTTGGTGATGATGGTGATGATGTTGATGAAGTGTCTGTTTGTGGGCGAGGTACGGTGACTTGGGCAAGTGATGACCATAACGAACCAACATGAGCTCTTACTCCGCTGTCTTTTTCTTTATCCTACTAGTATCTACTTCATATTGGGACCGGATTGCAAGAAGACACGGCAGGCGGGCAGGCAAGGGGAACTATTCTAGAAAGGAAGGAACAGGGGACTTACTACAAAGATAAAGAGGAGGAACTTAAATGGAATAAAGGGAAAGAACAAAACAGGGATAAGAGGGGGAAAATAAAATGACAGGGGGGCAGTGGAATGGAAGGAACGAAGAGAAGGCAAAAATACAGGGGGCAAACACAAAGAGGAAGGAAGGAGCAACCACGACATGGAAGAGTTCTCATTTCGGACTGGAGACGGGGAGTCTTCGCGAACAAATTGGAATTGATGCGAGAAGCCGGGCAAGGATGGAGATACCCAGGCAGGCAAGTAAAAGCACGGAGCCGGAGAGTCGAAAGACAAATGGAGTCGAGGTATTACAGGCATGAGTTGAATCGTTTTCTACACTATTTATCGGATTCAATGCTGCCTCCTCGTGTATCACTGTGATAACTTCTTACCTCCGAGTCAAAAGAGGCTGTCGAACTTCCCCCCAACAAAAGCTTAGGAGGATTCAGCAAGGCCTCTCAAGCCCAGCCGAAAAAGACATGGATATATCGAGAATACTTACTTGCGTTTGATACAGAAGTGCAAAAAAAGGAATCCGCAAACAGAGTACAGCCGGCATGTGGAATCTGCGCATGAAAATAAAGACGAGGAGGGATGTTTCTTTTGTGTTACCGAAACTAACTATGGGTGAAGGTATGTTTGCTCATCCGCATTTTCTTACATACCCAGGGTATAATAGCAGGGACATGGATGGCCACATGGGTTTCGCATCATGATGGAAGCTCGCATGGGAAGCGGGAAGAAGTATGGCTTGGGCAAGGGATTAGAGGCTTGGACAAGGGATTAGACGAACTCATGCAATGTGAAAGAGTGACGACAGGATGGTGGGAATGAGGGAATGTGGCTTTGTTGCGGGATGTGCTGGAGTTGATTAACTTTCTTTTTCTCTTCTTTCTTTTTGCTTGTAGGTAGTCTCCTCCATTTGGCCTTGTATGTCTTTGCCATTTATCTTAGGTCCTCCTCGCTCTTTTGGGTTTTCTCCCATTTGCGTCTTTTTGCTCTTGTCTCCTCATCCTACTCTTTAGTAAGGAGCTGGACCAAGTCCGTCGGCAATCATCGACATCAACGCTGAGATTCAGTTCTCACTACTTACTGAACAGCCCTATACACTTCGATCTCAGCCAATCTAGGTCTGCCCCTCTCAAGGCCTATACCAACACCCCAAGCCAAACCCATCCAGAAGAACAACCCAATGCCCATCATCCCCTCCTTCATCCTTTCTCTTATCCCTTCAAACTCCAACTCCAACTCCCAAAACCAGAACCACTCCTCCTCAAGCCCAAGCTCAGACCAAGACTCAGACATCATACCAGCCGGCACTGTCACTATCCAACAAACCTTTAACAACGGGCAACAGATCCCCCCAACCATCACCGAGCCTCTCAACATGGTGGTGCCCATCACCAAACTCAGCATGAAACCCCTCAACGCAGAGCCCCCCAAAACGGAACCCTTCCCATCTGTTGTTGTTGCCCAGCCGATGGAGATCACTTCGGCCCCTTCGGCCCCTGTCCCGGCTGCTAATGCTAATGGCACTGCCAATGCTTCAACGGCGCCACCAGAAGCAGTGTCGACGGGTGCGGGGACGGGAACGGAGACGGAAAAGGGTGTGAAGAGGTCACAGTCCAAGAGACTTAGCAAGAACCCGGGCCCGGGCCCGGGCGCTAGCAAGAAGAATACGCAGGCGTATAATGCTTTTTGGAGGAAGTTGATTGGGATTACGCCGAAGGGTGCGTGATAAGGGGAAGGGGAAGGGGAAGGGTAGATAGAGGTGGGGAGGGAAACGATGGGGAGAGGGTTTGAGTACTTGTGCAAGTAGGCTAGGGTCGGTGGGATAGGATTTAGTCCGTTCGGTGTGTATTTTATTGTGCAAAGAGGGCTGGACTGGACTGGACTGGACTGGAGGTAGAGACGAGTGTGGTGAAAAGATTTTTTGGCAGTATGGCTGATGTATAACACCGAGTACAGGGAAAGAAAGAAGAGGAAAATAGAGGAGGAGGCTTAAGGATGGGGAGATGTCGAAGAAGAGGCGGGGAAGTTGTGTACGATCTAGAATACTGTGTAGGGTCGGGTAAGCGTGGATGGATCATGAACGGTTTCCTTGATGGTTCTCTTGACGGTGACTAGATAGATGGTCGACGTCATTGACTTCTTTCCAGTCATTATTTCCTGAGCAATCGGGCTCGTTTCTCTATACCTACGTATGCATAAACAGCATTGCCAAAGTAGAATGGATGTCCACGGCGAGTTGTTTCAGAATATGCTTTCGTTAAGCCAGTCGGGTGGCCGAGTGTCTTGAGAGACGAGATGACTAAAGTTGTGGTCGAGCCCGGTTGGTGAACTTCCCTTATCTTATCAAACACTTAAACCCACATCTGAGATTGGCGGAGAGTACTTCAGGTAGGCTTTGAAAGAGTTATGTTTCGAATCTCTCGTGAAGCAGGGCGACAGAGGATGTAGTGATGAGTGACTCTGGTTATTCCTGGAGTCTGTAGTGTGGGTAGCCTCAGTCCGCTTATCTTATCGCCAGGTACACTGATAACAATCGATAAGATCTACGTCTGGGATGGCGCATCTGGGGATTCACCTGGGAATGGAGTCATGGCCAGCAAGGTGCACACAAGGCTGTGCGAAATCAAAGTGAACGCGAACTTGAGCGCGTCGCAAACGGAGGTTGTGTTGAGAAGTCGGGGTGATGTCCGGGTCTCAAAGGCCAGTCGTACGAACGCGGTTGAGATGACGTCGTAAGTCATCGCAAAGTAAACAAACACGAATCGTAAACACAGCGTAAGTTGGAATCAGCAACAGATAGTTTGCCCTATCTGCCTTCTCTTGAGTTCGACCGACTCGTCTTCCAAAACAGTAAACATGAACCTCAGGTCCGGGTATCAAACAGCTGGGGGAGCGTTTGTGCTCGATGATCAACATCCGGGTGTGCTGTCGGATCGTAGTCGGATGTCTGCTGCGGTGGAAATCCGTCGCTTCAACAAATGGAGAGCAAGCTTCCAAGTGTGTTTACTTCTTTTGCTCAAAAGCGCATCTTCATTGTCCATGTAAAGCTACGCCGATGAACCGGACCCCTGATATCATAAGCCTCCCATAACCGTAGTCGTATGTGCGAGAAACCGTCGCAGACCCATGCAAGCTTTGGAAGAACAAATTGGAAACGAGAGGTCATGACCAAACCAGAAGAAAGCCCCCTTTCTTCGTTTAGTCGAAGAGACCGAAGCCCATATCCTCGTCGGACTCCTCCTTCTCTGTAATGTGCACAACGCAGGTCAGTATCTGGCAGCAGCAACGGCCCCGGGAAAGGGCTTGGGAGTAGATGATTCCACATACCCTCAACCTTCTCCTCAGCCTTCTCCTCAGCGGCGGCACCACCAGCGGCAGCAGCGCCACCGGCAACGGGGGCAGCGGCGGCACCACCGGAGCCGACGTTGGAAAGGAGGTCCTTCACGTCCTTGCCCTCAAGAGCCTATTGTCGCAAAAGAGACTCCAGTCAGTTTATCGTGTTCTTCGCATTTCCCAAGATATCGTTCCTCCTCTCGGAATTGGGTCCGTTGTCGTCGTCGGTGGTGTCATCGTACCTTGGCGAAGAGGGAAGCCCAGATAGGCTCGACATCCTCGATCTTGGCAGCCTTGATGAGGGTCTGGATCTTGTCGGCCTATATCATGCGAAAACGGGTTTGGTCAGTCAACGTTGTTCCTCCCCATGCTTGTTCATATCATGATTGTTCCTCCACTCCATTTGCCCCTCCTCCCATATTTCGTCATTTGTCCCGGTCGTTGAGCGCATGTCGAGTAATAACGGTGTGTACATAGCGCGCGGGGACGCGTCCTGAAAGTGCCCCAATCCCAAAATCCACCCAAACTCCAAAACATCGTGTGCATTGGTCGCAAACTCACAGTGATCTCAACGCCGTCATCGGCGAGGATGAGCGCCGCGTAGGAGGTAGCCAGCTCAGCAGTAGACATTTTGATGGTGTTGATTGTCGAGGCGCAAAGATGCTGAGTCTCGGGAGGGCTGTTCGATCGTGGGATGATGTCCAAGCTAGATATTCGCGGAGAGGGAAATTTAATTAGTTGTGGGCAATTCAAAAAATGCCCTCGGACCCTACAAAGCTGGGCAGCTGGCAAGCGACTGGCAGCGTCTTGAACGCCAAGACTTTTTGGGCTCTCTGCCTGGTCTGTGCACGCTTGGAGACTGCAAGACAGACAGCCCCACGATGTCCAAACAAGCGGTTCGCAACCCGAACCCGAAGGTTGGTTTTGCACTGCACGTGCTGGCCTTGCCGTCGCACTTGTACCGGATCGGGACGACTGATGTTCCCCAGTTGACCATGGCCTGGAATTTGGGGAAGCATTTGGCGCCCAGCCTTGCCAAGACGAGTGGTCGACAAGCTTCCCGCCAGGCCTCGACCCTTGTCGGGAGTGCTGCTCCAAGAGCCCCACCATGGAGCTCCTTCGCCCCGCCACCATTCATGCACCCGGGCCACTGACGTCGCCGCTGTGGATTCGGGGCGCCATAGGCCTTCTCCTGCCGTAGCGGAGTGCCTGCCGACATGCCCGGTGCTGTAGGAGAAGCATCCATCTGCATTTCTGGCAACCAGCACTCCAGCAATTCCGCAAAAACCAGAAGAGATCAACAAGGGAAAGAGCGCGCGAATCAGGAGGCAGCGTTCGTCAACAAACTACACTATTTGCACTTGTCTCAAGTTTTTGGAATCATCCCGGGGCCCCTTTGACAACTGCTTGGAAAGGGGAAACAGACGCCATCAACCGGACGACAACTTCCAACCCGCACTCTGTCTGCCATTGTTGAGGCGCATTACCCCTCAGATCAAAGAAAGCAACTTGAACAAGGAACCGCCGTTTCGAACATTCCCTTGCTCCAGCAACACCAGCCTTTCCCAATTGCTTGGCTGCGTCTTTCTCTTCACAACAATCCTTTAATCCCGGGTCTGCCGATCAACCAACATCGACCCTCGAACGGCATCCAAGTCAACGAAAACGAGCCACCTCTGACATCGCAACCGTCTTCACCGACTTTTACCCATAAACACAACACACACACACATTGCGACAATGGAGACTCCGGCAATGCCCATGCCGAAAGATGAGCGGGAACAAGCTATTCTCGACAAGCTCTCAGCCATCCGCGACCAGCTGCTGCTTCTCAAGAGAGACCGAACAAAATACATCCGCACTCAAGATGTAATAGTACACTATGATGAGGTTGTCGAGCAGGTCAAGGAGCTCAACGAGATCAGGAAAGGGGAGAAGGTGACCGAGACCAGAGGTATGCGCATTTCCAAAAAGCTGCCCATTGAACAAAGAGATCTAACACAATCCAACAGTCGACAGAGTCCTCGAAAGCTGCCTGCAGCTCCTCTCCCTCTTCTTTATGACGATCGGCCGCACACAAGAAGCCCCCGCGGCCTACGCATTGACCTCGACCATCAAGCGATTACTCGACCACCTGACCGAGGCCGACCTCTACTCAGCCAAGGACCTGAACAGCATGGCCCACACCCTCTCGCAGCTCGACAAGGTCATGACGGCCACGAACCCCTCCCACTCGCCCTACATTGTTGAGCTTCTGGCCAACCGGCTGGAGCTCTGCCACAGCTCGCTGGCCAACCTGAAGAAGAGGGTGGACGAGCTGCAGGATCCGCTACAGAGCATGCATGAGAGGCTGATTTCCATACTACGGTCCATGTCACTTGCGAACACCAAGGCGAAGGTAAGGACGCACAAGGGCGAACGGATACGAGAATGAGGATGAGGGGTAAGCTAACAGGTTACACAGTTCTCGACATCGGAGGTCCAGAGGCTACAAGCGCAGGTCAAGGAGATTGACGAGTCGAGGGTGGATGGCAACTTTGTTGGGCCAGACGGTGAGGTTCTTCGCGGTAGCGAGAGGGTGTCGCACTTGGTGGATGTCTGCCTTAAGTGGTCGGAGATCGTTCTCGAGAGGTACGGACAACTAGCCCATACCATTCTGCCAGCCAGTCATTAACCCCCACCCAGGAAAGGAGTTATCCCCGAAGCCTTCAAGTCCAGGCACGAGCAGCTCGTCAGCATCCGCAACGAGCTCGAGAAGCTCTCCATCACCCAGGCCTGGTCTTTGCGCGAGACGGACCTGTACGACTTCCAGCGCAAGCTCGACCAGATCGATGAGAGCCGAGTCGATGGCAACTGGCTGGACGACGAAGGAAAGCCCGCCGAGCTGTACGTCCAGCGCACGCTGCTGTACCTCATCAGGAGGAGCTATGGCTACATTTACTACCTGATGATCTCGTCGGAGCCGGTGTCGGAAGCCCTGCTGCCCATCTATAACCAGCTGCAGACGCTGAAGCGGTGCTTGATCGAAGTGAAGGACTCCGGTGGTGTCAGCTCGGTTAGGGAGCTGTATCCTTATAGCATGAAGGTATGTTTGTCATTGTTTCCCCCCCAATTGTGCGATGGACACTGGGCAGTGAGTAACGTTGGGTTACAGCTTAACTCCATCGACAACATGCGCGTCGATGGCAAGTTCATGGTCGGCGGCGATATACCCGAGGGCCAAGGGAGCGTTAGCGCCTTGCTGGCTGAGTGCTACGATCTTAGCTACGAGTTGAAGGTGATGGCTGAAGAGATGGAGGGAGGGGAGAAGGACAGCTCGTCGTAATCAACCTGGGGCGAGATTTACATTGATATAGACTTGGGGGGCTTTACGGCATTTGGTATTCGGCGGTGGCAGTAGCAGTGCTACTGATAGTGGTTGTGGTTCTTTTCCTTCTATCTAGCGGAGTTTGCTTTTACTTATGCATCAGGGAATATTGAATCGATGGGGTTCACTATATCATTATTTGAGTTGCTTTCATTCAGGGGGGCGGGCTGGCCAGTCCGGTGTTTCCCGTGGCATTGGTTGATGTTCAAGCATATCTTCTCATTGTTAGAGTGGACGGGGCACACACAGGGGACTGAAGTGCTGGAGCAGAGTGTCTTCGATAAAGGGAGTCAATCTGTTTAGGAGCATTGAACTGGCATGAAGGGTTACCTAATACGGCTACGGCCCATGGCTTCTGTATGTTAAGTGTCTTGTCGGCGAGTCGACCGAGTGCTTCTCACAGCTTTTGGCTCTATAGTGCCGAGCTTATATACCTCTACTTCCAGTCGATGCTCCCGCTCCCCCATCGCAAACGCTTCGTTTTTTCTGTCACGATTTCTGTCATGGTTCCTGCCACCGCTCCTGTCATTGCTCCTGCCGCCGTCGCCCAGCCGGCACAACCTTAGTTCCCAATGGCAGACATCGGATGACATGACACTCGCCTCCCGCTCCGCGCCTTCCTAGACTGGACGTGGCCCAGGCTGCACCAGCGGGCATATAAGGTCCGTTACCTAGTCCCTCTACCACAACGGGGAGCCCTGTGGTCTCATGGCGCAGTGGTTACCGTTGATGAAAACTTAGCGCGGCGGTTTTCGTAGGTCTGCAGCTGGGGTATTGTCGTTCGTTCTACAAACCTACCTGGGCGACTTAGCTTTTTGTCTTTTTTAATGAGTTGGGGAATTGTTTACAATGATGGAAATGAGGGCTTTAGGTTTCTCTCTTTTGTTTTGGGGTTGTTTTGGGGGGTAGAAGAAGGGTTTGTTTGTTTGCATACTCGGCGCGATGGGTGCAACTCACCTCGTTCGAACTTCGAAATGTGATTTCCGAGTAGCACTTCGTTGGCCACTTGAAGACAGATAGATGCTGATGATACCAAGGAACATTCATTCATTGGCATGTAATGTAATCTTGTTTGTTTTGCTGATGATCTCTACCTACTTAACTCCAACTCCAACCCCAGCCAGCCAGCCAGCCAGCCAGCCAGCCACATCTACTGCTGCTTCTGCTGGAACTGCTGACCGGGAACAGGGAAGCGGAAGGCGCACTTGAAGGGCCACATCTGAGCCTGTTTTCCAAAAAATCATATCTCTGTTAGTATATCATCCATCCATTCGTTCGTTCATCCCTCGCTCGTATGTAGTACTTCCACCGTTTCCATCCTCAAGTGTAACGCAGGAATGATCTAACGTAGGAAGTGAAGTGAAGTGAAGTGAAGTGAAGTACAATGTTCAGAAGGAAGCAGGAAGGGGAGTAAGGGGCGGGAAGAGAGAAAGAGAGAGAGAAAGACTAGGTAGACATACGTTATCAACATCCCAAACACCCTTCTGGGCATAAACATCCTCCTTGAGAATCTGGATCACCTCCTCCCGGCTCTCGGCGAGCAGGACGATGGTGGAGCCGGCGAACTTGAAGGTCTTGGGGTCGTCGGAGGTGGGAGGTTCGGAGAGGACGGCACCTGTTTGAAGAATGGTGTTTGTTAGTTAGTTTATGTTTTGTTTGTTTGTTTCAATAGACTTGTACTTGTAGAGCGGAACTACGGATGGTGTGGGATGGGGGATGGGCAATGGGTTAGGTGACGGGTGCAGCAGGACTTGGGGCGGCTTTGGGTGGGATATGTTTGGCACGATTCAGTTCGTTGCTAGCTGATTGTCATGATGTTATGTTATGTGAGGTGAGAGAGAGAGAGTCTGGAGAGCTGGCTGGTAGGGTGATGCGGGTTTGTTTAGAGGGGTGACGTGACGTGTGGTGAAAGTGAAGCTGAGGTGAAAGTGAAGCCGAGAAGTATAAGGGAACTGAGGTAGAACTGAAGAGTCAAACACAAGAAAACCTACCGCCCATCTGAAGAACCCCATTCTCGATATTCTTGCCGAGACCAGCAAAGTGGTCACTATTCATTCAAATGGTTAGCTCTATGTACTTTTCACCTTTTACCTGAATGATGAAGAGTGGTGCAACTCACGGGCGAACCTCCAACCTCTTCTCCCCGACACCCTCAAAGTCCGGCACGACGACGAGCCACTCAATCTTCTTTCCAGCAGCAGCAGCGGTAGCCATTGTTCTGATTCTTCTTTGGTTGAAGAAGTTGTTGGAGAGGATGCGGGGTGCGGGGTTGTTCGTGATGGTAGTTGTAGGGTTGAAGAATGTCAGAGTGGAGGAGGAGAAGAAGGGTCGGCAAAAGCGGCTGTTTAAGCTGCTGTGGAGAGCTTGTCCGAGTTGGAGGGTGCGAGATCGGGAAGCCATGGTGCGATGGGTTTGTGGTCTGACTTGTGAAGATGTACACTGGAATCTGGACGGGTACGTTCGGGTCAAGAGATGCGGTGCGAAAGAGGAGGGGTTACTATCGGATTATATCCGAGCCAAATGTTACTTCTAATGAAGGTCGAAGGGATTGGCTTTTGTTTACTTTGGCTGCCAGTTGAACTGCCGCGGAGGAGTATGGGGTAAATCGGAGATGGTGGGTCTAGCGTAGCGTGGGTTTAATGGTGGCCGTAAAGGTACCTACGACATTTGTAGATGTCACAGTTCGATCAACAATTACACAGAACAATGTTGATTTTTGCACTTTGTCTCTTTTTTTTTTTCATTAATCGTCAAGTATCATCGGCAACCAGCAACGCTTCTAGACGTATCCGTCTTTTCTTCAGATCTGTCGTTTCAACTCCGCTTGAGTTCATACCAAGACCATTCTATCGACCCGAGGTTACGTCCAAGGACAAAGTACCCTCCGTTCACTCTAAGAGACGATGAGCACTGCACTGGGAACCAACCCAGCCTCCTTCAGCGTCTGACCAAAGTCTACTCCAGCCTGCCACGTCTTCCTGGGGAACGTCGTCGAGAAGCTCGCAACCGGGACTCCGTTCTCCGCCTCCAACTGCTGAGCAAGCTCAAACAGCGTGGCATCCGCAGCCAACGTCTTCATCACATTTCCCTTTGCAGTTTGCAGCCTCAGACGAGCCTCGTTGTGGGAGGCAGCGGGCTTCGAAGCAGCCGGCGCAGCGGCAGCAGGGGCAGGTGAAGGGGCGGCCGGAGCTCTACCCTCACGAAGCGCCTTCGCTTCCTCCTCCTTGCGCTTCCTTTCGGCCTTGTCGGCCTCGATCTTGGCCTTGATGCGTTTCTTAGCCTCGAGGTCGTCGAGCTTCTCCTGGCGCTTACGGGCGGCTTCCTTGATCTGTTCCTTGCGGGCGAGTTCCTCCTTCAGGTCTTGTGTTTCCTTGGTAGCCTTGCGCTTGATTTGCTATACATGTTGTTAGCACGTTTGTAATGCGAACCTGGGGACGGTTGACCGTACCTCATTGCGCTTCTGCTCCTCCTTGTCAACAAGGGCCAGCCTTTCCCTCTTCTCCGCGAGCTTTTGGCGGAGCTCCTCCAGCCTTTGCTTCTTCTCTTCCTCCGTTAGAGGGGCGATCTCTTCGGTAGATTCGGAGAAGTCTGTGTGCTGACTGTGGTAGAGTTAGCTTGGTGCCATGAACAGGAACAGGACGGGCAAGAGACTGACGTCTTGGAAGCGTGGAAGGCGGCAAGATCTCCGTTCTTGAACCTCTTGCCGCAATCGTTGCAAACAAGGGACTTGGCGCCCTCGGGAATGGGGGAGCCGTCATCCTCTTCCTCGTCGTCGGCCTTGGCGGTAGAGGCAGCACCGGCTTGCAGCTCCTCCAAGGACTTGTCCTGGTTCTCCTCAAGCCAGTTGAGGGCTCCCTGCACTGCTAGTTGTTAAAATCATGTTCGCATCGCAGGGGTAGGCATTCGGGAGGACTGACAACCACCAGACTTCTTGACGGCGAGCTCGGCGCGCGCGCGCTCGAAGCCCATGTCGATCAGAACCTCGAGATCTGTTTGGCCCATTTTGATGCTTGTTTATTTGGCTGTTGAAAAGATATGGTCGCGACAGTGATGTGGTGATGATTAGGTATTTACGTCAGCGGACAGGACTGGTCCTTGGTTTTATAGTGCAGAAGACTGTTGTTGCTGGGAATAAAACAGTGGCAACCTGTAAATTGAGCGAAGGAGGGGTTCAATCAAAGATGCGAAGCTGTCAACAGTTCGGATAGAAGCAGATGGTACTGTTCCCTGTACCAAGACGTGGCGGCGGGGTTGTCAAAACTGGCAAGATGGACAAAGTTTCAAAACGAAAACTTTGACCTTGATTGTAGGCTCAACTTCTTGCTCTTTCAACAAAGTTCAGACTGTCCACCTCAATGTTGTCGTCGTCAATTAAGTGAACGGTTCGCGATATGGCCAGGCTGCCCGGGGCACGTCATTCAACACAACCCTTGTCCGTTGCTCTGACAGTGATGCTAGCGCTGCTGGCAGCTGAAATGACAACAAGTGACAAACTGACAATTGCCCAAATTGCAGCCAAATGACAGTCGGCGGCACCTGGCTTTTTCTGACTTTGACCCTTAATTTCAGTGGAGATACGTGGACCCCACGCGACAGCCCCAGGCCCGGCCAGCGAACATGGAATTCGGCTCGGGAAAGAGCTCCCAGCTGGAGCTTTTGGAGGTCTGAGGTTCTGGGGTTGGGGTCCAGTATGAGATCAGCACGGACCCATGCTCTTGGCTCGGCTGGGTCTTGGCTTCTTGGCATCTTTCCAGTCGCCGGGCGCCCTCCTGAAGTTGACAGCGACTCCAGCTGGAAACAGGCTGCTGCTGGCTTGTGTCCGGGTTGGTCTGTCCCAGCGCGCGTCGAACCGCCGTCACTGTTGAATGTCGTAACACATCATCGTCTTCGTCTTAATATCAGGTTCCAGCTTCTTGTTTGGAAGCAACACCTTACCACACCTCACAATTATCCATCGTACCTCTGGGCTGCTACCTAACACATATTCACTACGTAACATTGATTCTCCTTTGACGACGACAACTGAACTCCGAGGCCTCGCTGTTTGCGCCCGATAGATCCAGAATCGCATTGCCCTTGTCTGGCATATTTCGCAAACCCATCTAATACGTTTAACTCCATCCCCCATCCCTTTATTTCCCCCCCACCGGCACGGCCAATAATCCCCCGGCAACATTTCCTGTCTTCCCATCGCGAAATCCAAGTCGCCTTAGAATTTCCCAAACACCACCAAACCACCAAGAGTCCAACCGATCGCCAACATGTCCGTCGAAATCGATCCCCTCGAGCTTGGTTTCCGCAGTACGTCCCGTCGCGAACAGCACCACCGGCCCAGGTTCTCTAGGATCCTCCATCGTCTGACAAGAAATTAGGGCCCTTTACTGTGGAGGTTTCGCAGATCCTCAGGATCAGGAACCCCAACACCTCTCCGGTTGCCTTCAAGGTATGTGGACATCAAGACATAGACGCGTCTGTCGAGGTTGAGGATCGTTCGACACATGTGCTAACTTGCCCTCGTACAGGTCAAAACCACCGCCCCCAAGCAGTACGTTTCTTCCTCGGCAATGCGCCGTAGCGCAAACGAATCACCAGGCCAAAGATACAGACACTCACCAACACTCTTTTCAGATACTGCGTCCGCCCCAACTCGGGTCGCATTGAGCCCGGTCACGATGTCGAGGTTTCCGGTCAGTCCTCGAATTCTCAATACCATGTCCAACCTAAGGTCTCGTGACTAACTTCCCTTTCAGTCCTCCTCCAGGCCATGAAGCAGGAGCCGCCTTCGGACGCCCGATGCCGCGACAAGTTCCTCGTTCAGTCCGTTACCATCACCGGTGACAAGGAGTTCACCAACGTTGCTCAGATCGTGGGTATACCTCAAACACAGGAGGATGAACCAGCGCTGACAAATACGTCACAGTGGGATGGTGTCGACAAGTCCCAGATTCAGGAGAAGAAGATCCGCGTTCTCTGGCTTCCAGCCTTTGGAGAGGAGACCACGTCCCCCGTGGCTGCCACCCCTATCCGCCCCTCGACCTCGAACCGGGTACGTTTACCTTTCGCCTACCCCTGGCAACGGACGATCAAACTAACAATCACATGCGCAGGTTGAGGACACCCCCGCTCCTTTCACATCCCCCAGCGAGACCCGATCTTCGACGGCCGACGCCCGCGAGATCAAACAAGAGCCTGACCTCGCCGAGAACTTCCAGTCGACCGTTGCGGCCGCCGCATCGACAGTAAAGAACACGGCTTCCGACACGTATGAGGAGTTGAAGGAACAGTTGGCCAAGGCCCAGGCGACCATCGCATCTCTCCAGAATGACGCCGCCAGCGGCCTGAGACAGAGGAAGGCGGCTGTGGCTGACGCGGTGGGCGAGCAGGCGTCGAACGTACAGGCAACCGCCCAGGACCTGGCGCAATCAGCGAGGCAAGGCACGGAGGGAGTGCCAGTCCAGATCGCGGCGGTCCTCTGCTTGGTTAGCTTCCTGCTGGCCTATATCTTCTTCTAGTGCACGAACACCGGTCAATTTTCTGTCATCGCGAAGGCTGCCTCAGTACGCCTAGGGTTTCACAATACAACAACATAATCCTTTCCCGTTCTTTTTCATTTCTCTGTTTTCATATATCGCTTCACTCATTACTAAAAACTTGTTTTCCCTTTGTCGTTGTGGTGGATAGAGTGGCAGGCCCAGGGTGTAGGATCGAAAGCAGGCAGCGCAGGAAGGGGAAGACAGGAGAACAACACGCGTGGTCCAGGGTTCGTTTTTTTTTTTTTTTGCTCATGGAGAGGAGGTGAGGTGGATGAGCTGATGCGGGTCTCTTTGGTGTTATTACAACCGGTTCTGCATTTGCTCCGGGGCGTATAACGAGCGGCTATGCTATGCTATGCGAGGCTAGTAGGACTGTAGGATGAAAATACCAGCACTTGATAATATGCAGGGGGATCGACAGTCGTAAACGAGCAACTGTGTAGAGAGGTATTTTTACTACCTTTAGCCATGGGGAGTATCGGTATCCAAATGCCCTAAATGCAATCTTTATCCAAGTCCTTTCTTCCACTTATTGTCGGTTCACCTAGCTCTGACAGAGGTTCAGGAGCTATCTAGAAATCTCAAAACTTTGTTTCATCCTCAGTCTAGGTCTCTTTGCCTGTACACTGGCCCAAGACTCACAGTTACACAAACCTATTGTCAGTCATCAAAGATTAATACCTAACCACCTCCAGACAAAGCCCGACACCAGGCAGCGCCATCTTTCTCGGCAGTCCAATGACGATGAGACGGGAAGTCAAGCACTTGGTCATCACCTACCTGCTGCCGTGGACTAGGTATGCTATCGTCGAGTTTCGGGATTATTAACCGTCAGGACTGTACAGCCTTATAAAGAGCCTTTCAGCCCTATTGAAGCCACGGTGTAGTGCACCTACTGTACAACTACAGACCGAGAGAGCTCAGGACATGAGAGACTGAACAGTACATTATAAGCAATCATCTCCATTTTCTCCTACCGTTTCACTCTGGAAAACTCAAGAGAAAGATCTTTTTACTGATCGACGCTCCCGCCAAGCGAAGCAAGTCGAAGGTCAAAAGTCCGACGGTCACGTCACGTCTTGGCCTGCTCGTGATTGCCAAGACACAAGGGCATGCCGTTTCTACCACTCAAGCCGCTGCTCGTGGCGCTCACGCGGGAATATCGGCATGTCCATGTGGTTGGAAGTGAGTTGCCCTGTGGTGTCTGAGTGAGTGTTCAGTGGTCTCAGTTAAGGTCGGGCTGAGTAGAAGCCCCAGAGAGGCTGAGTTCGCCCAATGCCTCAGCCACTTGTCGTTGGACACCTCGACACTGAGACGCTAGAAGAGACAGGGGTTTTTAGAGGTGAGAGAGGGTCGAAGTGGTGATCTCCCGTTCAGCGAAATCCACACGATGGAGAAGATGGAAGAAACGGAATGAATGGTATTGGGTGGACGGGACTCGGGGAGAAGGGGGAGGAAGGATAGATGAAACGGAGATGAGAAATAATCGAGGAAAGATATTCTTTTTCGAAAATGGTATCCCGAGACATACATACACATCTAGAGTGGTTAGATGACACGACCCTATACCCAAAGCTTCCTAACCCTATAGTCCGTACATTTATATACAAAATTGGTCCGACCTATAAAAGAAAAAGATTAATACAATTATTATAATACATATTCGTATGGAGTTAATTCAATATATTAAATTAATAATAGTAATTCAAATAAAGTCTGATAATATATTTATAATATATTTAAAATGTATTTTAAGTTATAGATAAGGAAATTAAACTTTGTAGGCTCATTTGGGTCGTATATATAAAAGTCCGATAATATATTTATAATATATTTAAGATATATTTTAAATTGTAAAGGAGGAAGGAGTAAATTCCGTAGGCTTATCTGAATAGCAGCGAAATTCGCACCAAATAGTGTAGCTTCGGCCTTTACCGCCCTATTTAAAGCGGTAGGGAGGAAGACTTATAATAAATTAATAATTAATAAAAAATTTATTAAAAATATATTTAGAATAAAATTTATAAATACTTTTAAATTTTTTATATACTGCGCAAATAAATTTAGTAAAAGAAACGATATTATCGCGCTTCTTATATATTTTCTTTATTAATTAAGTATTAATTTAAATATTAATTAAATTAGCTAAAGATAATTAAGGAATATATTAAGAATAAATTAATAATTCATTAAATATAAATTTAAAGTACTTACGTTACTATTCTTTTAGAAGGGGATTTTTATAAGACCATCTTCCTCCGCCTCCGCCTCCTCCTTATTCCCTTTCTCCTATATTTCCTATTATTCCTCCTCTTATATTTTCTACTCTTCTCTTATACGTCCTCTTATACTTCCTTTTACTCCTCCTTTTACTCTTCTTCCTACTCTTCCTCCTATACTTCTTATTACTCCTCCTCCTATTCCTCTTCCTATACCTCCTATTATTCCTCCTCCTATTCCTCCTCCTATTCCTTTTCCTACTCTTCCTTCTATACTTCTTACTACTCCTCCTCCTATACTTCCTACTACTCTTCTTCTTCGATTAATAGTAAATTTAATAAGTCTAATTCTTCGTCAATAACTATTACTTTATATTCTTTTAGGAATAATCGGCTATAAAGTTCTATTAAAAATAAAGATGGTTATAACTTAACCGGAAATTATAAAGGTTATAAAATTCTTATATTATCTTAAATTTATCCGTATTTAATTTTAAATTATTTAGAAATTAATTAAGAATAGGTTATATATTAATAGTAATTATATAAACCTTAACTTTAATACTTCCGATTAAAACTTTGAATAGCTGTTTTTTAAAGATATTATAAATACCTTCAAATATTTAATAAAATTACTATAAATAATAAATACAATTTAAATAGGTTAAAGATTAATTATTAATTTAAAATAAATAATTTTTAAATTTTATTTATATTGAAATTATATTAAATATCCGCACTATTACAATCCGGCTTAAACTCTTTCTAGCGGCAAAAATCTCACTAAGGGCGACTATATATACGCCCTATAAAATAATTAATGGGGATAGTGTGACGGCTGGCACCACCAGTCGTCATGGATTCCATTCACGGGTGGCTTCCATTCACGGGTTTGGTTCAGATGGTTCAGGTTCTGGGCTTGGCCTGGCTCCCTCCCAGAGTTCAGAGTATAAAACCCAGTCCTTCCCATCTAGCCTTCCCTTTTGGGATTTCCTTCTTTCCTCAACTTCTTGTCTTTAGTCCAAGTTAGCCATTAGGGTAGTACAGTCCTTGCACCGTACCTATCCCTAGCCACGCGTGACAGATAAATTAAAGATAAATTAGAAATAAATTAACAATTGGTTTCAATATTTATATATTTATTAATTTTTAAAGGGAGTACTACGGCCTAACGCTTACCCTTATCCTCAGATTTAACGGGTTTCTAATCGCCATCCAAATATTTTTTATATATTTTAAAGGCTATAAATTTATAGTAAGTAGGCGTTATTATAAAAAACAAATCGTTAATAAATCTCTAATTAATTACAACAAATTTCGGAAGAGCGGCGGGGGGTAGACGGGGGTAAATTAATAAATATTTAAATAGTCGAAGGAGAATTAAAGATAAGAAATTTAAAAAGAAAAAATTCTAATTAATGTAACGATTATTCCTTTCGCTAAATTAGTAAATACAAATACGTAATTACGCTATTTACATCGTATTATACGTATCTACTAAGGAGGGTAAAATATTGGATAAAATCTATAATATAGATTAATTTCGGATAAAACTGGGATAAATCTAATTTTATTCGCTCAACTGCTTACACTAACCTTAATTTTTTAAAATAATATTATTTAAATTTTATATAGACCTAATTAACGATCGTTTTATAAAATTTAATATTATAATATAGTTAATATTTGTACGGGTTATATTTTTAAAAGGCTACTAGTTCGAATTATATATTATTTTTTTATATTTAAAAAGAAGATTATAAAGTATATTATAAATTTAAATATATTAAAATATTATATATTAAAATAGTAAGTAGTAAAATGCTTACTAATAAATATTTATCCATAGAGAAAGTTCTAATATATAAATTTTAAGTTTAATATAATTCCCTACGTAGAAATATTAAATACTTAACCTCTATTTATATATATAAAATAAGAAAAATATTTAATACAAAGTACTTATTACTAATATATAAAATTTAACCGACGGGTAGGAATATAAGACCCGATCGTTATTTTATAATATACGAATAAATATAGATAAAGTTTGGTATTAAATTCGAATATCGAACGAATTTGTTAATAAATTTGCTAAACTGTAATATAACGAGGATAGGATCTAATTATTATTTATAAAAGTAAGATAAAGCGCTAATAAATTCCTCTTTTACATCCTAATTTTAATTTTAAGGCCAAACAAAAACGAATAATTATATAGTATAGAATTTTATAAGTAAAATCGAATATAATTTAATTAAAAAAGCATTTATTTAGTGTTATAATTAAATATTAATAATTATTCCAACCCTATTATTAAATTATCTATCCTTTATTGGATAAATTCTTAATTTAATTCTAATTGTAGAAAGTCTTACGTATTCTCATCTACTACGTCCGTTACCTTCTCTATAATACCTATTAACTTACTATATTTATTTTTAACCGTCCGTCTAATAGATTTATACGATTAATTAACTCTTTAAAATTCTTTCTAATAATTTCTCTTATATCTTTGAAATCCTATTTTAAACCTTTAATATCCTCCGTAAATTTATTGTCCCGCCGTTATTTTAAAATAATTTTTTCTTGAATAGTGTGCTTTACTATTATTTAAAATCCTTTTGTTAAATTAATAAATTAGTTTACGAAAATTTGTATTTGCACTAACGTATTAATATAGTTAATTACTATTTATATAACGAACTATAAATTAATATAGTAAATATTGTAATTAATTAGTTAAAATTGCAATATTAGACTATTAAGCAAAGTTAAGCTACTATTTAATTCTTTTTCAGTTAAATGTTCTTTATTTTTAGTTCCACCGGTTAATTCATAGTTAATGGTGTAGTTAAAAGTACAAAAAGGGAAATTCTATTTTCTAACGTTGGGAATAAATATCTCTATTTATACCCAACGAATTAACGTAAATATAATATCAAGTATTATAAATTAAATTTATAAAAAAGTTTATATTTTAAAATATATAAACGAAAAGAATCCTTCGTATTATAATATTAATTAT